GCACGCCGCTGATGTAGGCATTGAAGTGTTGTTGGGCTATGTTAGCCAGGTCATTGCTAAGGGCCGTGAGCGCCCCTAGCTGGCGGGGCGTGAGGCCAGCGTTCTGGCGTCGGTGATCGTCAAGGAAGGCTGCTATGGGACTAAAGATTTTCTGGCCCTCGAGAGCTCTAGCAGTGGCCGAGGTGGTTGTCTCCTGTAGTGCAGCCTGTAGAGGGCCACCAGGTTGGTTGTTACGTCGTGCCATGTTGTTGACGCGTCGAGACGCGTGGTGGTTGCCGGGCGGGTGTCAGGCAGCGCGCGGAGGGGGAGCTGTCCCTTATCCTAGGCAGGGCGCCTGGATTGAGAGCCTGTTCTGAAGATTCAATAGAGTATGGCCTTCCTGGGTGAGAAGGCTCGTGAGGGTTTTGATCACCTGAGTGTTGTGGCAAGGCTTCTTACATCACTATTGCTGTAACCCCTCCTAATCATGTGACCACTGTGAAAGTGGATTTTACCTCACGTGTGATCTGCTAGGGCTTAGGGCTTAGTAGTATTTACTGCGCATCTAGTATAGAGTATAGTTGCATTTGGTGTGGTTCATCTTGTTACCTTGGCCCATTTTAAGTGGCCCTACTTTCTATTAATCTCAAATAGCAACTTTTGTTATATATATACTATAATTGTTGTTTCGTCAGTGAGCCTGGACTATTCAAATGTTCTGACTTAAGGATATCATTGATAGCGATCGCCGTTTTGCGCCGAATTTCATAGTGACAAGTCAGCGATCCAGGGTTGACCCAGAAATGATTACGACTGACGATGGTGGATCGCAGCGGCAGAACCAGGGATTGACAGACTGCACATAACTCTAATTTTTTATGGACGTATTGCCAGGTACGTCCACCAGCATAGCAACGGGGAATGAGTGAACTAATTTCAGTGATCGACAGTGGCTGCAATTGGGTACGGGAGTGCCTGTCCTCTAAGAAGAGGCTGGCATGCAGCTGGTAATATGTACAAACCTTGCTGGTGCTCTGCACCGTTGGTAGTGGAGTGTGGACATGAAGAAAGATCAAATCGTTCTTTATGGAATGGTACAAGTGCATCGAGGCAAGTTTGGGCCTCAAGTGGATCAGCTGTGGTAAGGTCTGGACTTTCACCTTTGTTGCAGATCGTTATTCAGATCAACCTAAGTTCTGTATCCTGCAGATGTCTTTCTCATACCCCCACTCAAAGCAAGCGGACTTATAAGGTACAATCTGATCATTATGAATTGGATCGGCCAGCCCTTGCCGCGTCCCACACCTCCCCTCAAGCGCAACTTCTGTGATAGGTCTAAATAGCAGTCAACTTGCGACACCGTGGGCCGATGCCATGGTCTAAGGTCCTTGGTGGTCTCTCTGGTTCGGATTCAAGTGGATAGAATGACGGTAGCTTCGAAAGCTCCATCCCAGACTGATATAAATTTCCTACATTGCCATTCCCACCGTCAAGCAGCCCAACATCATTCATTTCAAACACATTCTTTCTCTCAAGTACCAGTCCTACCTACCCCAGTCGTCAACATGAAGTTCGGCATTATTGCTCTCGCCTTCGTCGGCTCTGCCCTGGCCGCCCCTGCTGCTGAGGAGGCCAAACACACTCCTTCACCTGACGTCCCTACTCTGAAAGGATACCACTATGACTTCCCTATCAGCTCCAGCATTCCTCCTTGGAACGAGCACTCGTCTACCGCTACGCCCACTCCTTCTACCCACAAGGCCTCCTCCACTGCCAGTCCATGGGCCAAGCACCACGGCACCTACAAGAGCGAAAAGAGCAACTAGGCCTATCAAGCAACCACGTCGCCCGGCGCTTCAGTGTATCGGCGAGAGCAGAGCCCACAAATGATACTAAACACGGAAACCTCATTGAAAATGAATACTATCTGTCATTTGTTGTCTTTGAGGATTTACTCTGTTGATATCGTTCCCTGTACTTGATTCTTCTTGCGGTATATCCAATGGGTATCCGCCGTATTTTCCGGGCCTCCAAGGCCTTGCAATCCGGTTCTAGATGGTTCTAGATGTCAATGTAAATCACAATCACTGGATTGGTGCTACGTAAGGCCAATATCGGCTTGTAGTCACGAGAAATCTTAACTGCAGTAGAGCGCTTTTATGACATGACCAGAAGGACTTAGAAGGGTCGAGGGCAAAATGATTACCTACACATGGCCTCTGTTCGCAAACACCCCCAGCCAGGAAGAATGTGAAGCAGTGTAAACATTTCGATGCTCAATGTCCTATTCTCATTCTATGCCTCGACTAGAAGAAGCTCACTAAATATGCTCTAAATTAGAACAAAGGACAAGCACAAGTGTAGAGCCAATCTGACATCTCTTGAGTTCAATATTTTTGTCAGTTTTTGCTTGGTGTTTCTGCAAGTTCAAAGAATAATCATCTTTAACACTACAGCAGCGGTCCTCTCTGAGCCTGGATAGTCAAGCTTCTCTGGTGGATCTTTAGCATACATACTCCACTGGTTGTCTTGCAACAACCATTGTACTTCCATGTCTACCAATTAGAAAACAGCTGAAGACACTAATTATTTTCTGCTCTATGTTCATCCACTCATTGCATACATTCTTTCATAACTGGCTCTTAGTGCCCTGATCTTTTATTGCTTCTCATCAATGCCACCTTCTATCTACCAGGCAGTTGATTTGAGTACTATCTTCCCACATGTTTCTTAAGCTTGTCTCACAAAAATGCAGAAAAAGACAGCCATCTCTCCACCGGTGGTCATTGAAATTACTTAACTGATGTCAGGTTGCCATGAGATAACGCAGGCAACTCAACGCCAGGATTAAATCATCCAACACGCTAGGTGTCATGCTTTGTGTGATTAAAACATGTCCTGTCGACGGATCTTTGCTGTTATCCATAGACTTCATAGTGAAACAGTTAGGTGGCACCATTTCGCTGGACGCGGATGTCTTTCTTCCACGCCAACCTACATCAGAGTTCACATTGATATATTTTCATGACACATTATATATACAAAAGGCCTGAACACTACAAATGCCGACTAGATCGATCAAAAGCGGAAGTCCACCCGTCGCGATACGTTGTCACGATGGCAACTCATATCTCACCTGTTCTGCCGGCACTTCGATGCCACGATCGCCATCCACTTCAACCGGGGCCTGCTGGTGGATTCGTGGCTTCGTGAAACCACCAGGGTTACTGGGATAGTACATCGGATCAAAAGGCGGGGGTTTCGAAGCCTTTTTGCTTCGACGAAGAAGGTACCATATAAATCCGAGTGCTATCAGAAGAGCACAACCCAGGCCCACTCCAACTCCAACCCCTAGTTTTGTTTGTGGAGAAAGTCCAGAGCTCTGGGTGTTATCGGATGGACTAGACGAGTTTGTCGTGCTACCTGAGTCCGCAGCCGCTGTGGAGGATGCCGGGGCTGTAGGAGCTGGACCGGACGTTGTGAGCGCGACAGATGCGGTCAGCAGGACGGTTGGCGTTGTCATAGTTGTAGTTGCCGATCCGGATGCCGAAGTCGATGCGGTCGACGTTGTGGAAGAGGAAGAGGTAGATGGCGTCTTCGTTGTCTTAGAATCATCTTTGGTGATATTGAAGTAATGACTGGCGAACAGCCGGCTCTGGTTGGATATGTCTGTGGCATCTCGGATCTGGAAAAAGAACACAATCCCATCATCGAGATCACGATTAGTCGAGACAATCCAGTCATAGGTGGTGACTCCAGTCAGATTCGCTATGACTGTCAGTATTCCGGGCGCTGGAACAGCCGATTCAGGAGAGCCTACTCTGAATCCATTCGTAATCCGAATTGTCATTCTGCCACAATACTAGAGAAAACCACTCTAGACTAGTAGCCCATCGAAGCTGAACGGTTTGACCAAGCACATATACCGGGTTCGCAGTGTAATCGTGGATCGGACCGCCTGTCGGGGGATTGTAGAAGATTCCTGGCTCCGCTGCAGCGAGAGAAGAGAGAAAAAAGAACAGGGCAGAAATTAATCGCAGCATGTCTCCTGCGAACGGAGCCGAACGAAGCATGGATATATGGATGTCCTATCTTGACATGAATAGAGATCCCCGGACTCCCGAGGCCGGCGAAAGATTCAGGTGAGTGAGAAGGGACTTGGAAGAACTAGGGACCAAAGGGGATTCTTCTACTATCCATTACTGCTGGCGTTGGTCCCGGGGGAGTGGTCCATTAGCGCCTGGTTGTTAATATTATTCCCTGCATGGCAAAAGTGCCTAACAAGGCAGCGCTTGTTACAGCTGGATCATTTAACCCCGTCTGCTCGTTTGCCTATGCAGTGTCCCGAGAAGGCGGCAGGAAGGTATTGGAACTTGTCGGTGGTGCAAAGGACGAGGCGTTCGACGTTGCTGTGATGCACAACTGCAAACTCGGAAAATTGAACTGCATCTCTATCGTGCCTGAGGTTATCCATCAGTATTTTCCTGCGCAATCCTTCGGGGTGAAGAGCCTGGTGGACATTGGCAACGGGGAAAAGCCAGGGCCTGGTGACGAGAAATTTGAAAATGTTATGGGCTCAACGGAAAATATCTTGCAGAGTGCTCGATGTAGTGCTTTGTGGGACAGAAAGTGTCCAAGGGTATAGGAGTTCAATTTCATAGACTCTGTATAGTTAGCGCTGGTTAGCATGCTTTCATCCAATAAGTTATCTTGACCTTGCTTGTTAATATTCCTTTTTCATGGTGTCAACATTGTGTATGGCAATATGATGGGAATCCGATGTCGCCATACGGATCCTGGGTCCATTACGAGGAGGAGGCTGTCAATTTATTCCGAGTCCATCACAGAACACCCGGCGATATTTGATATTTCCGTCTTTGAAATTACGAGCACAAAAATGACCCGCCAAGCTGATCGGCTATCAAAAGATCAAAGTCCCAGTGGACAAACTAGCCGAATTCGAAGACCACTACTTCGCCCTCTCCCCCGAACTACAAGCACGATGAAGCCTCCACAGAACTGCGCATCTACTTTCCCGTCGCACGTGCGCTGCTGGAACACGACGGCGCCCTGCTCGAAGCTAATGGCCTCGGCGAATTCGAACACCAGAGTCTTCATGGTGACTACGCCGTGCTTGGACGACGACAGACCGAGCACGTCCGCGGAGTAGCCAGCAACATCGTCAAAGACGGAACGATCTACCTCGCCAAGCGGAGCAGGCCGGTCCGTCAAATCGCAATGTGCGAGTCTATGACTTCGGATACCGGTTGCTTGACCGCCATCAGTGGAGAATCCGACTACGACAACGGGGAGAATCCAGATGCGACGGACAACGGATGCGTTGCGAACCATGGCAAGGCCAACTGCAGTAAGAAGTATGGGCTTGACGAGGGGAGATGTACGATAAACCCGGATCCATGTATGGATTACAGTGGATGGTTCACAGATTGGAGAAGTCACAAGTATCTGTACTTCCTGGGAAGTGCCTGTTCTGTCGGTGTCGATGGGAAGTGCTGAGATGAGATCGAGCCTGCGGAAAGGGGAGAATGATTGCAACTATGATGAGTTGATGGGATGATGTATTGAGTTTGACGAACGCCCTTGATATCAGTCCTTGATTTGTGTCGGTGTCAGTCTCAGACTGGCAGAGTAAGGCAACTTGATAATCTCTGACAGATGACAGCCGACTAGAACATCAAAACCTCATCATCTTTGCCACCCGCATTCCTTCATCTATCAAGCACCTTCTTGATATCCGCCGCGGCCTTCTGAGGGTAATCAGGTCCCGGTGGCCCGGTAGGAAAATCCGCCGGGTTCCCCGCCACCCAAGCAACGGGTTCCTTAGCAATGCCCGCGACCTTCTTCTTAAGCTCTTCGACCTGCTCGGATTCAAAGCCACGGCCGAAGATCACTGCGCGAGGACTCCTGCTGTAATCATGGGTCCCGACATCGTTGGGGTTCTGAGACTGAGGATCCCGGCCTGCAAGGAGATGCGGGAGCTCAGCCTCTGCTGCCTCATATGACTGAAGGAAGTGGATGACTGAAGAACATTAACACCAGACTTTATTTACTCTGGGAAAACAGATCAGGAACCTTCATATTCAGGCAGCAGGAATTGAGAGATTGGTTTTCCGATCGCGGTTCTCCTGCCGCACGTGACAACTGGCATCGGCTGAGTGGATGAAGACATGTTGCGAGAGAGCCGGATGCTGCGGAGGAAACTGTTTCGGAGCATTGGGGATGGGAGATTCAGGAAGTAAGCCCGGGTCGATGTCTCGAATTATAATCCTCGGTTGTGGCGTGCCAGATCTCATGGACTTGAAGCCAGTACGGGAGACCGTCATCCCGAGCCAACGTCAGCATTCATGAACATTGGAGGTGCAAATGTCGATACGAAATGGATTTGTCATCAGAGAGACACAGCAAGGCCAATAATGTCACTTTGAACAAGCCACCAAACATCTAGAGTAAGCCCGACATTTATTTTGGCACTTGTTGTAAGGGCTAGGCCATGGAGAGTCGTTCCCTTTGGATTTGCTGGCCAATATTGAAAAGGTCAGCTGGACATCAAGTGAGTTGAAACCTCATCTGACTTTGACATACATCGCACGCGCCTTTTAGCTTCGGGTAGTCGGCGTTTGGAGATTCGTTTAGTGGTCTCTAACCTGATACGATCGACCTAAAAGCAACAGAAACGCTCGAGCTTCAGCGAACAGAGCCGAAGCATGCATAAGACGAAGTAGCATCGTGAACATCGGGCTAGTCGTGGGATCAACTATCCGGAAGTATTCCGCTTGGAAGGACACTCCGTGTGAACTTCCAGTGTAGTCTGAGCTCTGACCAACGAAAAGGAATGATAGCGTCATTTTGCAGAGAGCAGAGGCGCTTGGTGTGTTGACAATCATAAAGTCGCACTGTGATGCATTGCAGAACTCAACAATGAGGTGGGTAGTGCTGCCGCGCCTGAGCTCAGAGCCATCTTGTTGTCGTCGAGAATCATGAACGCGTTATAAAACTCACCAATTATCGAGCTAGAGCTGTAAGAGTTAGGGATGGCCCAGATTGAACCCTTCCATCAGTTGCATTCGGACTTCTTCGATGTGTCCGATTCCGCGTCGTGGACGGGACTCAATAGAGTTGAATCGTCCAGGTTGAGCAGATCAGTCCCAGATGTGATACCGTGAGTCTTCATTTGCTCGGGACTTTTTACCTCGGCATTTCGTAGCCAATTGTCCCGTAGACTAAAGAGTGTCCTTCGCTGAGAATGCTCGATTGGTCAATTATCCAATTATCAATAGCTAAGCATGAAATGGTATTGAGCACAGTCCCATCAATCAACTTTATGTACATTGCCTACCAAAGTAAGACAATAGTAGACCACGAAAGGTACATATGGATACAAGATCGTCCAAGACTCGAAGGGCTAACAGAGAATCATACACCACAGAAAGGTGTCCTTGAGACCTCCCGTCCCTTCTTACAGGGCAAGGGCGACAGCCAGCAAACCGGCAGCACCGGCAAAGCTCACGGCCACGGCGCCGGTCGCGCCAGCGTTGTGAGACGAGGTCGTGGAAGCAGCCGCGGAGCTCGATTCGGAAGCGGAGCTGGAGCTCGAGGAAGTGGTCTGAGCGGAGGAGGCCGTTCCAGTAGAAGAGGAAGAACCGGAAGAAGTCTGGGTGGCAGTAGCAGCAGCACCCGAGCTGCCGGTGCTACTCTCGGAATCACCGGTGGCGGTGGCGGTGGCATCGGCGCCCAACTCAGCGAGGGCAGCGGATGTAGCCCAGGCCTTGACGCTGTCGGGCAGGCTGGAGTACCAGGCCGGGTAGGTTCCGGCCTCGATCTCGCTGACGATGGAGGAAACGGAGGTCGGATTGGCCATCGCCGAAATGAACGAGGCTGGAATAGCGGTCGCGACCACGGCGAGGATGGAGCTGGGGACGGACCCAAGCAGATCGCTCATGTCAAAGCTGGAGTCGGTTGCCTGAGGGGCCGGGGCAGGAGAGGCCACTGCCATAGCGGCGAAAAGGACGGTAGCGAGCGACTTGAACTGCATGGTGGCAGTATAGATAGTGATCAACGAGTGGAATGAATGACGGCAGTGATAAGAGTATGGTGATAGTTGAATACAACCAAATGGAGGGAGGCTCTGCTTTATTTACGGGGAAGCAGCTGCACCCTGCGAGGCTGTGATCCATGGCCCATATCTGAATTGCCCCTTTTCCAATTTTAACAGTCCCGTCTTGGCCCTTTTCCTCCAATAGAGTCTGCACTTTCCAGGGCTGAGCAGTCTAGACCAGGCGCCATCAGAGTTAAACGGCGGCTCTGCCACGCTATCAATGCCACTAACGCCCAGCCTGCTGCGGTGGTCCAATAAAGGCTGGAGATTGGTCGCCTAGAATCATGAGGCAAAAGACAGGATTGGCCATGTCTCAGAAATGGGCACTTGTGCATGATTTTAAGATTTTTTGGACATAGGGAGTGATCAGTTGACACTGTACGGAGTAGATATTCTACGCGACGAGGCCATTGGTTTCAAGCATCCTTTATGGCTAAGGCCTAACATCGTCAATTGTTCCTTTCAGAGTCAAATCTGATTCCATCCAGCATTCCGGTCGAAAGCTTTGTACAACCTTTGAGCAGAACTGAAGGGCGATATACCACTTTTTGCAATTATCAAGACTGTTCCCATGTACAAGATTATAATTTTCTGCATATGTACAGTGCATATGGACAGCGCGTATATACATGCTAGTAAACATATCTGAAATTCTTGTTCTCCCTATCCGTCAACCCAGCCCACCTGGTGTCATCCTGCGCCTGCTCCTCCTGCCCTCCCGCAGCACGATCCCTGCGTTTGTTCTCCCACATATAATACAAGAAGAGGACGACCGAGAGCACCGACGCAGCAGCCTGCGTTGCCAGCACTGCAATCTTGGCAGGGTGATAGCCCGGTGCATCGCGTGCCTGGAACGTCTGAGGACCAATGATGTTCCCGACCGAGAAGGAGCCCGCGACGAGCGCACTCGCAAACGCGCGCTTGGTATATCCTGCGCAGTTGGCCGAGGTCCATTGGTAGAGGATGGGGAGGGTGGCAACGACCGCATTGACGAGGTAGATTCCAATCAGAACACCCGCTTTGTTGTGCTTGGGCAGGAAGGAGAGCAGACCGCCGCCGAGGATACCGGGGATGGTGCAGGCGATGAGCCAGGCCCAGCGGTGGGAGACTCGGCGGATCCCGATGCCGACGAGGAGGGTGAAGAAGATGCTGACAATGCCGGAGGGCATATTGAGCAGGGCCGCGTTGGGGCCGGAGAAACCGAATCCGGCAATCAAAGTCGCCGAGTAAGAGGTCACCACTCCGCTGGAGACGGAGATCTGTGCGGCGCGGTGTCAGCAATCAGAATGGATGATGATCCGTAATAGCGGACTTACCAGCATGGTGATGAGCATGAGGAGCCACAGCTGAACGTCCAATACAGACTCCCAGATTTGTCTTACGTTGACGGCACTGCTCCACACACCGGTCTGGTTGACGCTGACGTGGTTCAGAAGAGCGACCTTCTCGCGCTCGGTCAACCACTTTGCCTTCATCGGCGTGTCGGGCAAGAAGAAGAAGCTCAGGGCGCCAACAAGGGACGTAATCAGCCCGAGAACCAGAAACATGACGCGCCATCCTTGGAACGAGGCGTTGTGCACATGCTGGAAGCCAAAGGAAATCAGACCACCCAGGATCTGCGCCACTCCCAGACCAACATACCACAGTGTGAATCGTGGCGCCTGTTCGCTTTTGGTGTAGTACTGACTGCTCAGCAGCATCAGAGAAGGACCGATCGTGGCTTCGAAAATGCCGAGGAAGATACGCGAGACCAAGAGAGTACGATAGTCACGGGCGCCGGCAGAAGCAGCCGCTGCAACGCCCCAGAGGAAGACATTGGCTCCAAGCCATTTGGCCGGGGGAGTCTTTTGCAGGAGAATCACTAGAGAACATCACAAGTATGAGTTGGATTCTGGATCGCCGGATGGACGATACATACCGTTCGGAGCCTCTGCGATCAAGTACGCAATGAAGAACCAGGTCGCCGCATTGGTGAAATCATTGCCAACTAATTTCAGGTCCTTCTTGATGCCCATCACGGCAGCATACTGACAGAATCAATCAGGGACACCTTCTGCGCAAAGGGAGAGAGGGACCTACATTGAGCATGACCTTGTCGAGGAACTGCAGAACATAGCAGCAGAACATGAACGGAATAATGCGGTAGTCGATCTTCCGTCGCAGGGCCTGAAGATCGACGGTCTCCTCATCCTGGACATTGGCATGTTCATCCAGATACTCCAAGGCATCATCGCGTCGTCCATTGACAGGACGAGCCTCTATATCTGGTCTTTTCTCTGTCATTTTGAGGAACAAAAAGACGATAGAGAAAAAGAAAGGAAGATAAGAGAGAAAGGTATAAGATGAACACGTCGGATGTGTGACGTGAAGGTGGAGGGTTGTGTAACAGTCCAGACACAGCACAGGGGATGAAGAGGAGGGATGCAAGTCACAATTCTCAGCCAGTGAAGATAAATACTGACTTTAAAGCACGGCAGAGGCAGCAGGGATTGTGGAATGAAGGATGCACATATAGATCCAATCATTCGCGATACTCCGAACGTGCAAATATCCCAATCCAGCTAAACCCGGCCCAAAGTAGCGCAGAAGAATGCACGTTCTATCCAGGGTCCCCGGTCTAGCGCCATACACATCGCCCGCCATGAGTGTCCAGATCATGACAATAATGAAATGGTATTATGGAAGAGATTATCTCGGTCTCCTCCGGTGAAATAAACTAATTTCCTTGGAACGCAAATCCTGCAGGAAGCAACCAGACCTCTGCAAAATTAATTATTCATCTCGGCAACGTGACGCCGAGTGGACTCCTAATAAACCTCCCACCATGCATGGTTGTTGCAAGATCATACCATGAATGACTGGTGATATTATTTCCTCATCCAACATCTTCTCTATGTGACGGTCAATATGGGCTGGGTACACAATGCTTCCCCGGAGATCGAGGCCCAGTCCAAGTACCCGCTCATTCTGGGGGTGTGCATCAGTCTGACCGTGTTGATGATCATCACCGTTTGCCTACGACTGTTCGTGCGCATCAGGCTTGGGAGATTCGGAGCTGCCGACTATGTGATGGTGTTTGGAATGGTAATCCGCATTGACCGCGCTCACAGTCTCTGCTGTTCTGACATTGTTGGCAGATATTCAGTATCATCTACAACGCTCTTTGTATAGCTCGTGAGTTCACCGGCTGTCCCATCCCATTTGATCCATGCTGAGAACAGTAGAAAGCCGTTATGGACTGGGATTGCCACTGGCAGCGCGGCCAAAGGCGAACCTCCTAACCTACACAAAAGTACTCCCTCGTCCCATTCCCTCGATTGATTCTTTCTGACCAGGCAATGCAGATCAACTACGCCGGTCGGCCCATCTACCAACTCGGAATCGCAGGTTTCAAAGCTGCACTGTGCATCAGCTACCTCCATCTACTCTCCAAGACCTCCAAGCGCTTCTACCGAAGACTAATCTGGGTGGTTATCGTATTGACGACCTTGGGACATGTGGCGGGTGCACTGGTTCTGATCCTGAACTGCAACCCAGTAGGTACTTCATGATTCTCGCACGGTGTCGAACCGTGGTGCTAAACAGATTCGAATCGATAGGTAGCTCGGGCCTGGAATCCGACCATTGCTGGCATATGCCTTCCAGTCGGACCGACCTTCTACGGTCTGGCAGCCTTCACCATCGTCTGCGATGTGGTCATCATCTTCCTCCCGATCCCGTTGCTACTCCAGTTGAACGTGAAACCGGCACAGAAAGCAGGAGTGGTGTGCCTGTTCCTGCTCGGGCTGTTCACTACTATCTGCTCGATTCTACGCCTCACACAGATCCATCGCGTTGTGTCTGTGGATGGAGATTCCACCATGTTAGTCCTGTGGGGGACGATCGAATTCAATATCGGGGTGAGCTTGTCCGGGAAGTTGAAGACAGAACATGATCTGATGTTGTCCAGAATATCGTCACCTCGCTTCCATTCCTTACTCCCCTTCTCAAGATGTTTATCCGCGACTTTCGATCCCGCAGTGGCAGCGAATTACGCAAGAACACCGGATACACATTGCAATCGTTCTCCAAGCAGCAACGCTCGCAATTGAAATCGGACCTCTCCAAGGAGCCGGCGCCGGTCAAACGAACCCCCAGCGAGGAGCTCATCCTCGATAGCGACGATTCCACTCATCGAGCGAACGCCGAGATCCACGTCACGGTCGAGTACCGTGTCTCACTCGAGAATAAATGATACGTGGGGGCGATTTCAGTGTATATTAGACCATTCCTTTAGTTTTCCCTTTTGTATCCAAGTGTTGTAACACTGCCATCCTGGCCGAAAGATAGTTTGCTAGATGGAGGCAATGGTGCCATCCCACTAGTATTAATTCCACAATATGGCCGAGAAAACCACCGATAGTTTACTTTACGTAGTATTCTAGCCCGGTCTTAAGTTTTAAAGTGACAGGGATCTCCAGCCAACCTAAGGTTCGCCGGTGTCTTCCTGGCGTCACTCTAAAGGCACCGCTAAACCCGCAGTGATATAGGCTGCATCCTATCCCTGTCAAGGTTGTAACACAACCAAGACATCGACCCATGGATATTATTAATTCATTTGAGGGATTAGATAGAGTGTGCCTATTGAGTTTCATCGTAGATGGTTGGAAGAATTCCCTATCCCACTCCCGGTATGGATCGACGTCTCCTTCGAAAGCGATGCAGCCAGTCTTATCAGTTATCCACGTGTGATTTGGAATTGAAAACTCTGCTTCTGACTTACTTGTCCAGACGGGAACCTTGGCAGTGAACGCACTTGGAAGGATCATCGGTGAATTGCACGCAGCCACTAAGCCAGCCATGACAGGGGTTGCGAAGATGGCCAGATGGTTCGATGCTCGACCGCTCACCCAACAGGCCACTTTGCCCTCAAGTGAAAAAGGTGCTTACGGCTTACAGTTATCCTCTGGCTACGTACAACAACAGGACGACATAGAAAGTTAATAGGCAATTGCCAAGTCAACAGCATGTCCGATCTCCCCGTCCTCATCATCGGCGCAGGGATCAGCGGTCTGACCCTGGCCCAGTATTTACATAAGTCCGGGGTTCCGTTTCTCATCTTTGAGCGGGATTCCTCGATCGATATCCGTAGCGGTGGATGGGGTCTGACGCTGCACTGGGGACTGCCGATCCTGCGGGAGATGCTACCAGAGCAGATCGTCGCACGGTTACCCGAGTGCTCTGTGAACAAGGAAGCTTCCGATAATGGGGATGTCGGTCGGTTCCCATTCTTTGATCTGAGCTCCGGATCGGCGCTGTTCGAGGTACCCGCTGCGGAGAGGGTGCGTGTGAGCAGAGGGAGGTTGCGGGAGTTGTTGACGACGGGGATTGATATCAAGGTCTGTCCCTGAGGCTGCATGTTCTCAAGAGGACTAATGGAAGTAGTGGTCCAAAACCGTCGTGGACGTCACGTCGACAGAGGAGACCGTTACGGCACATTTTGAAGACGGTGCTTCCTACACCGGCAGTCTTCTCGTCGCCTGTGATGGCGCTCATTCTCGGATCCGTAAACTGGCATACCCCGACTCGTATCAGATGAATCCACTTCCCGTTCAGCTTCTGGGAGTGACAGTCCGGTATTCGCCGGAGCAAGCCGCCGGTCTACGGGCGATCGATCCTTATATCTTTCAAGGAGCTCATCCAGAATCGAATGTCTTCTTATTCTTCAGCTGTATGCATGTCTTCCATCTTGGTGGTCATCACTAATACGATGTACAGTCCTCGACACCCCGAACAACTTTGATGACAGCAGAAATACCTACCTCTGTCAGATCATCGTCTCATGGGCCGACAATAAGAACATTCCACTCCCACCCGACAATGCTGGACGGATTGCATTGATGAAAAAGTTGACAGCGAACTGGGTCGACCCCTTCCGGTCGCTCGTCCACAATCTTCCTGATGATTCAGAGGCACGCGCAATCCGGATCCAGGACTGGATCTTCGCCCCAGGAAAGAGCCTTCATCCGCGCGTGGTGATGATGGGTGATTCAGCGCATACTATGACCATGTGTAAGATATCACGCCTATGACTGGGATGCCACTCTGCTGACCTGAGTGTCTAGTCCGCGGCGAAGGTGCCAACAACGCCATCGCCGATGTTGGCGATCTCGTCAAGCGAATCAATTTTGCCTCGTCAGAGTATGACCCATACCCTTCCCGTCTGACACCGAGAATTTCTGATTGTATGTAGGTCGCTAGCATCCGATTCCCTTCGTCGCTCTATCCAAGAATACGAGGACGACGTTTTTAGGCGGGCGGAGCCGAGTGTTCTGAACTCACGACAGGCCTGCCTCGATGCTCACGATTACCCAAGGATCTTGAATGGAAGCCCGCTCGTAGCGAAGAGAGTGCTGGATTAGTGGAGGGACGTAAGGTCCTGAGGATATGAAGTAGAGTTATGAGCCTCGATCAATCTCAGCATCGTCAGGCTATCCATGAGCCTCGGTAACCTAGCACTCGTGGTGGATCTTCCACAAACGAGGTCATCTGTCTCCAGGACGCAGAGCAGCCTGCGCAGATCCAGTTGAAGATTTCAGTACCATCTGTCCTATGTAATGAATGAGAGATGGTTCCAAACGTAAAGAATGGCTTCGTCTATTCGCTAGAATGCCGCAATGAATTGGTATTTTGACTACTACTGGGTACTGATACCGCTGGAGGGAAATATGAAAATTATTAATTTATCGAAAAATCTTCATAGACAGGAAGAAATCAAACATGGATTATCCTAGTCTTATAATACGGATATCTGGTGTCGTTGATGCTGGGTACTGCAACCCTCAACGTCATTGACTCGGCAGGATGGGATCCGCATGGAATGTCGAGGTATCATGACTCCGATTTCACGTTGAATCTATGCATCATGACATCGATTCAACATTGAATCTTAATTGATGGGATTCCCCCGAATTTCTGAGCAGAAGCGGATCAGATCAGACACATTCTGCTTCGAAACCAACCACCATGCCGCCTCACTATACTCTTGCTGAAGGTACACCACAACCATGTCGAGATCAAACAGGAAGATGCTAATTGTGGTTATTTAAGGATGTCCCTACCCCGACGCCTCCACGAGCGTCCAGCTTCGTGACGGACGTGGAGGGGGCCTCTCATTACTACAGGATACGCAGTTGATCGAGAATCTAGCTCACTTTTCCAGAGAGCGAATCCCAGAACGGTGAGTTCCCTGTGGCTACTGCATATACGATCACACAACTGATGGTTTCTCTTAGAGTTGTCCATGCAAAGGCTGCTGGTGCCCGTGGTGTCTTCAAAGTCACCAACGACAACAGCGACATTACATGTGCCGACTTCCTCAACGGAGTGGGCAAGAAGACGGAATGTCTTGTTCGTATCTCGACCGTAGGTGGTGAGAGTGGTTCGTCGGATACACTGCGCGATATACATGGCTTTTCAATCAAGTTTTTCACCGAGCAAGGGAACCAGGACTTTGTGTTCAACAATACCGTCAGTGTCTCCTTTCAATCTGGGTATGAGTAGGATAATAATATCGGAACAGCCTGTGTTCTTCATCCGCGACCCCCAAAAATTCCCTTCGTTGAACCGTTCCCATAAGAGACACCCGTCATCGCATCTGCCTGATGCCACTATGGTAAGCATCTCTGGACTTCGATTTCATGCGCACACTAACGATCGGTCAGTTTTGGGAGTAAGTGAGTATCGGACATAGTAGAGCAATGATATTGACAAAGTAGTTTCCATACTGGAAGTCCAGAAAGTATCCATCAGTTGATGGTTCTCTTCAGCGATCGAGGGACTCCCGCCTCCCTGCGTCAAATGCATGCATACAGTGGCCATACCTACAAGCTCACTAAAGAGGTAAGTTGCTTCTATATAGACGGGTTGCCTGCAACTGACAGCTTAGGACGGCTCCTTCAAATACGTCAAATTTCACTTCAGAAGCAAGCAAGGCGTGAAGTCCTTCAACCGGGAAGAATCCGAAAAGATCAATGGCAGCAACCCCGATTTCCTCATCCAGGACATGTATGAAGCCATTGAACGGGGCGAGTATCCCTCCTGGGACCTTTGCGTGCAAATCATGGACCCCAAGGATGCCGAGTCGTACAAGTGGAATATCTTCGACATGACCAAAGTGTGGCCACACTCGGATTATCCCATGCGAAAGCTCGGGCAGTTGACACTTAACCAGAATGTATGTTTCATCTCGGCGCTTTTTGTCTTGCGCAAAGACTGACAAGACAGCCACGCAACTACTTCGCCGACATTGAGCAGGCCGCATTCTCACCATCCACCATGGTGCCAGGCATCGCTCCCTCGGCCGATCCCAGTGAGTCACCTACTCTCCTCTAGGACACCAACATTAACAGAATCAGTGCTCCAAGCCCGTATGTTCGCCTACCCCGACGCCCAGCGCTACCGTCTCGGCGTCAACTACCAGCAACTCCCCACCAACCGCGCCCGCACAAATGTCTACTGTCCCTTTGAGCGCGACGGCGCCATGACCTTTTACAACTACGACGGTGACACAAACTACGTCGGCTCCAGTGTGAGTCCTGCTGTGTTTGCATCATCCAGCAGTGGCAGGGGCAAGGTGGCGAGCACCATCACCGAGCATGAGAAGTGGGTTGGGGAAGTTGTCAGCCATATCAGTCCTGTGGAAGAGCAGGACTATGAGCAGGCTCGAGCATTGTGGAACGTTCTGGGTCGCGAAGATGGCCACCAGGATCGTCTCATTGGAAATGTGGCGGACAAAGTGCGTCTGGTCAAGGAAGGGGTCTTACGAAAGAGGGTTTATGGTATGTTTGTCCTCCACGAGATGTTGAGCATGGCTGACTTGATAGAAATGTTTGGCCGCGTAGATGCCAAGCTTGGAAAACGCCTGGAGGAGGTAACGGAGAAGCAGGTGGTTTGATATGTACGACGGTATGGATATAGCTGTCGATTGATATAAAGATGCTATTAGAAGTAATACAGTACAGATTTTTAGAAGATTTTCAATGATATGGTTACCGCAGCTGTTTCCCTGCCCAGAAAGGAATATTCGTCTGGTACGACCCCTTGCCTTGTTCAGCACGAGTTTTGAGCCGTGGTGACGTGCTCAATCCCAGGGCCACATGTTTACCCCATTCAGTGTAGAGACGGAGTAGGTATATGATCAAGCTACAGAGAACCAAGGAAGATCATTCGGGTTTTGGTCTATATATTGATGTCTTCGGTTTCTGTTCTGTCTCGAGTACAAAGCACAGGCACGAAGCCCTGAGATGACCCATGTGATCGGAACAAAATACTGATATCAATCAGGACCAGGTTTATGAACAAAGAGACGCATCCTAAAACCACGAGATGACCACCAAAATAAAATGTGGCGTTGCGCTAATCATTTCCGTATTGTCTTTCTTTGTTGTCCTCGAGACAGAGGCCGTACGAGGCAGTGCGCGATGGCTTAAGCAACAGACTTTGGAACAGTTTATTTATCCTCTCTCCCCAGTAAATGTCATTCATCTGTGATCTGTTTTCGTCTTGATGCTACGATGCTGGAGTTATCGACCATCTCCCTGGCGGCGTTGCTATTCCAGTCCAGAACGACACTCGCAACAGCCACGCTTCAGACAGCGATGACGATAACCAACTCTACTCCATCCTCGACGGCTCCTCACTTGACACACACCGTCAAAGTAGGACCGAAAGAGAACCCGCATCAATATTCGCCACACAACATCACCGCCGCTGTTGGCGATGTCATCGTCTTCGAGTTCTACCCGCGCAACCATTCCGTCGTCAAGGCAGACTTTATGGCGCCTTGTGTGCCTGCTGCGGGGGAGATCTTCTACTCGGGAGAGTTCAATACCTTCAACGAGAATAGCGATGGGCAACTGGAAGGAGAGGTTAGTGTATTGTCCCATATCGATATCAAATACTAACTGTTTAGCCTCCTACCTGGTCACTAGTTGTGAATGACACCGAGGTATGTCTAGCTATCAGAGCCAGGAATTGTTAGCTGACTGAATTACCAGCCCACGTTCTTCTACTGCACAGCAGTCGACTCATGTCTCGTCAATGGAATGGTCGGAGTAATCAACCCAGTAAGTCTGTGCTCACGATGAAACACCTGTGCTAATCGCGGTAGAACGAAACGATGACCTGGGAAGCACAATACGCCCAGGCAAGACGATACCCGTACATGCTCGTGCCGGGACAATCACCACCCGCCGAAGGAACAGGCTACTCGTCCTCAGCTACCAACACTCACAAGAACTCTTTCAGCGGTGGCGCCATCGCCGGTATAGTGGTCGGCGGGGTTGCCTTTGTTGGCATCCTCCTCGTCGTCTTCTTCACGCTGGGTCGGAACAGAGTGTATAAACAGTGGATGTCCTCGCAGGACGGGCGGATGGAGCGGACGGCTCGCTGGGCTCTCTTTAGTAATCGAGGTGAGGTGAAGAGTGAGCAGGGACTTACTGCGTCGTCTTCGGTGGGAGGCCATGGTACACTCTCGTCGGGCTCCGGCGCTTCGCCGCCTGCTATCCCGCCTCCTGTGCAGATGGTGAGATATTGGAACTGGGAGACTGATACAAAGCAGCCGCCGCCGCAGGAAGGGATTCGTCAGCCGAGTGAGCTGGAGGCGAGGAGTGTTGTGGGTGCGAAGCCAGGAGGAATGTACTACGGATGGAGGTGATGTCTTCCCAGTTCTTCAGGTTGATTGTCCCTTTGTATTCTTCTTGTCCTCTTTCTGACATCCTTTCGCATTCTGCCATTGCGCGTTCTTAGGCGTGGGTGAAAGCAAAGTGGTTTTTGACTTTACTAGGTACAATAATACTTCTTCCTTATTGAATATATGTACTATACATAATTTCATGACCATTCGTGGTTCGAGAATGAAAGATCCCGTTCAGAGGCTCCTTTATGGAATCTCATCATAGATTGTATCACCGGGCCTTGGTGGCTGCAAGAAATCCTTTGGAATCTGAGCCGGCAGCTGATTCTTCTCGGCATACTGACGGATAGCTTCGAAGTTTTTGCACTGATGCTGTGTGTTGAAGTCCACATACGCCTCGGGATGATCAGGATGGATCCAGACTTGACCGAGGACTCCAGTATCAATCGTGCACATGAGCTGCTGTCGCAGGATGTCAAGACAGTGTGCTAATGATTATTGTCAGTCTTGAACAGGATCTGACGTTGTGGAATACATACAGACGTGTCGTCGGACGATAAAATCGTCGTTCTTGAACGCTCCTTGGCCGAGATTGTGGTAGTAATCGTAGTTATAGTAGAGTGTTTGGCGCAGTAGATTCTTCACAGGTGAGTACTGATCTTGATATGACGGATTAAAGACCTACCAGACAATGTAAATGATGGAAGCCTTCTACATTCGCTGGATAGCCACCTCCATACTTTTGGCTGATTTTGACCTGGTCTGATGCAAGTCCAGACTTTTCTGCTTCCTCGGCCGGAACTCGCAAACTTCTGTCTGCTCAAGTGTTAGTATTTCGTTCATCACAGCGTAATCCGACTTACAATTTACACCTAATGCTTCCCATGCTGCATCTACCTCCGGACTGGCATCTTGGCGGTAAATGTTCTCCTTGAGCAGCGAGCCATTAAACCGCTGAGGTTGGAATGTTATGTCGACATTCGAGATAACAGGTGCTGTTATTGTTAACAATCGCATTCTCCAACCCGATAGAAATGAAGGACGTACAATAATGGGAAACGTGACGAGTACAGATCCTATCGAGGTCTTGCACTTGATGTCCGATGAAGAGTCCAACCAGGCACGAAACGACTACTGTCGCGATGTAGAGCAAAGCCTTGAGCCAGTCTTTGTGTGATCTGGTTCGAGGCTTCTCATCATGACTCCAATCCTGAGCTTCCTCATTGTTGAGTAAGCCATAGTTGGCATCGATATCGTTGTCTGACTCGGAGCGCGCCATATTGTCCTTGGAATACATAGCAGTTGACCATCCCAGCACAAAGGCTCAGAAGAAAGAAGATATAATCAAAACAAGCAACACGACCGAGGGAACCTTGACCGCAACTACTGTTGGATGGGTGGCAGTGTGATTGCATCCAAGTTCACTGCATGTCTCACAACCCCGCCAATGGCGGATTGTGTAGTAACAGGCCAACAGGCGGATGCAACCTGGAATTTGATGAGTTGTAAGACACGGGAAACCCGGTTTGGCAGATCCCTATCGGCTCTGTGCGACCCGAGCAACGCTTGGCTGCATCTTTGTCTCACTGGATTGATATTAATAGTGATGTGATGATGCAATGGACTGATCGACGAGGGCTTGGCTTGCATACAAGAGTCACGAGTCTGGCGGACAACCCCAACAGCTGCAAGATTGAGACATGCAGAAGATAGGCAATTGCCTGTTCCGGCTGTTCGTATGGTTGAATTTCTATCTCCCAGGTGATGGGCCATGGGTCCCAATGAGAATCGGTGGAGGTGAATATAGATAGAAACTGGTCAGATTGACTTTGCGGTTCCACGACCGGATATACAATGGACTAACTGCGCGGGGAGGCCGTTATTTGCATTCTTGTGGCAACAAAGCGTTGTACAATGTAACACAGCAGTCTATGTAGCTTCTTGCATTGTCCCTCCCTATCCCTGATTGGAATACCATGACGAGCTTGTATCCAGGCCATTTCAGACCACTGCAGTCATCAGAGACTTGACCAATAACCACGACTCGGTTGCTGGTGGAGCAATTTGCTACTAGGTGGCCCAAGTGCAAGTCGCAGAAAGGGAATGGAAGCAGTGCACTGTCTATAAAGCCTGCTACCCTTGTCTGTCATGATGACTTCCTTCTTTTCCCTGCCACGGAGCAAACTCTTCCCTTATCAACCTCATCTTTTATCATCCAGCACCATGCACTTACTTAGCAAAAGCGCTGTCCTCCTCCTGGCTCTGAGCGTCAGCGCCAGACCCATCGAGGAGGCTCGCGCCGAGGCAACAACGGCGCCTGTTGGTTATGGAGACTATGGCTCCTACGGCAAGTACGGTGACTACGGCCACTACAAGCGCGAAGACAAGCCTACCAGCACAGCTTCTGCAACCGAGACTCCTGTTCCAGGATACAGCAACTATGGTGATTACGGAAACTATGGTAAATACGGTGACTATGGTCACTATAAGCGTGACGAAGAACACACCACCACCGCCTCTGAGACCCCGACTCCTACTCCTACTCCCACTCCTGGGGACTACGGAGACTACGGAGACTACGGCGATTACGGCAACTACGGCGAGTATGGGAGCTATGAAGAGTACAAGGTGAAGAGAGATGATGAGCCTTGCTCCACCACCACAGAGACCCCGACTCCCACTCCCACTCCCACTCCCACTCCCTCTCCTGCCGACTATGGAGACTATGGAGACTATGGAGACTACGGCAACTATGGTGACTATGGCACCTACGAGAACTATTAGAGGGTTCGTCCGAGACGGAAAGACGTAGGTTCTCTTCTCTTTGATTGGAAATCGCTCATGCTGATGCATCGTTTATAGGAAACAGCTCGGAGGAAACAGGCTATGTTGAATTTTCTTGATGCATATCGAGCACAAATCTAGGCAACTGTGTTGGATGATGATGTTTACGCACTCCTTAAATCTTAATGTCTTGTCTAGATGAATCATAACAGTTACAAAAGTCTCAAACGTTCATTATGATCTGCGCTTTCCATTATGTGCTGTGTGAGGGGGCAGGAAGACCCTTGCATAGCAATTTACATCGATGGCTGTTAGAGAAAGCCCAGCATGCTACCCTCCCTCCATAGAGCCTTACAAACATATTGATGCGATTGATTCGAAGCAGGAGAAGATGCTAGTGTCTAGGCATACGCAGATTGACCGATGAGCACCTTGAGCAGAGCATGGAGGGGCCTGGCTCGTGAGACTACTACAACAATATCCCTTGCATATATACACAAGTGACATCCTGATGTAACCTACTTGATTGCGCAAGTGAACTCAACTCTCGGATGCATTGGTCCTGCTTCCGGATCCAGGTCCAATCTTTGGGTCGGTTGCCCTGTGATAAGGGTGGCACAAGGCGAAGGTTGACAATTCAGCGTAGGAAGCAGTTAAGACCTTAGCATACTCGTTCCGCCTGGTATCGGGGACTAATAGGGGCAACAGGAACCAGTAACATTAGTTTAGGGATCAGCATTTATGTTAGTCCGCAATCCATGACTTTTTCATAGCTCTCGGAGAGACGAAGCAATTGGTTCTCCCTTAGGTTTAGTTGCCTTTCGAGCTTCGATGGGGAAAGCTTGAGCAAGTCTAAGTTATTGATCTACAGGAGTTTATTTGGATGGCGGTGTTTGACGAAAAGACTTGTAACTCAATAAGAATTCATGTGAGATATAGGCCTACTAAGAAAAATAGATCATGTCGATCGAGTTCTTAGACATGGACTGGAGTCATATCTCTTACCTCTTGATAGTTCTCTGCACGATTGAGAGATTAGTCTACTTTTGATACTACTTGCATCTAGATTGTCTCATACTTGATCTTTCAGTAATCTTAGAATTCATGTTCACTTCCAATCCAGCATCAGGACACCAAATGCCTGTATGCTTGAGTGGGCGTGGGGCAGAACTCCGCTTCTATTAGTCTATTAATTGTCTCCACAGACCTCAGCTCGATAGTTGATACATATCAAAAGTCATTAATTAGCCAATTAGAGACCAGCAGTCTATAAGCACAAGGCCGGTATCGGATGCTCGGTCATATCCCGCACTTTTCTCATAATTAGTGTCGTGGCCGTCATCATCAGTAAGCATAGCGATATGTCGGTGCCATATCCCCCATATACTCCAACTCCTCTTCCGGCAACGCCTGCAGGTCAATTGTTCCGCTGGCAATGGCCCGATCGCGCTTCTTGTTATCGTACAGAACCGCCAAGAAGTAGACGATGGCCATGGCGGCCGAGAAACAGAGGAAGGACAAACTGATGATGTACCCGTTACGGTAGACAGGGGCGTCTTTAGCGAGAAAGGAGTAGGTGGAGATGATTCCGCCGACTGCGAAGATTAGCAGGCGACTGTGCACTGTTGAGTGAAGAACATACTATTTCCGAACCCAATCTGCCACGCCGTCCCTACGCTTCGGCGACGATGACCACCCAGGTTCATCGAGAACCAGCAGACTAGCACCGGCATCGCACTGTAGCAGCCGCTCGTGACGAGGAACAAGGCGCCGTATTGTATGTGGTGATGGTCGTGGACGTTGAGAAGGATGCCATACCCGGCCATGGCGATGAGCATCGGGATGATGGCGAAGATAAACCGGTGGCGGAATTTGTCAGACAAAAAAGCGATGACCATGGAGAAGCCAAAGGCCGCAGCCCATGGTGGGATGGAGTAGAGCTGTGTTTTGATGGCTAAAAAGGTCAGTTGAATCCAATCGATAGGAGACATGTTCGTACCATCGTAGCCGTAGGTTTTGATGATCGTAGGAGCAAAATAGGCATATCCTTCTGTCGTCAGTATCCCGCTCAAGAGTAGAACATGTGCATCCGTACCATAAGCAGTGACGACTTGTCCAAAGTACATCCATCCACCGATAAAGACCTTGTCTGCTCTGTGTTAGCGGTTCATCCATCAAGGCGAAGAAGCATGCTTACAATCCTTGAAAACAGCCAGAACATCGCGCCATCCAATGCTCGCATGTCTGGCAGCTTTGCCCACATCATCCGCCAGTTTGGTACGGATGAACTCTCTCTCCTCCTCACTCAGCCACTTTGCATCCTCAGGAAAACCCGGGATGATGAAAAAGCAGATCATCGCGACCAGGCAGGTGATCACGCCCTCGATGATAAACACCCAGCGCCAGCCGCCGTAGCCACGCAGCCCATCCATTTTTCCGATGCCGCTTGCAAGCAAACCGCCGAACGCACCGGCGAGAGTTGTTGAGCTGAAGAAGAAGCTGAAGCGCTTTTGAGCTTCGCTGCGCTTGTACCACATGCCCATGAGATAGAAACCTGTCCGGATTAGTAGGTTCGAGCGCAGGAGGAGGTGCACTAACATCCAGGGAATAAACCTGTCTCGAACACGCCGAGGAACCAGCGAGTCGTCATTAATCCGCCCCAGTTTGACACGAGGCCTTGACAGACTGTGACCAGACCGAAGCCGAACATGCATAATGACACTGACTTTGCAGTCAGTATGTATTCCTATTTGCGGGCGCCAACAAGACATACACCACACATGAGGCTTCAGTTTCTTCAGCAGGATATTCGACGGAATTTCAAAGATGATATAAGGAATGAAGAAAATGGTCAATGCAGTGTTGTATTTTGTCCCTGTCTGGAGGTGCAAATCTTCCTTCAACCCCAGAATCGCGGCATTACTGATGTTAACACTGCAAAACTGGTGAGCGGCCATCAATTATCTGGACATGGAAAGTTGACCCTACCGATCCAAAAATGCCAGCAGGTACATGACACACAAACATGGAATGACATGCCAATCGATTTTGGCCATCAACTTCCGCTCATCGATGGTTTTTGGCGACGTATCGAGCGACCCCTCGTCGCCATTCGGGGCAGATTCTTTCTCTGCTGCAGAATGTTAGCCTGTCTGAAAGCCGGTGCCATGGGCCACGCAAGACTGACTGATTACTCCCATGGCTGACACGCAACGGCTGACGAATATCTTTGAGTTCTAAAATCACTCAGGGCGACTCAGGAAACCAACGCGTGTTTATTTCCCTGGCATCGCCGACGTCGGGGGTCTCCGATGATTCACCCGGGGATGATAAGGACCAGACCGAGCAGGTGGACTCATCCCCATGTAATAAATGGAGACCGATGCGATCAGATTTTAGAATTCAGGTGATGAGTGGAGATCGACAGGTGAGCCATCCACCTCAACAAATAAAAGCCCAGCGAGGGGGTTGTATCTCGTTGCACAAGCGAGCTGAACGCTGAAGTATGCAGATCGTTGGCTGGAATGGGCAAGTATCGGCCCGTCGCGATCAGCCACTCCAGTCTAGTTCGGCCTAGATATTCCAGACTAACAGAGATCGCTTTTTTAGACTCTCCTTGGCATGAGAAATTCCAGCAATCATGTTCAGTTTCTCATTGCCTCGGTTCGATTGGACATGAGTAGACCAAGCTTTTGAACCATGACTCAGTAGTGCATTCAGGGATCAGCATAATCAATCCAGAGGACAATGCATATCTAAATTGATCAAGCGCAAAACCACGTTTTCATATTCCTACGAGCCTGAATTCGTTGGCGAATGAAACAGTGCGAGTTCCATAGCCCATGTTGTGGCATGTCAAGTGTAGCAACATATTCCTCAGGAGTCGATGCACTATTACCTGGACGTTGATGCTACCCAGGATACAATTGATATTCAGTGACAGACAGCAGAGCCGCTTAAGTAGCACGTTGACATTCGAAGGGACTCATATTCCAGCCTTATATGCCGTAGAACTCGGCTCTAAGCCTACAAGACAAGCGACGTCTCGAAAACATACTCAATGCTGATGGAGGCTCGCGGCGTGCTCTCTATGCAGCACGGAATCCGCCAAGGCACTTTTCCTACATCTCAAAAGATGTCCCAGGTTGACAGACGGACGCTAAGCTCAGACGCAGCCGCTCGATTGATCTGCATTCAGGGACTGGGAACAGCAACAAGCAACTGCCATTCCCGAAGAGAGGCGCATTTTCCCGGTCTAGGCTTAGGGCAGGACTATCAGTTGAGCAGGAAGCATTTGGGTGTGATGAGCCCACTGCCAGTATGCATCAATATGTTCTGAAGAACAAACTTAAATAGTTCATGTAGCATAGGATTGGTATACTACCCAGTCTTTCCGTGTTGTTGTTGATTTATAACTGTGAAAAGATGATCTGCTGACATCTATGCTTAGGTCTTGTAATGGCTAGGTTGTTCAATTAATTATGAATGAGAGGAGATAATATTATGAATGACCGCACTATCATGTTAGATAAATACCAGATAGACAGCATGACCTCTGGAGCGGGCCGAAGAGGCAAATGCATCATTTTATATTTGTGTGTCCTCAGGCTAATAATAATACTGATTCTATCCACTCTCCTGTACCCTGTGATTTACTTAGTATGCTAAATTTATGACAGGAATGGATGATGCCAAGGAAGACATTCACAAGGCTCTCTTTCTGATATTTAAAGCTGCGAAGATGGGCTTGAAATTCATGTATACGATTCTAGAGTCATGGATTCGTATTAAACTGCGTTCATGATACATACCAGGAAGTAATCATATACTCTCAGCATCCAGCAGAGCATACTTGCAGACAAAGGATATCATTATTAGTTGGCATTAACAAATTTTGCTCCTAGGTCTTAAAACCCTCTGGACAGATCCACGCCTTTAATGTGATGTCAAGTAGTCTACCCAATTTGGGCAAGCGTGTGGAATTCATCATATATCTTGAATCGATCAAATCAAGTACTGTCAAAGAGTACATAGTCAGCTAATCATATGTCAGCATGGAGCGCCTCCAGCAGTTGACGCCCTCGAGCCCTTCACCCGGATCATGTATCTGCTAATGGTTATAAAGAAGAATTCCCAACGTCTCAGTCGGCATCTAGAATACGGATATCTCTATGAAAACTGAGACGTCAAGACCGACATGTTAAGCTTCTCTCTAATCGTAAGGGTATTTTTACCCCCGAGGCATTGGACATATCAACTGCACCAAAGTGGAGCCGAGGAACGCAAGTCACTAGGTGGCTGTCAGGAAGCTTCACGTTTAGGTACACAGACTTTGAAGTAGCTATCACCGGCGCCATGGCAAGGGATGTTAGACAGGCAAAGATCTCGAGACTGCAGAAAGTCCTTACCCTAGACATGATCTACTGGCATGCATCGGGGAAGCATTCTCTGCCACCAGCTGTTTACTTCATTCGTCTCTCAACGTCAACACAAACAACATGCTCACAGAGAGTTTTGTACGTTTGTATATTTAACTTTACGTCCTGTCTTGGCTCTACATCGGTTTGTGACAGCGGCAAAGAATCAAGCGCTAAAGGTGAGAGCCGCGGCCCATCAGTAGGGATTCCAGATATATGACGGTAGGCAAATGAGAAAAGCGATGACTCTCCGCAATCTGACCTCGCTTCTTGCCCCGCCCCCCGCATCTGCATCCGCGCGGATTACCGGTAAGACTCTTGGAAAAGCCGTTAACGATCGAGAAATTCTGAAAGTCGAAGCATCTCGCTCTCTTGATTCCATTAGGCTGATCTCTCGGTTGGGAATACATTGCCATTGGCGAATACTCCCTCGCTCCAGGGTGTCAGGAGGACTGCCAAGTCGACCGCGCAAAGTCAAGCGCCACTCAAGGACCACACCCCGTATAGATGGCTGTTTCGGTCAGCTGTGCTGCAAGCCTAGTCATCTCGCGTGTACTAGACCCCGGAATTACTCCGCGTGAGCTGAAAATCTGGAGCTGCCATGAACGGCCTTTTTCTTGGCCGTATTAGATATAAAAGGTGACGACTGACGACTCCTACGACTGTGATCTACCACCTTGTACCTGCGAGCACCAAGCAGTCGCCGAATGTCCACAATGATGGATCAAAAGTCATCTCTCGATTATGCTGAAGATCCTGAGGCCAAGAAGGAGGTCATCGAGGAGGAGGTTACATTGGACGAGGAAACATTGAAGCTCGACCGCCAGACTCTTCTTAGGCTGGACCTTTTGCTTATGCCTATGACCCTGATGTTGTATCTGCTGGCTTGGTTAGATCGTGCAAACGTGGGAAACGCACGAGTGGTAAGTTGATCAACCAGCTGACGCAGATCTGTTGCTAAAGACCATAGGCCGGTCTGGAAAAGGACCTCCATTTGACCGATCTGCAATACAAAACAGGTACGCTTCGTTGACCACCCGTAATGGCCTTGCACTGACTGCTCAGCCATTACCGTCACTTATGTCCCCTATGTCATGTCCGAACTTCCCTCCAATCTCCTGCTGAAGATCATCGGCCCCCGTATCCTCCTTCCTACTCTATGCACACTCTGGGGTCTCGTGACAACCCTCCAGTCCCAAGTGCACAACTACTCCGGCTTCCTCGCTTGCCGGTTCTTCCTGGGCTTGCTAGAAGGAGGTCTCTTTCCGGGCATTGTTCTCTTCTTGTCCAACTTCTACCGCCGCCACGAACTCCAGGTTCGCATCGCCCTCTTCTTCTCCGCCGCCTCCTTGAGTGGCGCCTTCTCAGGCCTTCTCGCTGCTGCCATCCAGCAGATGAGCGGTACCCGCGGTATGAAGGGTTGGCAGTGGATCTTCCTCCTTGAGGGGTTGTTCACCGTCTGCTTCGGTCTCTTCTCCTTCTTCATGCTTCCCAACGGCCCGGAGAAAGTCATCACCTTTCGCCCCGAGCACTCGCAGCGCTGCATCGCCCGTCTGCAGCAGGACAGCAACAACTTTGAAACTGAAGCAAAGGTCACATTTAAGGGTGTCGTCTCCGTCCTGAAGGACCTCCATGTCTGGATCGCATGCCTAATTCTATTCTGCAATGGGGCATGCCTCTTCGGACTCGCCTATTTCTCGCCATCCATCGTCCAGGCGCTTGGATACAGCTCTACCAAAACACAGCTGATGACTGTTCCCCCGTACGCGTGTGGGTTCGTCGTGACAATGCTGACAGCGTACCTTTCCGACCGCCGACAGCAGCGTGGCGTCGGGGCATTCGTCACGAGTGGCATTGCGCTTATTGGCGCCGCGCTGGCCGTCAATGGACGTAGCGTGGGTATCCGCTACGCTGCCCTCATGCTTCTCGTGACGGGAGTGTATGCCTGCGCACCTTGCCTGATTAGTTGGGTGCCGAACAACACGGCCGGACACCTGCGGCGCGCGACTGCCGTGGCCATGGCGTTCATCGCGACGAATATGGGCGGCATCATGAGTACATGGATCTACCCTAAGGAGTCGGCGCCGTACTTCCACCTGGGCATCCGCTTCAATCTGTCCTTGTTGGTGATCGCTATGGTGCTTGTTGTGGTGCAGGTGCTATTGTTGCGGTTTTTGAATCGTAGGAAGGAGAGGGATCCGGTGAGACTGCTGCAGGGGCTTGAGGATCTGCCGTATGAGGAGCAGTTTGCCAAGCTGGGGGATAGACACCCGAGGTATAAGTATACTTACTAGTTGCACTAGAAAGACTCCCGAAGACGTCGGATTACCAATGGATGAGTCTGGTGTCAAACCATCTCGTATAACTAGCTATTTCAGTGTACTGAACCTGTCTTATATTTTTTTCTGGCCTTACTTGTCTTGGATTATTTGGAGAGTTTCCAAACTGTAGTCTATAGCTTACTAGCAAACCGCTTCTTGAGCTCCCTTCTCAGGATCTTTCCCGACGGATTCCTCGGAATCTCATCGATGAAATGAACTCCCCCTCGCAACTGCTTGTAGTAGACTACATTCTTCTTCACAAACTCCACAATCTCCCGCGCCGTCCTTTCCGTCACCAGCTCTCTGGACTTGGTCCTCACATATGCCCGCGGCAGCTCCGACCCGGCCTGCCCACTCGGCACGCCAACAACAGCCACGTCCGCAATGGCCGGATGACCGAGCAAGATCCCCTCGAGTTCAGCTGGAGGGATCTGAAACCCGTTATACTTGATCAACTCCTTCACGCGATCCGTGATAATAAAGTGTCCGTGAGCATCTTCGTAGCCAACATCGCCCGTCTTGTACCACCCGTCGGAGAAGGACTCCTCCGTCGCCTTGGGGTTGTTCAGGTACCCCAGGAACACGTTTGGCCCTTTTACCCACAATTCGCCCTCCTTGTCGGAACGGACCGTCTCCCCGTCGATCGGTACGTACTTGGCCTGCATATTGGGGAGCAGTTTACCCACTGCACCGGGAAACTCGCGGCCCTCCTGCCATGTCTGCATGTGCGTGCAGGGCGAGCATTCGCTCATCCCGTATCCCTGACGAACATAGATGGAGAATTTTGTTCGTAGAGCGTTGATGAGCTCTAGCGGTAGAGGGGCAGCAGCTGACTTGAGCATGCGCATGGAACTGAGGTCGTATTTTGTGGCGATGGGGTTCTGCACAAGTTGAAGGATGACGGGTGGAACGACGTAGCCGTATGTCACTTTGTATTTCTGGATGGCGGCACAGACTTGTTCTAGATCGAAGCCCGACATGACTACGCTCGACATGCCGATATAGAAGCTATAGTTGATGAGGAAGCTGAGGCCTGTTCCTTGTGAGAAGAGTTCTGACTGTGCCAGGTCCTCGACTTACCCATGATGTGGAAGAATGGGAGAAAGGCAAGCGCGGTGTCGCGGTGACCGAGAACGCCATCATCCACTGCTTCTGCCTGGAGAATATTGGCCACAATGTTGTAATGCGACAGCATCACTCCCTTGGGGAGTCCCGTGGTACCGGACGAGTAGACCAGAAAAGCTACCTCTTTCTCCGGGTTGACGATTAGCGGTATATGTGGACGTCTGAATTCATCATCCGAAACGAGGGATGGATCTGACTGCCACATATCTTGTTTGGTGTCATCGATCACGATGATCCTGTCGGCATTGAGACCAGCCTTCTGCGCCGCCTCTAGGACAACCGCATACTGTGCCTTTTGAGTCACAACTGCCTTGGACCCGGAGTCCTTCAGGTAATGCACCAGATCTTTTGCCGGAAAATTAGGATTGAGAGGACTAACGGTCGCTCCGATGGAGAGCGCACCCCATATGATCGGGGGAAGGTTGACCGCGTTAGGTGATATGACGGTCAGGACTTCTCCCTTCTTCCAGTTCCATTTTCTCTGGAGAGACTGTCCAAATTTGAGACTTAATTTGCGAACGTCTGCAAAGGTGTATGACCGTCCTGTGGCAGCGTCGATCAGGACAACATGGGAATCTGGGATGGACTGGGTTTCCCGCTGGAAGAGGAAGCTCCATAGGTCGGTCTTGGGAATGACCACGTCGGGATATGGGGAGTAGGTGACCATGTTGATTGTGTATAGTTTGGAACTTCAATGTCTTACCAGATCTACTACAATTCTCTCGCTATATAACTGCTATGCTTCTTGCTCAGTACATGGACCTTGACGAGTCGATCCAAACTGTAATAATTTAGTCTCAAAGAGGATCTCTCATATTTCCCCATAATTCCCCAGCCGATAGCACATCGGAGAACAATTCTCCTAATTCAACTGGCCTCGGTCTTTCAATAGAGTTTCCCGAGGCTGAGTCCGTTCGGATCAGAGAGACGGCAAAGGGATCAAGCCCAGGAAAAGTGTTAAAAGTAGTCATCTACCAGGTATCTCCTTTGTCATTCAGGCGCCGTTCCAACCATGGCTTTGATTCATCCTTGAGAGAATATACCAGGAACGACCGTGGATCATAGATGCCCAATTGATCAAGTCAATTGATTCCATATCTGGGGAGTACTTCCGCGCACTTTACCAGCGCTCTCCAAAGCCTACGACTGTGTGCAACAAGGATCCTCCATCAGTAGCTCTGACATGACCTTTCAATACAGGACAAGAAAAGCATATATAACATGAATTACTATCTGCTGATTCGCAATGCAACATAGAAGGGATTCTGGAACTTATATTTGCGGGTGCTTGGAGATGCCCATCTCCCCCTGGTCTAGTAATATCTGCAGTGTGCGTGTCCACTCAATACAAAATACCTTGAGATCTGGATTCACAGGCTGCCTATATGGCTCCGGCCATGCAATCTCCTCTCCCAGCATCTCTAGTCCCAGTACCCAGTCAGCACGCACAACCTTGCGCGTCCCAGTGACTGCCTCACTGAAGGCGTCTAGCACTATGTAGCACCCGCCTGCATGCCCCAGCACCACATAACACAGCTGCATGCTCTCAGTTATTATAATGTAGTTAAGCACATACTGCAGCAAGTTATATATTAGGGCTAGGATCCTGTCCGCGCAGCTAGCTAAGGTGTAGTTAAAGATGTGGTTAGTGCTGAATGAGTAGACCAGCTTGAAGTTGCACAGTAAGCAGGTTGTGATTATTGTATAGCTAGCTAGTTTGAGGAGCTGCAGCGCGGCGGTGCCTATTATGCTAGACCCACTATTAACTAGGACTGTTGTCGCTGTGTTGCCCTTTGCGCTGGGATCGGTGGCGATGGGCTCGAGGGGGCTGCCGGGGAGAGCGAGGCTATTGAACAATGCCGTGCCGACGGTCATCTAGGGGGTACCGAGACTAGCGCCTTCGGGGAAGCGCCAGGTGGTCGGTAGCTTGAGCGAGGCCCAGTACGGCGTTGTGGTGTGCGTGGCAAAGGCCCCAATGTCCGGACGCAGCGGGTTCGGGCCTGAGACGGCAGCGCAGATGCGGTCGCCACCTTTGATGCTGCCGTCCCTTGCGGCTGCAGTACCTACGGCTGTGACGACGCCGGCAAAGTCGCAGCCCGAGAGGGCACTGGGGGTGTGCTAGTCGCCAACCATCTTGGTGTCGACGGGATTGAGGGAGACTGCCTTGACCTCAACGGCAACACGGTCATCCTCGAGCGCAGGCACTGGGGCCGAGTGGGAGAGGACGATGTTGCCTTGAGAGTCGCCGACGAGTGCGGTTTGGGTTATGGTGACGGCGACCATCTTGAAGTTTGGATATTGAGGTTATACGGAGAGCGCTGGTTGGTATAGAGTGGAGGGAAACAGACCAAGGGTCCAAATCAGCGAGTGGTTTCTCCGGAGTGAGTCCATCCTAGTATATTAGGGAACTCGTGGAAAGACCTTATGTAACCCTCGTTTCGGTCATTCCAGAATATCTCTGCCAGACGCTGGAGATGTCCATCGGAGTACTTCGGGCAGGTCCCAAGCTGCTGCAAAGGCCGATGATCGGAGTCAAGCTACTGCAGTAATAGCCTAAAAGTGAGATATACTCATAGAAACACCCTCTCGTCCTTAGTACTCGGTCCACTTCTACATCAATTTATCAAACTGACCAACAACACTCCATGTAGATTACATAGAACTTATATAGGACAATCCCTCTCCGTAAGCACTCTTCTACTACTCTTTCAGGTGTAACTTTCAGGTTGTAGCAACAATTGAGATAATGAATATCATATAAGGTCATGTGACACCGCCTGCATTCCCAATTGGGGCCGTTGACTCATATGCCATCAGGGGATTCTTTCTTTTCTTCTCTCTGTCTTGCTTATTCTCTCCTTCAACCTCGTGTCGCTTGTCGGTCCCTCTTTCTACTCCCACTGATCCTCACCGTCTTCGCAGTGTCATCTCCAGTCTCTTCCCTTTGGTTTGACCACAATGCTCCGTTCCCGCCTAGCGGCGCGAGCCCTGAACAAGGCCATCATCCAGCCGCTGTCAGGTATCCCGCGCCCATTGATCTTCCGTCCTACTCTTCCTGCCCTCTCCTGTGGACAGAAAGCGCCCTCAAATGTTAGACAACAGGCTACCGCTGCGACAGTTTCAACAAAGTCAGTCCTTCCCTCATCAGGTAATCCCCCTCATAGCAAAACCGACGTGACTCGACTAACTGTCGAGAGTGTGCATGCTGACAACTTTACAGCGAGGCCGAGAAACACAACCTATCCTTCAATGAAAAGACCGAGAAAGAATGGAGCCATGTTCAGCTCCTCGTCGACCCTCGCCATAGCAAAATGGACGAATCGTACGTTTATCCTCGCCTGACCTGCGGATTTGGTATACAGCTGACAGATGACCAATTAGATTCATTGGTATGACAGGAGGAGAGATTTTCCATCAAATGATGATCAGACACAATGTGAAACACATTTGTATGTAGCAGCTCCTCCTTAACTGTGCGCGTGACTGCCAATACTCACTTACCACGGCCAGTCGGCTATCCGGGCGGTGCGATTCTCCCCGTATTCGACGCCATCTATAACTCCAAACATTTCGATTTCGTCCTGTCGAAACACGAGCAAGGAGCGGGCCACATGGCCGAGGGCTATGCCCGTGCGTCTGGGAAACCCGGTGTTGTTCTGGTGACAAGCGGTCCTGGTGCTACCAATGTGGTCACGCCGATGGCCGATGCGTTGGCTGACGGAACGCCGATGGTGGTCTTCACGGGACAGGTCTCAACTACTGCCATTGGAAGCGACGCTTTCCAGGAGGCTGATGTGGTTGGGATATCGCGAGCCTGCACCAAGTGGAATGTCATGGTCAAGAGCGTGGCGGAGTTGCCGAAGCGAATCAACGAGGCCTTTGAGATCGCCACAAGTGGACGACCGGGCCCTGTGCTGGTCGATCTCCCCAGAGACATCACGGGTGGTTGCCTTCGGAACGCCATCCCCACGGAGTCGACCCTTCCTCCCCTGACAAGTGCCGCTGCTCGCCAGGCGGTGGAGTTACATAAGAAGCAGCTGGATGAATCTCTTCGGAGCGCGGCCGAGATCATCAACAAGGCTGAATCTCCCGTGATTTTTGCCGGCCATGGCATTATCTGGTCTGAAGATGGTCCGAAGTTGTTGAAGGCTCTGGCTGACAAAGCATCTATCCCTGTCACCACTTCACTTCACGGCCTCGGGGCCTTCGATGAGCTTGACAAAAAGTCCCTCCATATGCTGGGAATGCATGGGTCTGCCTATGCTAATATGGCCATGCAGAATGCAGATGTCATTATTGCCCTCGGTGGCCGCTTCGACGAGCGTGTCACCTGCAACGTGGCCAAATTTGCCCCCAAGGCTCATGCTGCCAGTAAGGCGGGACGCGGCGGCATTGTCCACTTTGAAATCATGCCCAAAAATATCAATAAAGTCGTCCAGGCGACCGAGGCCGTCGAGGGTGATGTGGGTGCCAATCTAGGACTTTTGATCCCTCAGATTAAGGAAAAGTCCATGTCGGACCGCAAGGCCTGGTTTGACCAGATCAACGAGTGGAAGAAAAAGTGGCCACTTTCCGCGTATGAGAAGGCTGAGCGCTCCGAGTTCATTAAGCCGCAAACCCTCATCGAGCAGTTGAGCAGCCTCACCGCCGACCGCAAAGACAGTACTTATATCTCGACGGGCGTCGGGCAGCATCAGATGTGGGTTGCTCAGCATTTCCGTTGGCGTCACCCCCGCACCATGATCACATCTGGTGGCCTTGGGACGATGGGTTATGGCTTGCCTGCAGCAATTGGGGCCAAGGTTGCCAAACCTGATGCCCTTGTCATTGACATTGATGGTGATGCGTCTTTTTCAATGACTCTAAATGAGCTATCAACTGCCTCGCAGTTTGATATTGGGGTGAAGGTCATTGTCCTGAATAATGAAGAGCAGGGCATGATTACGCAATGGCAGAATCTCTTCTATGAAGACCGTTACGCTCACTGCCACCAGATGAACCCCGACTTCGTTGAGCTTGCGGTGTCCATGGGCCTCCAGGCCCGCCGGGTGGTAAAGCCTGACGATGTTGTTGACAGTCTGAAGTGGCTGATCGACACGGACGGACCAGCGCTGCTCGAGGTCGTGACTGATAAGAAGGTGCCGGTGTTGCCAATGGTCCCTGGAGGGTCAGGTCTGCACGAATTCATTACGTGGGACAGTGGTACGTCATGAAATTATATCTCACTATGTCGACAGATTTCTTCTAACTATTGTGGATGAACAGCGAAAGATACAGCACGTCGGGAGTTGATGCGGCAACGGACACTCGGACTGCACGGCTAGATCATGCCAATCGAGCAAGGCTGACTCGTGCGAGGAATTGCATAATGGCCATCTCGGTTTTCTTGTGCAACGACTACCACAAAATTTCTGGACCATGAGGGGGAAAAGTCTCCGTATTCAGTCTTATGTGGTCTGGAGACAATAGTCTCTCTTGAGCCAGTCAAACAGTTAGCATTGCATTTCCTGAAGGTTGCAAAAGTTGATATTGATATTAGTGTTGTAGGTACTCAAAGGAATGGCTCTCACAATTCTGTTTATCATTGTCTGCATTACATGGCTTTTCCTGTCTATCTATAATCCCTGTGATGTGAGATCTGTAATACAAGATCTATGATGCACCATGGAGCAACCTCAGTGGATTGATTGGTTCATTTATCATCATGACTGCGCTGATGGAGTATATCATTGTGTGCATTTACATTGGGACTGGGTTTATGATTCCTGCTACAAAAGGAATTATAGGGAATGCAGGAGCATGGGATCAGGAGGTTGGCGTGGAGGGAACCATTCAAGGGCGCAGTGAGTATAGGAGGCTTCTCTCCAGAGGGTGAGGGTAGAACTACAACCAGAGTATCAGTATGTCCTTAGGAGGCGTTGAACTAATAGAAGGGTATTCACAACGGAAATCCATGTACATTCTTTACTCGGAGTCAAGCAACTTGCCCTAAAAATGTGGTGTATTCAAAACCATCAGACACAATAATCCCCTAATCAAGCCAGCAGAAGGGCAGCATCAATACCCATCCACTAAAGAGAAAGCCCAGCTATCTCTAATTCAGAGCCCCCAGATCCGTGGAAAACACAAAGTTTGTTCCAGACCGGCGGAAAACTTTATACAAAGTCACACGAGCGGCAGTTCGATGGGAATTCGGGATGCCTCAACTTCAACATTCACAACAATTCAACAGACCAGAATCGCATTGTCCAAGGAAAGCTGACCCCAAAGGTGAGCTACCTATGGGGATGTCCCATCATGGCCATCACCTCCTCTCCAGTAGAGGGTATCGTAGGTGGCTACAAGGGCAACAGCTTTGCCATTCAAGGCACCTTGATCGCGTTTCTAAGCTGTGCCATGTTCAGCGCCCTTGAAGTTCTCGTCATCGCCCTGACCACTTTCAAAGTCTACGGCGGCCTCTATTTCTGGAGCATCATTGTCACATCGAGCTTAGGCATCGTTCCGGATGCGATCGGCCTCCTCCTCAAGTATTTCGAATTGGCGCCGATTGGCGTCTCTGCAACTCTCTCGACATTCGGATGGTTCGTCATGGTCACCGGGCAGTCTCTGGTCTTATATTCCCGGCTGAATCTGGTTGTCGGAAGCGAAAGGGTCGTCCGCTTCGTGCTCTACATGATTATCATCGATGCGGTCATCTTGGCGACTCCGCAGATTGTCGTCACGTACGGCGCGATTTACTCGGACAACCCGCGGTTTGTTCAGGTGTTCAAAATCTGGGAAAACCTGCAGTTGACGGCGTTCTTTGTCCAGGAGGTGATCATCTCCAGCATATTCATCGTCGAGACGGTGAGGATACTCCGGCTGTATCCGACGCGCAGTAAGCGGAGGACGAATATTATGTACCAGCTCCTGTGTATCAATGTGATCATCATCATGATGGATGTTTCTTTGCTGGTGCTGGAGTACCAGAATCTGTTCATTCTTCAGACTGCTCTCAAGACGTTCTTCTATTCGGTCAAGCTGAAGTTGGAGATTGCTGTTCTCTCGAAATTGGTGTCTTTGGTGGATTTTCACGCCAGTGATGCTCTGACCAGTGAGATAAATCCTTGATTCACCCAGTGCATATATAGGGCGAATGATATAATCGAGATTGAATGGCATCAATAAAAACAAGATTGGGGTTGTTTAATCTCCTGTTTCTATGCTGAGCAGGATACTCAGCCCGCACATTCAACTGTTGCTTCAGCCTTCGGTGCATCTGCCACGCGGATCGAGAGAGACTCGCATCAGCGGCCGGAAAAAGTTGGCTTCTTACTCAAGCGTCATGGTATTCCTTGCAAAGCCTTGGTCCATTGAAACCCGGATATGGATATCTTGAAGTCCCTTCACAGTGCCGATGACTTCCCACGTCCCGTTCCGGTGGTCAAACCACTCGTCACTCAATATTTGAATTGAGCGGAACAGGGTTGACTGGCCAAGGAGATCTCCAGCTATTGAATGAGTTGAGGTACCAGAATAGAACTGAGAACTGTAAGTGTCCAAACATGCCTGAAGCTTTCCAGTTAAATGTTAGGTGTGTCCTGACAATAGAATATTCAATGGCTTTGCTTGACTGATATCATCTTTTAGTGACATGATATACCACATGCATGTGAAGGTACATATGCACTTGCTGACCCGTCAAAAGATGAGGAAGCCTCTGTGTCGCGGCCACCTTGGATTGTTTTCTATCGCTATCTGCGCTATCCAATGTAGACAAAATAAGGTGTGACTTGGGACCTTGCAATGGGCACACGCAATCCTTCGGACTGGGCTCTTGTGTGCTAACTATTTCTGCTTGATGACATGGATTGTCTTGCCTAGTATGAGCTTGTAGATCTGTAATCGAATCTCCAACGGTCGCTCCACCAGGAAGAGGCTTTCCTAGATGTCTGTATCTCCATTCTGGAAGGTCGGCGCCTGTCTGCTGGTGACTCTTTTGGTGAGGAGATGTGGATGAATAGATTCAAGAAGTTAATGCATATTGGAGTCGACTCAAATTTCCCTGAATCACTTCCAACTAAAGACTCTTGTATACGATGAAGAATGGCTGAAATCAAGAGCGTAGGCTGCCCTTAATGAAGGCCTGGAGTGTCATGTATAGTGGCGTGCCTCCTTGGTGTAGCAGAGGGAGGTTGATCACTTGGAGAAAATGGCACAACTCCAGCCACATATTGATACCGATATGGGATATTGTAGGGACGATCATATCCGGAGGACCGGAACTGATGGGATGTCAAAGCTTCTGCTCCGAGTTGATCCCGAGTAAATAAATGAACCGTCTATGTTCAAGATAGATAGGACAGACTTGATACAACTGCGGGAAATTCCTCAGTTGATATTAATATGGTTCCATTCCTTTCTTGCTCCCTTTCTTCCTGCGATCCTTCTCCACCGGTTCTAACAGAAGGAGATAGAACAATCAGTGCCTGCGACCAAGGAAAAGTAATTTCGCAGTCATGTCATGTCTTGCTCGAGATCTTAATGCTTGATGCTTACTGCTTACCCAACAATTGGATGCGCACATTCGAGCACATTCTGACTAACACAGCATGCTGATGATGTCATCCCAACACTCTGGATGGTTGCATTCGATGTCCATGACAATAGTGATCATACAACACAACGGGCCGGGCTAGGTCTTTGGGACGGAAATGCCGGAACTCAATCACTCTCTCACTCTGAGTCTGAATAAATGCCGGTTGGATATCTGCACCCCCCACTAGCCTTCTCTCTTCATCCGACTCCAAGGAGAAGAAGAGCACCGCATCACAAAACACCATGGAGGTGATACTACCAAGCTGGCTGCCCTTATCAATATACGCATGGCTTGTTCAGCAGGTCGCCTTTCATGCCGCTGGACTCGCATTCGAATGGTGCGACCGTACCCACAGCATGGCCCATCTGAAGGTCCGCGATGTCGACCGCAAGTCTTACATGCAGATGCTCCCGCGTGTGTTGTTGAACCAGTGTTTCATTCTGCTTCCAAGCATGATGCTTGTACAGGCAGCAGGCTATTGTTTCGTGGGCGCAACGCACCTACATCCCGTACACTTTCTTCTGTCGCTCCCGGCAATGGCCGTCGGTCATGACGTCGTGCAATATCTCACCCATCGGTTTCTGCTTCACAATCCGAACCTGCGACTTATGCGCCTGCTGCAGCACTCGCTGCATCACTCAACAGGAGCCAGTCGGGGAATCAGTGCATGCTACATGTCCGCCCCGGACTTCTTCCTCGAGATTGTTTTGCCATATCTCGTCCCTCTTGCGCTGGTAGGCGGCGGCGGCGCAGATGTCCTCTTTCATTCTCTTGTCGCGGGGTCAGGGGCTATAGGTGGTGTCTACGAGCACTCGGGGTACGACTTTTCTGTACTGTTCTCTCCAAAAGCGAACCTCATGGGAGGGAGAGGACAGTCATCGAGCTGGACACCAAAGATTGCAGCTTTAATCCAAGATTTTGTGGACAATCGCGCTCACGGAGAACATCATTCTCGTGCAATCGTTTCATTTTCTGATGGATTTGGCAGTCCGGGGATATGCGACAGCCTTTTTGGCACGCGGTGGGATCTGGTGGCTGCGCGCCGGGCAGCAGCAGAGAAGGAGTGGCAGGCTCAACGGAGGAGACATATGACGGTGCAATGACACGCTTTTTCCTCTTCTTTTTTGATTTCTCGTCTTTACTAGCTTTTCCAATAATACAGTTCTGGCCATCCCGGGTAGACCCGGTTATTGCTTGTATACTTCTTGAGAACCTAAGGATCTCAGTACCTTGTGAATCTCGCGATCTCCTCTTGTCTTATGAAGGTCTTTGTCCTAGCTCTACAAAAACATGGAAACACGAGGGTCATATACTTGTCACGCATTTCCTTAGTCCTGTAGACTTCAAGGGTCACGAGTCGTCAGCCTCGCTGTCCATCGGGCAGCACGAAGAGTTCCGCTCATCTTATTCCGGCTGCGCATAATAGCCTTCATGTCCGGTCATCTTCCCCTTTATACCAACACTAAAGGCTATGATGAAAAGATGGCAGCCGCGGTTTCGGATGTTCCCCCTCTGACTTCTACGCAGTATCAAGAATCATGTACAAGGTTGTTCGCGCTTTTAAAAACGAAAAGGGCGCTTCATCCCAGTATGCCGCGCAGGTGGCTTTCCTAAAATATAGTCAGACAAAGCTTTTCTCGGGTTGGACGTAAACTCACATGGTTTGAAGCAATAGGAGCGAATTGATCGCCTGCAGTGGTTGGCAGATCTTTTCCCGGAATTGGTCGACTTTTCCCGCCATTTCTTCCAGTGTAAATTTGATAGTTCTTGGGATCTTCTGCTTCCAAGACTTGGTTGCCGATGGTGCGAGAGAAGGCTCGTACTGGGAGGCATACTTTGCGAACTTCTCCCAGGGTCCGCGCACATCCTCAAGTAAACTCAAAATGTCGGGAGATATATCGTCCTTTGCGTTGCTCTGGGCGTGAGTCCTCAGGTGCATCAACGTCGACCTGAAGCTTCAGAAATACTTTGCAGAAGATACAAGATTATCCTCTACGTCCAGAGCACTGCGCTCAGCTTGTCGAAGCAATCAGACTGGCGGATATTCCAGCCGAGTTGGAGAAGCAAATCAAGACTCTCCAGCAGGCAGCAGACGAGCACAGCCTCAGACAGGACGACCAGCTTCAGAACATTATCTCCATTCGTGCTGAGCTCGAACAAATGACGAGCGAGATGAAGGACGTGTTAGATGTGCTCAAGACACACGTCCGAAGCTCTCGCAACGACAGACAGCATCTGATAGGTCTAAACAACGCACATATTGGCCGGCTTACCAAGGTCCTAGAGAAAATAGAGACTAGTGAGCTTGAAAAGGCAATCAAAGATCAGCAGAAAACGATCGATGCTCTCCGCTCCTTTCTGGAAGACAAAGTATCTGCCAGTCAGAAAGAAAGCATCGAAGACAAAAGCGACGCCTCGAAATGGCCATCAGCGACAATCACGGCTGCTTACGTGGCAGCTACACTTTTCTCCAGTGTCGCCTCAATGTGCGCCACGAGAACTATCATGGTTCGCACATTTCCCGACGTTACTCAAACTCGTATCCAAGATCTTATTGAATCACGAAAGAAGTATCGAATCTCTTCCGAAGGAAGAGTCAACGTTGACACTCCGCAAGCCTCATCCGCTCTGTCTGAAGAATCGGTATCTGCTCGCAAAGCCGCCACAACATCGGATGGCAATTCGCAACACGGAAGCTGGCCTGTTTTGTATGAAAACTGGCTCTATGAATACAGAACGATGGGGTCTCCTCCTGCACCACCTCGCAGGGTGACCAGCTCCCTAGCCAAGTTCTTCAGGAACCCAGGTGCGGACTCGAGATTGTCGAAGCTTTCAGAACCATGTCCAGTGTATGATCCAGTGTTTTCCGATTCTGACGGATCCTAGAGGTGTTCCTTGACTCTACCGTAATGATGCAGGCGCTTTTGACAAACTCGTTTCCGATCGCGGGGGTCATCATGACGGGTTTGAAGCTATCAAGAGACCCCGTACTATGCTGGCGTTCAGTCGGCTGCATTGTGGTTGATTGAACCGTCATGATGCGAAGTATATATTGCCAGTGGCGTTTGCGATGCTTCTTGGATTGTTGATTGTTCATCTTATACGATTATTTGATCTATATGTCTCCATTCAGTGGGTTGCAATACGTCTACATCAACAATATGCTGCTTGATGCCATCGTATAGATTCGGCTTTCGGCGTTAGGCAATCCTCCGCTTAGCATCGGATATGATCCTGAGGCATCAATAATCGGCCTGATTTTGTTATCGCCGAAAGGGGGTCGGCGAGAAACAGCCAATCACAGCTCGGGTTCTGAGATCTGATTGAGTAATGGCCAGCCGAGGATGCCCCGAAGTGGACTAGCGTGTATCACTCCCCGCATCTTTTGCTGTCGCGGTCTCTCATTGTTGAACTCTGCTTCCGTCATATATCCAGGGTAGGGGTCAACAGTGTTAGTGGGAAGCCCAAAGAGCAAGCAATACACTGTCCGACTGTTCAACTTCAACATGGAAGGTGAAACTCTACCCCTCGCCCAATACCTCTTCAAGCGTCTGCGCCAATTGGGTGTAGACTCTATATTTGGCGTACCTGGTGACTACAATCTAACCCTTCTGGATCATGTTGTACCCTCGGGACTTAACTGGGTTGGAAATTGCAACGAGCTCAATGCAGGGTACGCTGCGGATGGATACTCCCGGATCAAAGGTACGTCCTATCCTTCCTCATACTGCCTTGACGGAGGCTGATTAGTTAGGTATCGGTGCCCTGGTGACCACCTTCGGCGTTGGCGAATTATCCGCTGTCAATGCCATCGCAGGTGCTTATGCAGAGAGAGCTCCAGTGGTGCACATTGTTGGGACTCCGGTACGCGCGTCACAGGAGTCGCGCGCAATGATCCATCACACCTTCAATGATGGCGAATACCAACGGTTCGATCGCATGCAGGAACATGTGACGGTAGCGCAAGTCAGTCTGAGTGATCACCGCACGGCGCCTGCCGAGATCGACAGAATTCTGCTGCAATGTCTGCTGCACAGTCGACCGGTGCGCATTACTATCCCTGTTGACATGGTGCCCGTGCTTGTCCCGACAGCGGGGTTCGCATCGAAGATCGAGATCCCGCCTCCCGTGCGCCAGCCGCAGGTGGAAGAGGCGGCCCTGACTGCTGTGTTGGAGAGAATTTATAACGCGAAGAAGCCCATGATTCTCGTTGACGGAGAGACAAGAGCGTTTGGTACTCTTAATGAAGTGGATCATTTCGTCAAAACGACAGGCTGGCCTACATTTACGTCCGGCTTCGGCAAGGGGTTGGTTGACGAATCTCTACCAAACGTCTATGGGGTGTATACGCCTGCCCACAAAGAGTTTGTTGACTCGTGTGATCTGGTCTTGTCTTTTGGACCACACTTCAGCAACACAAACACCTACATCTTCTTGGTGAGACCACAGGACGAGACGAGTGTCCTACTCAACCCAACCTCCGTTCAAGTCAATAAAGACATTTACCGTGACCTCCCGGTCAAGTACTTCATTCAGCAGCTCACAGAGCGACTCGACACGTCCAAGATCCCCTCGCACCAACATAACTTGGTCCACCCCTCAGCCAAAGTACTCCCCGAAGTGTCTTCTACCGACCTGGTCACACAGACTGCCGGCTTCTGGAGACGGCTGTCACCTTTCTTCCGCTCTGGCGATATAGTACTCGGCGAAACAGGAACGCCAGGCTACGGCGCCAATGACTTTGTCCTGCCCCCGCAGACCCGTCTCTTCAAGCCAGTCACCTGGTTATCTATCGGATACATGCTTCCTGCTACGCTGGGAGCGAGCTATGCGCAGCGTGATCTGATCGCGCGAAACGAGTACCACAACCTCTCCACCGCCCGAACAATCCTCTTCATCGGCGACGGCAGCTTCCAAATGACTGTTCAAGAGCTGAGCACTATCATTCACCAGAAACTCAACGTCATCGTCTTCTTGATTAATAATGACGGCTATACCATCGAGCGATGCATCCATGGCCGGAACCAGGCGTACAACGATGTCGCCCGGTGGCGGTATCTCAAGGCCCCGGAGCTGTTCGGCGCGGATCAAGAAGGCGAGTATGCGTCGCGGACATGGGAGATTCGCACCTGGGCGGACTTCGACTCTGTGCTGAAGGATGAACAGCTTGTAAATGGCAAAGGACTGCGGATGGTGGAGGTGTTTATGGACAAGTTCGACGCGCCGGATGTGTTGATGAACTTGCTGAATGCACAGATTGCGAGGGACAATGCGCAGAGATAGGGTAGTCACATAGACTTGGAACTTATAATTCATGGCTTCTGCCCCTGTGTTGATGATGTAGGTCGCTTTGTCGGCGATAGGAGCCTCTCTCTGGGACAACCAAATTGGTTGCTTCCAGCCTGCTCCAATTCAGTTGAACCATCCTTCATGTGGGGACAAAAAAAAAGACATAAAGAGCATCCATCATAGGATGTAGAGGAACAGCATACCGGTCACGATGCCACATAAGTCCGAAGCTCATAATGTAGACCTAGTCCTGCGACCACCAAGAACGAAAGTGGGACTTATTTTTCGATCCCGGGGCCCAAGGACCAAAGCTATAACATGTACATTGATTTTTGCCTCTACAATTTCAAACACTTCTGTCGTGCAGAATTCCGTCCGTGTGATCGTAGAGTGGCGTTGCTGGCATTACGATTCAACTAGTCCGTTCTAGACTATTGCCTGCAAAACATCCAATCCATGTCTTGTTGTTTTTAGTCTTCCTCTAAACGGCCAGAATAGAACTCACTTGTCGAGCGGCCAAGGACGATTTTTGCTGTAGCCAGCAATACGTATAGCACTCCCGAAGTCGACTTTTTATATGACATCGAAACTGGGTAGCCAAACTCTAATTGCTGATATTCACGAACATAAACAAGGCCGCACTATGTCGACTGAGCAGTGACCTTCTTCCAGCTCTCCCTGGCCTTCAACCCCTCCCAATATTTCTGGAAATGCGGGTACTTTGCAATCAAGTCCGCGAATCCGAACTGTTCCACAAACACACCGTATGGCAGATGCGCCAGATCGGCAAACGTCACTTGGTCACCAGCAAGGTACTTCTGCTTGGAGAGAACCCGCTCGTAACCCTGAAGAGTCAGGTCGAGCTGCGAAAGCAGCGTCTTGACCCGCGCTTCATCGGTCTCGCCGTGGCCCTTGAGGGGCTTGAAGACCTTTTCGTAGGCGAGCTGTGATACAAAGGGATCAAAGTAGGAGAGTTCGATGGAGACGGCCTGGCATTGTCAGTGCTGGTTCAGCCTGAGTTGGGTGACTCGGACATACCTGCTGGTACAGAGCCCATGCTTTCAGATCAGACTCAAGGGGGGCAAGTTCTGTGCCTTGGCCACGGTATTTGGCAATGACGTATTGAGCAATGGCTCTGCTTTCTGTTAGACAAGAGTTAGCGCGAGTATATCGATTTTTAGCCGGGGAAATGCTACCGAAGACCTGAACGCCTGTCTCGGTGTCCTGCAGAACAGGCACTTTTCCAAACGGCTGCATTTCCAAGTAAGACTCCGTCCTTTGCTCTCCCTTGGCGAGGTCGACGCTGTGGAATTCAATGTCGACACCCTTCTCAGCGAGCGCGAGGCGCACTCGGGTCGTGCAGGTCGACCGGAGGAATCCGTAGAGCTTGAGGACCATTGTGTCTGACGGTTAGGCGTATGCTTTTTTTGATCGCAATTGAGTTTTGAGGTTGCGGTTCAGAATCTTCAAAACATAGAGGACGATGAATCCACATGTGGTCTTATATAGTGAAACGACCCTCTGTAGTGGGGCCGAAGTCGAGCGATAATGAGGTCAGATTTGAGCGTGATTAACAAGCAGAAGTAGCCTACGGAATTAATTCCGGCTCCACATCTGGTTGCTTATGGATAGTATCAATCTTCTAGTTTCGTGTGCCCCTGGTCCTTGTCCATCTGACACAATCTGCATGAGTGGTAAATAGTCAGCATGAACTATAACATAAAATACTTTAATGCGAATCCGGCTCTACTGAGCAACAAAGCTCAAATCCAGATTGAACTGCCTTGTCTAAATAAAGGAAGCAGATCTGCGGCAGGTGAATCCTGTGCCCTAGACTCAACCTCATAATCCTTTATAGAAAAAGAGACACCCAGTTTCTCACGGCTGGAACGCAACGGTGCTGTCACCTCTAGTATACTGTCTTCGAAAGTCCTCCCGTCAACGATAGGCAGAGGCCGTGGCCATGTCTGCCGATAATTTATTATTTCACCAGGCGACAATATCTTCTTAAGGAATCTCCCTTGGATGGTCATCTCAGCCATATGAGGGAATTCATCTCTTGCATGCACCAGGTCGATCATTTCAGCCAACATGATCGCCTCATTCTCATGCCACCATCCAGAAATGCACAAGGACTCGAGAGATGCAGGAAGAAGATCTACCAATCTCCTGGGGGGAAGCTGTCGATCGTGATGAAAGAAGTGAACCATTTGGAGCTGAAGAGTTTTTAATTTCCGAAACTCTCGCAGTGATCCAACCCACTGGTGCTGTCTGTCAAAACCTGCAGCATAGAATAGGAATCTGAGTCCAGACACAGTGTTTCGAGGGTATCCTTCCTTGTTTCCAGGTGGGCTATAATCGTGGCCGTCTTTTTGAACATGAATGGGCCTGGCTCGTAGTAGTATTTGAACGACTTCAGACCAGAGCAGAGTCCTATCAAGAGCTCGAATCCCGTGAGGGTGGTACTTTGCCGGAGCTCGAGATGCGTTACGTTCGACGAGCCTTTCATCTCAGAAAGCAATCGATTAAAGTCTTTGACCATCTGAGCCGAGAATCCATGCAGCGAAGGTAGGTGAAAAAGCGGCAAGATTTTTTTCAACTCGATCATACCAGCTGTTCTGCCGGTGCCTTTGAGAAGCACCTTTTCCAGTTTCCCCAGCGGGCCACTTTCCTTGAACTGCCCTTGATGCAGGGTTATTTTGTCTACTAATTTTAGGGCGTATCGGGTGCTTGCTTCTACCCAGAGCCATTCGATGGACCGCACATTTGGAAGGATGTAGAGCAGAATGGCTAGCAAGGCATCGCAATTGTCCCTATTCTGGAACTCCTTCAGCCAAGTGGTCCACCAAATATTGTAACTGACCAATTTCTCGACTTCTTTGGCAATCGTGTCATCTATTGTCGGCAAATCCTCTGAGTGGACATGTTTGTTGGAGCAGGAGATTGGTCGACCTATTATGAGGTTCTCCACGCTGAGGCAAGCCTTTCGGTGGTGCAAAAGAAAATGAATGAGCCAGCTGAGGTCTGACGTACAGTACTCGGCCAGCTGGATCGAACCAAATGTACACGGGTATACAATCTCGAACAGACGACGACAGCATCTGGCAAAACAGAAGCGGCCTTTATGACTGGTGATATGAGCGGTGATTGACAATATAATCTCTGTCGGAAATTCCTCAAGTCGTTGCAGAGGCATCACAGATACGTCACAGCAGCCATTACAATATACGAAAAGGGTGATCCATAGATATTTATATATGATCTGCTTATTTGTCGCAAGCCCAGCATGTGAAGCAAGTCGTATTCCTAAAAGTCCATCCGGAAGTGTTGCAAGCTTCGACTGCCGAGACTGGGATACCTATCTGGTGGCGGCTGTGCTCCATGTCCTCGTATTATGGTCCCTGCACAGCCTTGCTCATTCCAGTAGCATGGCTCGATCTGGTCGATTGCTCCAAGCGCAAAGCCCCGACGAGCAACTGCTGGATCAAATGATACAATAATTGGTATTGCAAGTGCTGCTACAACGGTTGGAACACCTCCTCTGCTTGGTACAACTCTCTGACACCATGTCAGTCTCCTTTATCTGACAATATACTGCAAACATTGGATATTGAACAAATGATGCAAGAGCAAGCGGTTGCCAGACTCAAGACTCTAGCTTTTGTCCTTCTTCCTATCTTGTGGGTGGCTGTGAGTTCAACCACGTTCAGTCTAGACCCGTTGTAATCATGTATAGGCCATATTCGGCATGCCACAATTGTCAATCCCCGCCATCTGTACCCTCTAGAGGCGTTTATTATCCTGGTCATCACTCTTTTGATGGTGTTCTTCCTTCTCACAATTAGGATATCCCGATCTGTCCTCCTCGTACCTGGCGTCGTGACACGGAGCCGGAAAGCCCAGAGTTCAAGAAGCCATTCCGGCTCCACGAGACGTGTCAGATAACTGATCACCTCTGGATTTATGGCCAGGGCGTACAGATTCCGGATGGTCGGTGGAACATTGCTTTGCAAAATGGCATGGGGGCTTTGAAGTATATCATCGCTAGCTGCTGGAACCCCTGCTCGGAGCCTTGCCTACGCACCTAGTCCCTCAAGATTAAAGTGTGCCGACGTCCTTGAATTGAGACTGCCTGCAGAGGGTACTTTTCTGCGCCTTAGCACTCAATACAAGATATACAAGATATGATATGCTATGTGTAAAGAGTGTATTTTAAAGCTTAGTGTTCCTAAAATCTATTTTGTCGGTAGCTGGCCGTAATAGATATGGCAAGGCAATGAGTGATCTAACTGATCTCTCTCTGAGCAGATCTTGACATGTCAAAATCAATCGAGGAAAAGTAAAAATTCCCGACTTGAGATTCATTACCCCTGAATCATGGGTCATTCTTGTTCCTGACTGAGGCCAACAGAGCGAATGAAACAGCCATCCCTTGCAGAATTGAAATTCCACCTACTCCCCGGTGGCGCAGTGGCTGAACGCTTGGATATGATTAAACATAATATTAACAAGTACTAAACAAGTATATGTATAAAAGAGCATATGTATGCTGAAATGTAACAATTATTCATCATCGGATCAGACAGTGGGCCAGTCGTTCTCCCACGTCAACTGGTTCCATCCAAACTGGTAGTCCTCGACGGCCTTGCCGATGCGCGTGTCAGCGTAGTGATAGTACAAGACAAGCCCCTTGCTTTTGTCGTTGAGAATGCCCCTGCGCACAGACGATTAGTTCATTGTTTGGCTTCTTCCCAAAGGGGTGGTGACCTACTGTCCGCCGGGACCGTAGACATAATCATGACTGGCGAGCAAAAGGGTTCCTCCACTGTTCAGGCACGAAACCCCGTCCTTGTCGACCTACGCATTATCAGCGTCAACCTTTTCCAATATCCAGAGACAAATGCGCGGTGACTTACGAATCCTCCCGTCGCCGAGGTCGACCGACAAATCGAGATATGATACTCTTCGCCCGGGGCCGGCCATGTATCATTGTACCCCAGCGCAACGCCTCCGGAGAAGGTCAAGTAGAAGTAGTTGTTGCGTTCAAACATGAATGCCGCCTCCTGGCGATGGATACCACTGGCATTGTACGCGATCTGGTGCGGCGTGGCGCCGCTCTTCACTTTGAGGCCGCTGGCCAACTCCACCTGGTACAGGTTATTCCAGTAGGAGCCAAAGTTGAGGTACTGGGTGTCGCCGACAGCGATCCAGTTGGCGTCGATGGTGTTGTAAGGGCTGGCAGAAGTGGATTCGACGCCGGTGGAGCCGTGATCGGTCCAGCTGCCGGCTTCCATGGTCTTGGAGGTCGCAACTCCAATGGCCGAGTTCTGCGAGCCGAGCGATGAAACCGCGTAGTAGAGGAAGTATGTCTCATCTCGGTAGTGGAGGTCGGGGGCCTGGAATGTCAGTGAGACATAAGTGAGGGGGGAAAGAGTCATACCCAGAGGTTGTTCTTCCCGTCTAGGTTGATGGAGGAGCCGTTGGGTAGAACATAGCCGTCGTCTGTCCATGGGCCCTCGAGGCTGTCTGCCGAGGCGATATGGATGCCTCCACCCGTTGCGAAGCGAAAGTACTTCCCGTCTGATTTACGCTGGTACAGACCAGGATCATGGGTCCAGCAGTCGCCAGAGCAGGCACCGGGGTCTGCGTAGGCGTTGACGGACGCCAGAAATAAGAAGATGAGAGAGTATAGATACATGGTGGACCTTGATCTGGTGCCTCTACTCTATACCATATTTACATCAAAAGGGTTGCACAGGAGCGGACGGCTCTATTTATGTAATTCCTGGCCCACTCAGAGCCAGAGAGAGAGAGAGGTCTTTCGGAATTTACCCCATAGTGTCAGACAGCGGACTGAGTGCAGCCATCGCAGCCTTCAGGCAATCTCCCGCAAGCCAAGAGGTCCATCATCCATGCGACCCCCTTTGTCCCGCAGATGACCGGGCGCAGACTCGGAAGTGTTGGAGCCAGCCATGCACAGTGGCCCAAGAAGTCTCCTATCGCGGGCAATGTCGTGATTCGGCCCAATGATGAGCCTGCAGCCGCAATGCCAACGCGGGAGTGGAGTAAGGCAATCAAGTCCTGGTATGGCTGACATGAGACGGGCGATGGGACGTGCTTTATGGCATTGTTGGCTAGCCGAATGAAATTCGAGGCATTGGAGGTAAAGGTTGGGACTAAGTACAATAATTTACTGAGCCTTGCCTGGTGACTGCCGATCGCGATCTGGCCAAACCCTAAGGCCACTTTATTGAGCTATGGCCATACTGATTTTGACTACTTCTGCACTGTTCAGTATTTGTCAGTTCGTGTCACCTCAGACCGCCATTCTTTTGTTCCTTAATACTATGTATCGGAGCATCTACGGGACTAGTAATGCATCCCTTGCTTGCTACCTGCATCGAGTCGAGTTGACTGTTCGGACTGGGTAAATCTCGGTCTGCAATCAAATGACATGCGTTAAGCTTCCCAGTCCATCATTTCCAAATCATATTTCTCACAAGATAGATCAAACGGTCTAGCGAGTCATGGTTGATGTGCATCATAACGGGACCAAGTGGGCCATGGGGATCGCGCAAAACGTAGTTAAGATGACATATCCTCTCCGCTCTCCAAAGAAAATGCCCATAATAAACATCATTGGATAAGATAACTCCGAGGGCACCAAAGTGAGTGGCTGTACAGAGCAAGGTCGACATTATTAGTCCCTCTTCGTGCCTTGTGGGTGGTGGCTTCAGCCATCCGAAGTCTTTTGTTCTTAACTGCTAATAGGTTTATCCCGCCAGTCTTACCATGGTCCAGAATGATGTATAGTAGTGACTGCTATAGCCATGTGTCAGCAGATATCTGGCACGCCTGACTCATTCATCGGGCCTTCTCCAACATCAGCCCAGCTATATCGTCCTGACTGCCAAGGTACTAAGGTAAACCCGCGTGCTGTGTTGTCGTCTGCAAACGACGTTGTCTTTTCTTCCGTCATTCTGACTCAAGATTGATCGACAAAAAACAAGGATCTTATCTAGGTCCATCGATCGCCTTGATCGAGTCTTCCTCGGGCATCCCAGCCAGGATCCCCGGGCTGGGTTGACAGGAAAGATCGGTTGATTATATTGTACTCTACAGTCCGTACTACTTTTGTAGGTCAATTTGGTTTGTTTTATTAACCCGAGTATAACATTGGAACACCATTGAGAATCAGTATTAACGCTCTATGTACCTCCTACGGTCAAGACAGCACAAAGGTGGAAATGCGGGGTAACTGGTCATCAAATTTGCCTTCAGCCTTGTGATACAAGCCTTGTGATCTGGTTTGAGGCTTACTTGAGTGATATCATTCAAGATGCCCTACTAGCTACTAGCTGATTGCATAATTCCTTTTTGATATGAGCACATGCCAACTCACACTGCAGGAGGAAATGCGGGGAAGGCTGAATGATCACCTTGATTCTCATCACATAGGCAATCTGCTGACAGTGTGTTCGTACATGAAGATCAGCGAGAGACAGCCGAAAGATGGTGCAATTCTAGAAAAATGCCCGGTTATCTGCCCAGGTGGAGTCTCGGTCTCAGAACGTTGATCATCTTGGATAAGTTGATATATACCGGCACGTATACGGATATCAGAATTCATCTTAGAATACTTTGTCTCTAGATTTTATGTTCCATCATTCTTCACACAATAAGCATATATCCTCTCCACTTGTCTGCATCGTACCTGAACTCGGTCCCTATCGGTTTCATTCCAGTCGAGTACCCCTCCACTGAACAGGTCCCTGACGCGTAAGCTGCCCAGTCTCGCCAATCCAACACGGATGTGATAATCCAGGGAGCGTATAGCAGAGAAGAAAGTGATCTGGCTTCGGCAGACGACCAGTGGTATCATATATCACTTTGTAGTTTTTACTAGGCGTTGAAGTTTGCTGCAGGATAACTCCGAGCCTACTTTGTGGCACGAGCCTGTATGTGTTGCTTTTCGGCATCGATAGGGTTTACTTGAACAGACGTGATGATTTTAGAGCGACAGGGAAAAGTATGGCACTGAGAGTGAACAGTGGCGTTGAAATCTCCTCGCATAGGAGACATGATCTTTCTCCTTGATGGTGATCTGCCACCAATATCGTCTCTCCTGGGTCATAGAAACATGAGAATATGGAACAAGTCATTTTCTTCCTGCCATCCCACTAGCCACGAGATACATAAAGTCTTAGGTTACTGTACAGGAGTCTCCCAAGCGATATCCAGGGTGTTCGACAGCGATAGTTCTACGCCAATGTATGTTTCTGAAACACACAGTGCCTCCAAGGCTTCCGCGGCTTTAGTAGTTGTTTATCTAGCCTAGTATCTTCACCATCGTCATTATAAAAGCTTTGCAGTCGATGCCAATTGCCAAGAAAGAAATGAGATATTAGAGCCTAAAAGATATACGAGCGGGCCAATCACGCACGACACTGCCTAGACAGTATATGAGACAGCATCACAGGTCGAATATCGCAATGAGCATTTCTAATCCTGACATGACACATCGGACTTAACGCATTTACGGTCTATCTCCATGAGGAATGCCTATAAAGCCGGCAAGGTCAGTCAAAATCGATCTTTTCAACCACATCATAAACATGGCAGCAACAAAAATCATAGTACTGATTACTGGGGGTATGTTCATCAGCTCAAAGGTGAATCCAGCTAACCACCAACAGCAAACAGCGGGATCGGTTTTGAACTTGCCGCCCAGTTAATGGCCAAAGATTCCTACCACGTCCTCATGGGCGTCCGTTCCATGCAAAAAGGCAATGCAGCCCTGGACCGGCTACAGTCCCGCAATCTACCAGGCACCCCCGAGCTGCTCCATCTCGACGTCACCGACGATGAGACTATCCACCGCGCCGCAGAGGCAGTTGAGAAAACCCACGGGAAACTCGACATCCTCGTCAACAACGCCGCCATAGTAGCCACGGCCCCAACCCTACGCCAAAAGTTGCGAGACGAGTTCGATACCAACGCGACCGGTCCGGCAGTCTTGACGGAGTACTTTGCCCCACTGCTGCAAAAGTCCACGGCGTCTCCGCGGATCATAAACATCTCCAGCGGCGCGGGCTCGATCGCCCGTCGTTTGGATCCGTCCTCGGTGTTATACAAGGTGCGAGGCATGCAGTATCGCGTGAGCAAGGCGGCGCTGCATATGATCACTGCGTGTCAGTGGGTGGAATATGGCCCTGCTATCAAGGTCTTTGCGTATGACCCTGGCTTCACGCAGTCGAATCTCAGCGTGAACAATACGGCGGAGAATGGGGCTAAGCCGGCTGCTGAGGCGGTGCGGCCGTTGATTGATGTGCTGGAGGGGAAACGGGATGATGAAGTTGGTCAGTTGTTGCATAACACGGGTGTATATCCTTGGTAATTTGCCAGAGAACACAGTCTGTTGATTATTAAGAAGAGGATGCCTTGGCCTTGACGGAAGACCGTCATGATATGCATTACTTCACAAAGTAAATCTAGAGTAAGGGATGCTCCAGAACCAGCTTGCCAAATCCTCTGCCCCCATCAGCCAACGCTTTCACTTCTTCAAGCGCTTCTTCAGCTGTCCCTTGGAAGACCTCAACAGCCGGCAGTCGAAAGCAGATCCCATAGTTCTTAATAGCCCACTGGAAAGCCTCCCATGCCCGCTCATAGTCAGCCGGGCGGGCAGGTATGGTGATCGAACCAGGTGCCCCTGCCGGCCTGACAGTGACGCTCAGGTTCGGAGTTGCAAGGGGCATCTTGAAACGGGGATCCTCCTGCACCACGACAGAGACCAAAGTTGCCTCCTTTGACACACACTCCGCCATAAGCTGTGCCGATCCTTTACCCTGCGGACTTCCCACCGCATCAAAGCCATATTGGATCTCGTTGCACTGGGTCTTTTCCAGAATTTCCCGAATTTCTCCGGCCACGTTGGGTGATTTGTAGTCCAAGGTGTGAGTAGCACCGAGCTCTTTTAGAAGAGAATGCCGACCCGGGGACGCAGTGACAATGATAGGCGCAATACCGCTTGCTTTTGCGAACTGGACCGCACAGATACCAACACTACTCGATGCGCCCCAGATCAAGATTGGTCCAAAAGAGGTCCCAGCGTTCGAGGAAGAATCATTCGGGACGGGTAATTCGAATATATTGTAGAGTGCATCCGCAGCTGTCATGGCTACAACAGGGAGACATGCAGCATGAGAGGGAGGAAGGCTTGCTGGGACTCGAAAGCACATCTCCTCCGGACATGCCAGGTACCGCTGATGGGTACCATATCTGGTCGGTCGTCCGATTCCCGCGGGCGTATATCCTGCGACAATCTCACCAGGTTTAAATTTCGAGCCTTGTGGTGCGCTGAAGACTCTTCCGCAGAAATCATATCCGAGTACTGCTGGGTCTATTCCGAGAAGAGTAGCATGTTTGATGTCCGCTGGGTTGGCTCCGGAGTAGATGGTCTCAATCAGAAGCTCCCCGTCAACAGTGCTTGGAATGGGCTCTCTCCGACGGACCCCAAACCGTAAATTCTCGTCGACATACAAGGCAGCGTTCGCTATTGTGGTGGACATGTCTTTTGAGGGCAAAATGGCTAGGTGAAACTTTGCGTGATTGCAATGAAGTAAAAATGCACAGGATGGCGGGCGTCTTTATGCCGTCTCCTGTGCAGCCTCGACAGGTCTAAACTCGAACTATAAAACGCCATGTGGACATCCGAAGTATGGAGAGCATGAGCCGGTCATTGCCACATTGGACGGAAAGCGTCATCAATGCTGATTCCGATTCCGCTTAGTTATCCCATTCCCCCATACTCCCCGCTACGTACTCATGTGGGGAAAAGTGGGGATGAACTGGAGATAAAAGAGTTCTTGAGGATGAGGAAAGCCCTTGTCCAGCATGAAGAGCATGTCTCGTGCATCATTGCCATAAACCATCAGCAATAACATCATGTCAGTGCAAGAATCTCTCCACCGTCGTTTTCCCGACTTGGTGTATGCACCCCTCGTGCATCCCGACAAACATCCAGTCTTCAAGTATACAGGTTTCCATCCAGGAAAAGTGACAAAACTACCAAAGGGTCATGTAAAAGAAGCTGGATACCAAGCTTTTCCCGTGGATGTGATCTGGGAGCGAGATCAGGCCATTCCCATGCGGGATGGAGTCAAGCTATATGCAGACATCTTTCGACCAGCTGCTGAGGAAAAAGTCCCGGCTATCATCCCATGGAGCCCCTACGGTAAGGCTGGGACTGGAAGTCAGAACTATGACAATATGGGTCCATACCGCATTGGTATTCCGTATCAATGCCTCAGTGGATATGAGACATACGAGGCAGGTCAATACCATTCGAACGGTTGCGTTCCTCATCTTTGCTTACGATGGTCGTGTTTAGGGTCCCAATCCAGCGGAATGGTGCTCTAGAGGCTATGCTATTGTCGACATCAATGCTCGTGGAGCGGGTCACTCCGAGGGCAACCTCATGTTCTGGGGTGAACAGGCGAGTAACGACAGCTCACCAACCTCTTTGATCTCACTGACTCTATCCAGGAAGCCACTGATATCTATGATGCTATTACCTGGGTAGCTCACCAGCCGTGGTGCAACGGATCAGTGGTCATGATGTATGTTAGTCTCTACAAACTGCACTCCTCATATCTAACGACGTGTGCGTAGGGGCAACTCGTGGCTCGCCATTTCGCAAATCAACTTCGCTTCTCGCTTTTCTCATCCAAACCTCAAGGCGATTGCGCCCTGGGAGGGACTGACAGATCTCTACTCCCATCAGCTATGTCGCGGAGGAGCCTACAAGGCAGCTTTCATGAATCTGATTCTCAAAGGATTTGGAGGTACGCTGACACGATATTCTTCGCCTACAGCTAAGGCACTTATAATTTGGCATCAACGATAGGATTTGGACAGGTCGAAGATATCGGCTCCATGGCTCAACAGCGCCCCCTCCGCGACGAGTATTGGCAGGAAAAGCAGGTCCATCCCGAGGACATTAAGGATATCCCCATGTATCTGACCGCATCCTACTCGACCGGTTTACACTGCGAAGGCTCATTCCATACCTTTGAGGTAGCGCCCACCCCGCGGAAATGGTTGCGAGTTCATGCAACCCAAGAATGGCACGACATCTACCGCCCCGAAGCGACGGATGACCTGCAACGGTTCTTTGATTTCTACGCCAAAGGAATCCAGAACGGATGGGAGAGTGAAACACCTCGAGTGCGGTTGAGTTTGCTCGGTTACGATGGAAGCCCAGCAAGGACTGTTGTGGAACGTCCGGAAGAGCAATGGCCTCCTGCGCGCCAGCATATCCGACGATTCTACCTGGATGCCGCTGAGGGGACTCTCGTACCCTCTAACCCAGCGAGGAATGCTTCTGTTGAACACGAGGGACACTCCCTCACTGACTCCTCGGTGCGTTTTCATTTTTCTCTTCTCCCTAATGTCTGATAACGAACGGTTTTCCCTAGGATTTTACTCTCTACTTTGACAAGTACACCGAGCTCTGCGGCCGCCCATTCGTCAAGCTGCACATGTCCTGCAATGCAGCAGACGACTTCGACGTCGTTGTTCAGATCCGCAAAGTCTCCGCTTCTGGGGAACTCCTCGAATCGCTGAATTGGTCGCCTATGCCCAAGCCCCGACCTGAAGTGCCCGATGTAAACGTCGCTAAGCATCTCGGCCAGCAGGGGATGCTTCGGGCTTCCCATCGTGTCAGTCTCCGTCCTCGAGCGAGTGAGGATGAAGTGCCTGTCTATGATCATGCTAGTCGTCAGCCTGTTACCCCGGGTGAGATTGTCCCGTTGTTGATACCGATCTGGCCTGTGGGTATGGTGTTCGAAGCAGGGGAGGGCTTGATGCTCAGAATCTCCGGGCATGATATGTCGCTGCCGGAGGTGGAGTTTATGAGGCTAACGGCTCCGGTGGATGAGAACAAAGGACGGCATGTGGTGCATACAGGAGGGAAGTTCGATAGCTACCTGGTACTTCCGTTCATAACCGAGTAGGAGAACCGCATCAGACTCGGTGAACGCCGTGGAACAAAGATGGAACTCTATGCGTTGACTCTGTAGTTTGTTGAGTTATCTACGCTGTATTGTTCCTTACTACAATCAATGTATGATCTCCCTCACAGAAAACCGCCTCGCGTCTCCCTCCGTCGCCCAATATTCCCGCGGTGTCAACCTTTTGCCAATACACGGCAAACTCCTCGCCAGTGTCATTGGCCGCAATGTCAGTAGTCCTATTTCCCGTACATAGTCCAAACTGCCTGGTGCCTATGCCCAGTTGCCCATTGAGCCCATCACCCGCGGACCAAAGGGACCCATCCGCCGCCAAAGCTACAACATGTGCCCGTCCCGCAGCTGCATCGACGATCGGGAGGCGTCTGCCAGTATCAGTCATAATGACAGCTTCCTTGAACTCAACGCCGCTCATCTGATTAACAGCTGCAATTTCGGGCCATTTGTCCGATCTGTAACCCCAGACGAACAGCTGTCCCGAGCGAGAGACACCAACATTGTAACATCCGCCTGTTGCCAGCTTCTTGATAGGCGGTAGTGGCAAGCTCCGAGGCGTGTAATCGAGCACTTCCGGTAGACGAGACGGCCATTGTTGGATTGGATCATCAAAAAGGACATGGCGATTCCATGCCTCTTGGAATGCCTCATCTTCATCCGGTGGATCGGGGGGTTGGACAGTTTTCTTTTCGCCCCATACATGCACAGTACCAGCCTCATCTAGCGCAGCAAATTTACTGGTAAGCTTGACGATAGGAGCTGCGAATGTCACCGAATGAGTGGGGTTGTGCTTGGTCTCTTTGTCTGCCAACCAGGCAATCATCGGCCGCCATGAGTCGAAGGAAACAACTGTGCGAGGATCACTTTCGAGGACGAGGGCAACTGCCCCTGAGATGAGAGCTGGGTTATGCATGCGCGCACTTCGCACAGCAATATGTGAGATTTGTCTTCCTGGAATGGATCTCAATCGCGTGGAAGCTTGGCCATTCCCGTCCTGTGCGAGGAGGATGAATAGCTTTCCCTTCTCGCAGAGAAAGGCTGCCCTATGGCTTCCCGACAGAACAATGGCCTGTTGAATTCGGCTGGGGTGTATTGCATCCGTGACAAGTGCGAGTTCGTCATCGTCGAGAGGATGATGGCTAAAATGTCTTAAGTGGTCCTCAACCTGCAAACGTCGACCCATCATCGCAGCTGATGATGTGAATATTCTGACTGGGCCTTGTTGAAGGTTTGAGCCTGAGAGGCCACAGGGGACAGTATGAACAATCCCTTCCCTTATTGTGCTCGCAGCAATGCTCTTCGCCAACAGAGCGACGAGGACAGGAACGAGGCTCGCCTAAGTATCCGTCACTATTCTCACCACAACCGTAGAGTTGCATTCATGAGTTTAATGGAAGATGTTTCGTGAATTCGGTTCAGAAATGGGGTATCAGGAATAAAACAGATCTGAGATCGAGCACAGGGTTGATCCAAGCTAGAATTCCCACGACACCATACTTTCTTTATAATGCTCGGTCCATATATCGTCAACCGCAAATGGTCGTAAGTCATGCTTCATAACCAACCTAAGGCAAGTTGAGAGTCGCCAAAGCGGTTGGCGAGCGCCCACATAGCCGCCGCCGAGGCGTACAAAGAGCATTCGACAGTCATCGGAAAATACCACATTAGATGGGCCATGATCAAGCAGGAAAATACCTGTCACTCCTCGCCGAAAGTGCTGCAGCATCTCCATTTTGGTATATCTGACCCGGCGAGGCCAAGAAAAAAGGTGTTTTCCATGATGAGCTTTTTTCCATCCTTTGGCGTCTCAGTTCTCTCTCTCGCTCTCTGGCCCGTTTACTGCGTTCTCGAGACGCGCGCTCTTGCTTTTTGCGTTTCTCCCTTGCTTCGGCGCTGTTGCCAGATAATAGGTTTTTGAGCCACTTCATCATTTTAACCGTGGTTGAGGGAATGGCGAGATGATTTGGGAAATTGTGCCTGCAGTCTCGATATTGAAAAGGGCAGAAAACTGTGTCATCCCGATCGAGCCATAGTAATTTCAGAGGCTTTCTTTATGTCTTTGGACCAGCGGTAGTGAGAGTGAGATAGTGAGACGCCACGTTGCAGCTGTACAGAATGATTATGGTCCCACTGACCCAAATAGCATCTGGTGGATGGACAGGTTGAGAATACTATTGGAGAAAAAGGCTCAGCCGTGGGGGCTGTGTTCTTGTGCTGCGTTAGGCGCCCTATGCTTACAGTAAAACAAACTTGGCATTGGCTGACATGTCTCATTATTCGAATGTTCGATTACACTTGGCAGGTCAGGGAAAATCCCCCTTGCAGAGAGGCTTCGACTAGAAGGAAGTGATCGGAGTGCCAGTGTACTCTGGAGTACATATTTCAAGTCGTGCCTTCATTGTGAGTATATAAATGCTACCAATGACCCGAGGGGCACGCGTCTCTCATGGACAACCATACCTCAATACTAAGATAGCCCATTGAGAAATGACAGAGAGTAATATTGATCAGAGTAGAGTACCACTGTGCTGTGACATCAGTGCCATGATTAAGAAGTATTGAGAAAGTTAGAAACCGCGTTCCTGGGGTTCTGGGGGACCCGGAAATGAAATTCTACACCACATGGTGCATTTATGCTTACCACCCACGGCTATATGCTATCTCGGATAACTAGTCGGAAGGGCGTAAATATACCCTTCTCACCCTGCCAGATTACCACATTCATCTGGATTAGCTCCGTTATCGCGCAGAAGCTGAATAACCTCTGGCTCAGAATGCGCCCCAATCAGTAGTTCGTGCTCGTGAACGAGCCACATGAGAGGCGTGTGACCGTTGTTGTCCTTGATATTGACATTAGCTCCTCTGCGGAGGAGTAATTGTACTTTTGCGTAGTCATGAGAGAATATTGGTGTTCTTCCCTCCTTGTCCCTTATATTGGGGTCTGCGCCTCTATCTATCAAGAACTCGCAGATCTCAAGGGTTTGGGCGCAATGTAGAGGAGTCCCTCTGTATCTATCTTGAGAGTTGATATTGGCCCCCTCTCGAAGCAGCAATCGCACGAATTGAATCCGTCCCAAAGAAGCGGCCAGATGGAGGGCTGTCATACCGCTACCGCGATCGGCCAACTCGGTATTGGCCCCGGCCGAGAGGAGCTGTTGCGCTATAGCGTACGATCCTGCCATGACCGCCTCGCAGAGAGGAGGACGAGGGTTAGGTCGAACCATGTTAGGGTCTGCTCCGTGCTCCAGGAGCAGCCGTACCATGTCGGCTCTCTTCAATTTGACGGCACCACCTAGAGGACTATTCACAGCGAGGTCACATCGTTCATTTGGGTTAGCACCCAATTTCAAGACAGCTACAAGCAGGGAACGATTCCTGTTTTCGACAGCACGCATTAAAGGGGTTTTGCGTCCAACTGTATCTATTGAGAAATCAGCTCGGCCAGTTGAGCAAATAAGCCTCTGAAGCGGAAGGTCTCGAGTCATCATTGCATGTTCGAAGATTGTAAGATTTCTCGGCACCTTCAATTCGGGCAGGCGCGAGATTAGATCGGCCAGATCCTCCCTTTGGTTGGCATATGGAATACACCTGGTGGTGAAGAGTACCCTGATCACCTGTTCATTGCGCTTGGCCACGCGGCGAGGAATGGAGAGGCCCAGCGATGTGGATTATCGCCATCCGAATGTTGACAACTTCCACAGTAGTGGCACACGCAATTATTGAAAATGCCATGGAGTGATTTGGCCTCAAGCGCCGACTTGAGCAAATGGCTGAGATTCCTTTCGGCCAAGATGTATATGAGTCTCGTCGATTTGGCGTATCTCCGATTTTGGTGCTTTTCAAACAGGTTATACATGTATGTCCACTGGTAAGTAGCGAAAGGGAAAAGGAAATCTGTCTGAGAAACGCCAGCCTGCTCTGCAGCCTCTGCATGTTGCAGAACGTTGTTAACAGCGTAATCCAGGAATGGGAGGCTCTTTGACGTTTTCTCCCGGAGGGCTGCTGCCGCTGCTGATTTGGCGTGAGGAAGATCGTTGGGCAATATACTTCCCCTGAAGATGTATGCTTGCGTCAGGTAGTTCCAGCAGCAGACTTTAAGGTCTTCGTGACCTGGCACCATTCTGCCACCATGCACGTCCCGCCAGAGCTCGTCCAAGCCTCCTTCTTTGAGTAAGAAATCGCGGACCGATTCGTGGATGAACTGAACAGTCTTTTTCCTTGACTTGGTCACTTCTATCAAGCCTTTGGAGGAGCTGAGGATAAACCGAGAGACGGAATCGTCATTCTCCAGAAGTTCCATTGGGTCCAGCTCATTCTCATTATGCGACTGAACCGCATAAAAGAGCTCATGCGGACTAAGGGGCCTGTTCGCGTAAAGAGTCCATTGTAGGCAAAGAAGAAGGTCTTGCATATTCTGTGTGTCTCGTGTCAGGATGTCTTTGAACAGTTCCTTGAGCCTCGGTGGGATTTCTCGCAATCTTTTCCGTAAGGCGCTCATCCGACCCTGATCATATGCCCTCTTCAGTATATCGACAACCAGCACAACCCACAAAAAGATTCCCGACGCCTTTTCAATGATCTCCGCCTTGACTTCTGGAATCTCTTTGTGTTTAATGCTCGCTAGTTTGAGATCCAAATAGTGTGAGATGTCTTTTCCATGTCCGTCCTGCCCTTCCAGGATCATCTCAAGTCCCTTGTCGAAGGTAACATGGGGGTAGTGGCGACTGGAGAGACAGACATGAAGGGGTATCAGACTGGAAGCTGCGAGCTCGCCAAGCTCGCCAAAGTAGTCGACCATGTCTCGGACCTCACTTTCGTCGCACTCATCCAGAGCATCGATGAAACATATAAGAGGTTGCCCTTCCAAGTTCCGAATAACAAGACGAAAGACATCTTGCAGGCGCTCAAGGCTCCAGCTTCCTGAGTTTAGCATCGACTGCGTTACCTCCGAGTCCAATATGTTTCGAAGCCGAGGTAACAGATTGAATAACTGAAAGAGAAGAGACCTATACATGCCAGTGGCAGACTTTTCCAGTTCGTCTCCTCGTGCATTGAAAAAGAACGAGATGACAATGGCGCCTGAAGCCGACGTTTTTTGCTTTGTATTTTCGAATGCAAACTTCATCAAGGTTGATTTCCCCGTTCCGGGGTTGCCCTTGATCCACAGAAATCCATTGTGCTCGTGGGACAATCCGCTATCCAACCATTTCTGGTACTCAGGCTGGTCGAGCAGCCACTTGCACGTTTCTGAAAAGGCCTTTTTGATTGCGAACCCACGTTCTTCTCGGCGGTCAAAGTCTAATGCCTCCAGGCACAGTCGCCGATGCTCGAGAGCAGATGTCGGCAGTCGATGCGTCTGTGACTCGGACAGAGATGTTGGTGGAATGACGCCCAGCAATTCTTTGGCATAGGCAGCTGCCGTCGCCGCTGCAAATTCTTGCCACTCTTTGTTTTTATGCGAATCCGCATAATCGCAAATGCCCCTAATTGTTAAACACGGAAAGTTGTCAACAAGCCCAGCTGCTTCCATCTCAAAGCAAAGAATTCCTAGGTATCTCGCAAATCGATCCCTGACAGTTGCATGCCTCATAACTTGATTTGCTGAGCCAATCGTGCCGTAATGAACAACCGGCGCACATGCTTGTCTCGCAGGTCTCGTCACTGCGAAACTTCGGTCACAATTATGACAACTGTCTCCCTCCTCGTGGTCGTAATCCGCCTCAAACAATACGTCGCTTCCGGAATCTCGAGGCCCGTACCGCAGTCTCATCTCCGGATGCTTGCTCGTCATCTCATCAATTAACGCGAGTATGCGGGAGCCCGCCTCAGTCCGATGTTGCGCCTGAAGCTTGGAGACGGCGGTCAGGAGCAGTGGAGGAGGCTTGTCCAAGACCCCCATACGTTCGAATATGCCGTCCCCAACCGTCTTTCCGTAGTCATACTGGATCACTCCAGGGCTCTGTTTGATCGGCGTACTGACGACAACGTCCCCAAGTCGAATGTCGGCCTTCTCAGTTGGCGCGCCTCCACCGACTCCGACTAAGAGCCAGAACCTGACGGAAGGGAAGCTCGATCGCATCTGACTTGCCACAATAGTCGCAGGTATATGTCCGTATTCTCCAGCGGGCAGGCATGCAATCACACAGTTGTGGCCTGCCATAGTGCCAAAAATATATGTGTTATTGTCCGTCTCCAATTTGCCAGCATCACCGTGAGTCTCGTCGAGCATTGCCTCGGCGGCCGCTAGCTCCAGCGACAATGCTGATATCCATCCTACCGTGTAGTCTTCGCGAGAAAGAGTTTTGAACCCAATCGTCTCATTACCCCAATTTCCGTCCCCCAATTTCCTTCGTTTGGAGGCCCTGTCTGCCCGTTCAGGGCTGAAATCGCCATTTTCAATCTCGGAGCAGCTCGACATCGTCACCTATATTGATACTGTACTCGTCCATATCTTGTGTAAGCCGCCAAATAGTACATAATGATCTCGTTTGGGCTGAGATTGTCTTTTGAAAGTGCGAAACGGTAGACTTACTGCAGAGGAATTTCTCTTGTGATTTGCCTTCGAGCTGTGAGAAACGCGAGCAATTACAAGATCTGGGGAAAGTAGATGTATTCCTGTGAGGGAGAGAGGGAGAGAAGAAATCCAACAGAGATGCAGTCCAACAGCCTAGCGAGACCGGCTTCCTAAGGCTGGCTGCACTGCAGTTCCTGTTGATATGATATGATCTGCTTAATGAACTTGCTTATATACAAGCATCTAGATTGTGTCTCAGTTCGGTGGGTATGGAGAAGAAAGACATGCCCTGGATGGAACATAGTCATATGCAGAATCATGCACCTCGCTCTGAAACATCTATCTTTTGTCTCTCATAAACTGTCTTGAGCACGCTCTACATGGCCGTGAGACAAACATTCCTCTGATATTAACGGGAGGCTCAGTCAGTTAGGTCAGCCCAGCCATCGATTCTCTGCTTCATAGCGTCGACACCGAAAGGATAATAGTATGAATCATTAGTACAAAATTGATAACAACCGATGATTAAGTGTCTCATCGCTCTTCTACATGAACCCCTGCTACTCTTATCCACCAGCCATTAACGCACAAAACTAGACCAGTCTACCGTGGAGTGCAGAAGGTTCTATGAGGATATCCGGTACCATGTCCGGTTGTCAGTTTCTCAGTCTTCTACTCCATTATCTAAGAGTTCGACCATCGCTAGAGACATTATTAATCTAGTCAAGAGTGATAGGCAAGAAATGTCACATTCTTGTGGACTATTAATCCATAAACAACCAAGCCATTCAGCGCCTGAGACACCAACACCCAAGCCAGATATCTCATATAGAATCACAGGTAACAGCCAACGCTAGAGCAAACGACGTCCAAAGCATAATATGACGACAGATCAGAAGCCACATATGTTACTCATAATCACAAGCAATCACCACCGGACTGGAGGCCATTGCCGCTGAATGTATTGAATCGCATCATCTCCCAGCTTGTCCCTCTCCTCTGCGGAGAGACCCCAGATCTGCCGAGCAAGCGCATTAAATGCCTTCAGTGTCGATACCTGACGTAGATGGTTGCGGAGCATTTCGCTCTTCTTTTCTGGGTTTTCTCTACAGAAGAAAAAGAGCTTGTTATGCAGCGCATATTTTGCATGACCTGACTTGTACTCGAGGTTTTCTACGACCTCTTCGCGCAGGTTGTGGTTGAGAAAATCGATGCGCTGCTTCTGGGACGTGCAGATGACCTCGTACTGGGTCCTTTTTTGCACAGTATAATCGAGATCTTCAAGTTTTAGGGCTTGCTCCACGACGTAGACCAGATCGTCGTCGCTTAGGTTCTCGATTATTTTGTGGATGATGTCTAGCTTCAGGAATTCTTCAACAGGAAGGCGCATGAGGGCTCTCCACCTCCTGTCTGTCGTGTGGGGGCTGCTACTGCAAGGAGTGTATGTTGCTTGTGAAGTATGCGTATTGGTCTGCGACTCCTGCGTACAGCTTCTGGTAGGTTTGGTGTTTTCTTCAGCCAGTAAATCCACTTTTCGCGTTAGTATGTCCTTGATGAGTTATGAGACGAATGGTACATACCGGCCAAATCATTGCTGTTATTGCTATTTGAAGACTCAGAATTATCAGGAGTCCAATCTTCTGTGCCTGTGCCACTTTCCGAGTCCCATCTGCTCTGCTGTACAGGAGATTGGGGGGATCTGGATCGACGTTCCAAGACGCCTTTCGCCATTTTCTGGTGGGGAGTTCACCTTCTATTAAATATAAGTTTTGGGCTTCCGGGATTAATAGGCTGCTCTTCTCCTGGTGAGTGGAGGAATTTTGAGATCTCTCGTGGTGGTGAGGGCAGATCATAGTCATAGATGCCTGCGATATGCCGGTCATTATGACATGGTGGTGAGCTAGCATATTCAACTCTACACTTTAGGGATTATATAGTCCAATATCGGTCAAATCGCACGAAATTCGTATTATTCTAAAGCCCAGAGTTGATACTATTCAAATACTATTCAAATCTCATATATATATTAGCAATATGCCCCCTAAGCGCGCATCCACAACTCCTCAGCCTACTGAGCCGGCCAAACGCGTCATTCCGTACAATCTTAGGAAGACCCAGATTCCACGCACTGGCGGTTATCAAGGCAAGGGGAAGATGAATGGCTCATATGCACCTCATGCAGCTATATCTCAGGCAGCGGCAATCCGTACGAGAGCTGCAAGGGCAAAGGCAGCTGCTATAAACAGGGCAACTGCAGAGGCTAAGGCTGAGGCTGTAAAAGCACCTCAGCCTGTAGCTACTAGATCAGCTATCTCACAGGGGAAGCGCCCACAGAGCCGTCGATCCGTGACACCAAATCAGCGACGATCTACTACGCCGAGCCAGCGGGCTATCCAGAAGAGGGTTCGCTTCGAACTGTCGCCCGCGACGCTTAATCCAGCTCCCAAACAGTCCGTCAAAAAACGCGCCAAGAACTGACACCAATTTCGAATACGCTGGAGTACTATATATGCTTCTTCACCATCATGTTACTCTCGCATTACATAAAGACCACCACCTATTTCTGTCTAGGGAAATGGTCATGTCCTACAAACCATGTATGATGCCTCTAATGATGCTATCTTAAACAAAGCTTTAGGAACGTTGCAACCTTTCAAGTCATCCTTCCATAGTCCATACCACAGATCCTTATGCACCTGTGTTTGGTGGGCTGTATATCCATACTAATTCTTCGCCTCCTGCCATGCTACTTCACCCTACACAGCCTCATCACAAGGCTTACTAGATCTTGATTTCGTTCTGTGGATAGCAAAAGCGATCTGGATTCAACATTCAGCTCACGAATCACAATTTGTCAATAGAGTTGATAGACTTGCTTGATCAAGTGATATGATATCACATCGCATCTAACTCAATGTGACCCTAAAGCTGAGCCCCGAGACCAGAAAGGAAGGTGACTTGCGAAATGCAGTAACTATGTAGATATAAACACGGACACAACCCCTCAATAGCTTCGATGGTGACAAATCCACTGCATCGAATGAGTCAAGTCGGTTAAAAGTCCGGGTAATCCGCAGCTGATTATCCAGTTGCATCTGACTGGTTGACCATGGTTGATTCGAGTGGGGTAATCCCGGGTATCATCCAGCTTTAAAGACACCACGTGGCTGACAATAAGTGATGCTATACAGAATTATCTTCATCTGATCTTCTTGAGGACCTTTGACTATAACCTGACCAGAAACCATTGAAAGAAGTCATCATGCCTCTCACGGAAGAGCAAAAGCAGCACTGGCTGGAACACGGCTTCATCAGGATCCCTCAATGTTTCACCAAGGAAGATGCCGACAACTGGACAGCCTCCATCTGGGCTCGCCTGGGCATCTCTCCGACGGACAAGTCCACTTGGAAGAGTGAGCGAGTCAACATGCCCGGTCATACACTCGTCGACGTGAAAGACTTTGCGCCAAAGGCATGGGATGCGATCTGTGAGCTCGTCGGAGGTGAAGACCGGGTAACGGATTGGTGCAAGGGCTGGCGGGACTCGTGGATCATCAATCTTGGGAGACCAGAATACAAGCCTGATGATCCGTTGGACTTCCGGACGTTGGATAACTGGCATAATGACGGAGACTGGTTCACGCATTTCCTGGATAGCGGGGAGCAAGCGCTCTTGGTGATCCCCTTATTCAGCGATATCAAGTCCAAGGGAGGCGGAACTGTGATATGCACCGATGGGATTGGCCTTGTAGCTAAGCATCTGGTCAGTTTCCGTCCCCTCATGAGAAGAAATTATAGTGACAGTCTGTCAGTACGACCACCCCGAAGGAACATGGCCATCACTCGCATCGCGGTCCGCTCCGAACCAACCTCCAGAGGCAGGCAAGCAGTGGAGAGACTGGGTGAAAGATCCTCAGCTCACACGGGCTGAGTCTTTTCACGAAGCCACCGGGCAAGCGGGCGATGTCTACCTCCTCCACCCATTCATGTTGCATTCTGCCTCGCGCAATCTCCTGCGTGAAGTCCGCATCATCACTAACCCTCCAGTCTCGCTCAAGGAGCCCTTCAACTATAACCGGCCCGACGGTAAATACAGTCTCGTGGAGCAGAAGACTCTGAAAGACCTGGGGCGACCCGAGGGCTTGCCGGAGTGGAAGATCACAAAAGAGAGGGAGATGCTTACTCCGGCTCGTGTGCAGGTCAGTCATTTTCCCTTCATGGTTTGGTTCTAGTTCTGACGGTGTTTGCAGATACAAGAAGACATGCGCCAGAAGGAGTTGGAACGACTGAAACAGGCGGGATCTTCTATCACGAAGTTGGGAAGTGCCAAGCCTCTCGAGTCGTTCTATCCATCATGATGAGCGCTGGTATTGATAGCTTTGGGATCATTTTCATACATCATATTGGTATAGCTACTCTTCACAGTCTCCGAAGATGCTTGGAACTCAGCCATAATGTGATGAAGACTTACTCAGTCTCGCTTCGTATGTCAAAACTCAAGTCACTGCAGAGACGCTGAAATTAGTAGCGGCAGTGCAGAGAACGTATTTTTTGCTGATTGCTGCCATTTTTCAGGATAGAGTTGGTGTGTTGGCATGGCCATGAGGAAGGTGAAGGAAAAGGGGTAAAAATTCTCTTTTAGAATTCGACACTTTGTGGATAGAACCTGGTGGATTCATTTGAATAGTTTCTATTCCGATTCAGTTGTATATGTGGAGAAAAGAATACTAGAGATGCAAGTTGCCTATGTCTGGCTGTTTATGCAGTAAATATTGTTTCCTACCTAGCAACTTTAGTGCTTTGGCTGCGTAGCCTGTTAGTGACTGATTGTACCAATATTAATAATGAAGAAAGAACCCTGTATAGCCTAACATAACTTGGCAGGAAAATTGTAGCGAGGATATTGCTTAATGTACATCTAGTCCCAACACAGTCACTCTATTCCTGCGTATGAGATCCAAAGGTCAAATCCTAGTGGTAGGAACCTGCTTTTGTGACTAAGATATTCAGTCGCTGCAATTATTATTCCAAGAAATTCTCCTGGTTGCCACCTCGAGTGGTCAAGTTTAATTAACCAAAGTTTCCTTGTTCATCCGTGATGAAGCTATTCGGAGTTCAATTTCCGTATCAGGAACAGCAGGTGGGGCGGTCTTACTTGGAGAATCTCGACGGTTCTGTTACTCCGATTGGAACCCCTGAATGAAAAGTCCTAGCCTGATCCAAAAGAGCCGAAATCCCCGCGGCTTTTTCTGCATAATATCTGCGGGGAAGCATGCTGGTGCCTGGTGGCTCCGGGGCTCGAGAGGCGAACAATGAGAGCCTTAGTGACCCAGCTACCAATCCATATCTGCAAGCTCAGTGCATGTTCCAAGTCTGAAGAAGTAATCCAGCATGAGGATGCGGGGTACAATGATTAAATTAACGAACTGGACAGAAGAAGAGGGACAAGAATCGGATCGGCGGGCCGTAAGAGCTTGACCAAGTCAGGCCAGTCTAATAACCGAGGGCTCCTAGCCATCAAGATGAAACACTGAGGCGTCTATCATTTACTCTACATTCCATGAGTGCATTCACAATGGCTGCCTTGTGAATACTACCCCGTTCGTTCGCAGATTGACCCTGCGAAATGGCGCTTCTGCAACATCCCTCGAGCAAAATTTCTCCGTCTCTAATCGGTAGTTCTCTCCTGGCACAAGGGGTATAAATACCCAGGTTGAAGAACAATTGACCGTCCTATCCTCAAGCCTTCAGACTTGTTGAGAGCAACATGGACTCCAAAAAGAGCATTGTGGCCGCTGCGCTGGCCCTTCTTCCCCTCGTGTCCGCGCAACAGCCCGCCTCAACCTCTGCTGGTAACCCCAAGCTTACAACTTATAAATGTACCACCGCCGGCGGCTGTGTTGCACAGGATACCTCTGTGGTCATTGATTGGAACTACCACTGGATCCACACAACCAGCGGGTATACATCTTGCACCACATCTTCCGGAGTCGACAGCACCCTCTGTCCTGATGAGGCCACCTGCGCAAAGAACTGCGTGATCGAGCCGGCCAACTACACCAGCGCCGGTGTAGCCACCTCGGGTGACTCTCTGACCATGTATCAATATGTCGAAAGCAACGGCGTCTACACCAATGCCTCGCCGCGCCTCTACCTCCTCGGTCCAGATAAGAACTATGTCATGCTGAAGCTGCTGGGACAGGAGCTCTCCTTCGACGTGGATCTGTCCACCCTCCCCTGCGGTGAAAACGGTGCCCTGTATCTGTCAGAGATGAGCGCTACCGGGGGTCGCAACGAGTACAACACTGGAGGTGCCGAGTATGGCTCTGGCTACTGCGATGCGCAATGCCCCGTTGTCACCTGGAAGAACGGCACCCTCAACACCAGCGGCGCAAGCTACTGCTGTAACGAGATGGACATCCTCGAGGGCAACTCTCGCGCCAACTCGTATACCCCCCACCCCTGCAGCGCGACGGACTGCGACAAGGGCGGATGTGGCTTCAACCCATACGCTCTAGGCCAGCAGAGCTACTGGGGCCCCGGCGGCACCGTCGACACCTCCAAGCCCTTTACCATCACCACGCAGTTTGTCACCAACGACGGCACCACCACCGGCACCCTGACCGAGATCCGCAGACAGTACATCCAGAACGGCAAGGTGATCGCCAACGCCGTGTCCTCCGCAGGCGTCAGCTCCATCACCGAGCCCTGGTGCACCTCCGTCGACGGCTCGGCGGCCACCTTTGGCGGACTGACCACCATGGGCCAGGCGCTGGGTCGCGGCATGGTCCTCATCTTCAGCATCTGGAACGATAACAGCGGCTACATGAACTGGCTCGACAGCGGCAGCGCCGGCCCTTGCAGCAGCACCGAGGGGAACCCGGACCTGATCAAGGCGCAGAATCCCACCACCCATGTCGTCTTCTCCAACATCCGCTGGGGCGATATCGGATCGACTTTCAAGAGTTCTGGTGGCTCGAGTACGACGACCACCAAGACGTCGACTACATCCGGGACCATTACTACCTCTAAGACGTCCACTACGTCGACCAAGACTACCACTACCACCGCGGCTGGTGCCACGCAAACCCACTGGGGACAGTGCGGCGGACAGGGCTGGACTGGACCCACGGTTTGTGCGTCGCCCTACACTTGCCAGGCTCAGAACCAGTGGTACTCCCAGTGTCTGTAGGTAGTCGTTAGTGAATTGCAGAGATACCTTGACCGTCTATATCTTCAGTAGTTAGCAATGCAAATACATTAGAATTGTCTGCCACTTTTGCATGTTGTAGCAATCTCGAAATGTATTTAAAGATATATATTGTTGCCACAGGCCAGGGAGAACAGCACTAAAAAAGTTGGCATAAGGGGAGCGTGACAACATAAACCTCCTGAATCCTTAAACCGTACTGAAGTAACAGAGACATTGTAAACCTCACATGATTTTATTCTCATGCAATTTCTGGGGTTTTCAACTGAAAGAGAAAGGTATTAAACTAATGGTTATTGATATAGTCTCAAATCTGCGGAGATGGACATCAACCGGTTCCATGGTCTAGTGGTTATGACTCCGGATTTTGACGCGTGTCAGTTTTCCGGCAACTCGGGTTCAATTCCCGATGGGACCTTCGATTTCTTTTTCCTCTAACATCTTCAATCTACCTTCAAAGTTGATAGATTTTTGTTGTTTCTTTCCTCATTGTTTCATTCAGACTGCAAAGAGACTGCATTATATGGTAGATGAATCATCCCTTGTGCTGAGCAGAAGAGACCCAGGCACTGTCTTGGTCTGCTCCCAAAACATTGGCCTTGACTGATTTCTGTCTATGTTGCCATCGTAAGGATGCATATTGCTTGCTTTGTATCTACTCTGAAATTCAGAGGTCGACGAGGTCAGGTTTATTCCCTTTCTATCTATTCTCGCCTGTGCAGGCCACAACAGCACCACGTAAGAAATCCGAGGTCCCGGGATATCTTAAATAATGATTACATCGACAACTATATAGGGAATCATTACGCTAAACCCAACCACTTAGGATTGCCCCTCCATTAGTTCTGTTTATCAGCAGCCATGGCCTCCACATCCTCTGAACCAGGCGTTACCGTGCCCGAGTTGAGCATCCCAGTCAGAGGAACCACCTCTCCACTCAAGAGGTACATATACCAGTAGTATGTGCCTGCATCCGTCAGCCACTGTCCACCAACCCGGGAGATGTGTACCTACCAGCAAACAATCCGCCCCCGACAATATTCCCCAGCAGCGTCGGAATGATCCCCTTCCAGATGTATAGCCCCACCGTGATCTCGGGCGCACCCAGCCAGATCGCCATCGGGATAAAGGTCATATTGGCGACGACGTGGTCAAAGCCCAGCGAGACGAAGCCAAAGATCGGGAACCAGATCCCCACGAGCTTGGAGGCGAGATCCCGGCCCTGTGTACCTACGAAGCAAGCCACACAGAGAGCCAGTTGCAGCCGATCCCGCGGAGGAAGATGTGGTAAAAGTCCGGGGTGACTTGTTTCTTTGTGGCGAAGGCGATGACTTCGGATTTGTAGGGGTCGGCGGCGAAGACGTTGCCATCTATGAACAGAGGTTGTCAGACATGAAAGTCTGAATAGGAGTCAAGGATGGCAATGCTTACAGCCGAAGATGATTGCGACGACGAAGAGGGATCCAGCCAGGTTGCCCCAGAAAGTCACGAACCAGTGCAGCAGCATCTTGTACCAGGGGAGTTGGCGTTGGAGTGCGGCGACGGTGGTGAACTATACAAGTCAGGTATATCGCAGAGTACCAGTTCGAAAAGCATACCATGAAAGAACCAGTGCAGAGGTCCGCTCCCGTCAAGATGATCATACACAAACCGTAAGGGAAGACCAGGGCGGATATCGTGCGAATCAAGCCGGGCGCATTTTCTTGGAACCATGCAGTTGTACTGGTGCTCAGGGCCGTTCCACAGGCAAAGGCAAGCAGACAACCGGCAGAAAAGGCACTGAAAAAGACCTTGTCAAGGCGCATATTGCCCTTGCCTACTCCGGCACGGGCCACAAGCTGGGCGACATCGGCCGGAGTGTGGGCGTCAATGCTGACAGTCGACATGATGGTAAGTTGGTAACGGCCTTGCCTTGAGCCCTTGAGGGTATACCTACTGATTGCTCAGGCCGCTTCTGACTCAAGAGTCAAGACTAACTTTGAGTTCGTGGTTTATTCGACCTGACGAGCAGCAAAACGAGGAAAGGGATGGTTGATATATGCATGCCCCTGTTTCTTATCTCATATCTGCACCAGACTATCGGGTCTAGATGTGTAGTATCTGGTCTTCATACTCTGTGCGTAAAGTAATGGCAGTATGCCTAGCCCTAAGCTACACAATAAACTTCCTCCACCCGCGGCACCTACTAACAAGCCGTGATCCACCTTCCATCCAATAGTTTAGATTTCTGGGTAGGCCGGGGAATGTCCGAATGAGATCAGCAGTTCAGCACTTGTCTGACCGAACCTATCGAGTCTTAGCTGATAGTGTAAGCTTTCTCGGCGGAGCTCTCCACTACAAGCTACCCAATACAATCATGGCTGCCCAAGGTAAATGATGATTATTTGTCTTAGCATCAGGCTAGGCAAAGTTGGCCTTTACCCATATCAGATTTGCTTCGACCTTCCTTTCTCGCTCGACCTACTTCTGCCCTGATATCTCGGCTAGGTGGTGCTAGACTGCTAGCCCCTGACCCCTGATATCTGCTCTGCCGTCCGGATTGCTGATACAAGCTCATGGCTTTGCTTTTGGTGGACACTTCTTAAAGTTGGGTTCTCTCATGGACAGTCATAAGGTAATGTACTTTCATTGGTGGCCAATGGGGCATTAAGAATTAAGATTACTAGGTACCTTAGTAGGCCCAGATGCACAGGAGCATCAAGAAGCTTATTCGAGAGAAGCCTTGCCTTTCAACACATCTAAAGCTTGATGGCACTGATTCATTGTGCAAGGACTTCTGCGTCAATGTTGATAAACTGCCTTTAATTCTGAGTTATGACATGGTTATCCTTAAGACTGAAGCCTGCTAATGTGTTCTGTTTTTCAGTTGGGTTGTCCAAGACATTTAGTTGCTTCAGACTACTTTAAAGGGATCTGGCAGATTGCTCCCTATTACTCGAGTAACTATACAATAATCTCCACAGGACAGAGCAGCATTATACATGGTATTACTGAAACCAGCAACTCTAAGCTTTATATCAGCTCCTCAAAAGCCTCTTTTGATCACTCTCGTACATTCTGACCTTCAAACTGTCTGCCCTTCCGTCGATATCCCTGTCCGATACTCCTTCATTCTTCTCTTCTCGGTACAGAAACAGCAGAGGCAAAGGGTCATTCCGCCATTTGGGAGCCCTGGCCCTCCGCGTCTTCCATACTGTCCCGACCAGCGTTACCGCTCCAAGCAACCACACCAAAACAGGCAAGACAATCCACTGCCATTGAACAGCGACATAGGTCATGCTTCTCATCACGCGTCCAGCAGCGATTTGTGCCTTGCCGGGATCCGAACCCGCACTGATGTACGCCGAATCGCGGAAACTCTTCGAGATTGCTGCTGCCACATTGTGCATGCTGCAGTTGAACTTCTCCACCACTTCTAAACTGCAGCCGCTCATGTTGCTCTTTACCAGGGCTTCAATAACATCCTTACCTGCATAACCGAAGCCGGAAGGCACATAATAGAGTGCGAAGACGTCTTCCATAAGAACGCCGTTGAAGATACTTGTCAAAAAGTCGTCGATGGCGATGACGGCTACGCCAAACAGCGAAAAGTTCTGGGTCGGGGAGGCTCCCAACTCTGGGCCCCAGTTTGGCTTGAGAGTGAAGTCGGTTGCTACGAGATTGCTTTGTGCCTAGGTAGCAAGAACCTCCTCACTGTAGATGTTGTCCTCAACTTGAGCCCGGATGCTCTGGACTACTGGCTCAATGGAGCACTCGATTGCTTCCCAATTAGTGTCGAAGTCAATATTCGGCATTTCTCTCCAGGGTTTGATACCTCGCGCTGCGATGAACTGGATGGGACTAAATGTGGCATTTTTGTATACCAGAGCGGATGCGGGTGTCATGACCGGGGTTACTGCGAGCTGCTGATGAAGCGGGGAGTCCGGAACAAACCAGATTGCTGTGCTGCTGTTTGCAAGCGTTAATGAGCAGTTCAATTCAAGACTATCCGTGGTATTGTGGCATGAGGGAATAAGATGGTCAGTAACATTGGAGCAAACCGCGCGAGCTCCCAACGACGCCACTGGGTCCCAGGTGCAGTTACTCGAGCTGCAGAGGTACTGAGGAATGGCCCATGGCTTGCTCTGATCAGCGTTGAAGAGCGAGCTATACACATTTGCTTTGAGTACGGGATCGACTCGGCTAGCTGCGCATCCTGTCAGCTATGGATATTGGAGAAAAATGCTAGGGACCGATTTGCCTCACCAGGGCGACTAAGCAAGCCAGAAATTTCGTATCTGGTGCTGTTTGGCAGGAAGGCCTTTTGCGAGGGATCCACCACCATGTTTGAGTAGTAATGGATCAGATTCTGGATGAAGGGATCGAAGGCGAGTGCCAAGATGATAGCCAGGCTACCCCAGACGGCGAAATGCCTGGACAACTGTTAGTAAGGGGCCATCGCAGCCTTGTGGATTCTGCTTGCCTGGCTTTTAGTATCCAGATGAGCACTGCGCTCCCATAGAAACCGCGATTGGCCGAGTCAAACGACCGGAAATCCACAAGGGGCTGCTGCCTTTGTCCGAACCACACCCACTTCAGTTGACCGATGCATTCATTGATAGAGAACAAAACACAGGCTTTGGAGATAGTGCTCAACCAGGAAATGGCCGAGTTGAGTGACAACATCCTCCAGGCAGGCTGGGGCTTGTGATCAAAATGGAGGAGCATGGCGACCATAGCAATGAGGGTACCTGCTGAGACCACCACTGCCAGGACCTCCCAAACATACCAGGCCGAGATGAAGGTCTCTGCGGATTTTGGAGGTGCTTCCTTCTCGTCTTGTACAACAGGGGATGGACTGGAATCACTTCCAGTCCCGTGACTTTGCTGTGACTGTGCATCTTCGTCCAATGGTTCATATGAATGTATACTGGACACCGACCACCTTGTCGAATCCCGTGTCTGAACGGGCTGCCATGATTGTTCTTGTTGTGATGGCATTCTGGATGGTTCAATGTGCTTGCCCCAAGTAATGAAGAAAATGACCAATTCCTTCTCCGCTCCGAGCAACTGTTATTATAAATAGAATCTTAACATGTACACTTGCTTTTGCAAGGGTCTCCTGCAAATCTCCTGTGAGCCTTGTGCACAGCCTGCCAGAGATGGTATTTGATAGGCAGATCAGTCCGACTTATTTCAAACTGGCCGGTCAGAAGATACGAAATGCGCCCAGGCTCCCTCGGCAGAAACCCTGTACTAATTAAGGCATTCTTAGAGGGTTACACAAGCACTCGCCCCATGATGACTCCGGATTGGCTCGAAAGTCGATCGCCGATTAAATGGATATTAAAACTACCGGGGAGATGTATTGCAGGGAAGATTAGAGCGTGACAGGACTCAACAGCAGTTCAATTCACCTTTGAAATTTGGGGTCTATAATGCTGATATTGCAACCGGTCGAGCTTTAGCCGACATGTGAGGCTACCATATCAGGATATGATTGACTCGGCTTCAACGACGATGGGTGGGATAGCCGAGGGTCATGTTGGGTTGTATGATGTGCAGGGTCCTATTAGATTGCCATATGCTCGTGTAAAGACGGGCCATGTCTGTATACATTATTCTCACTATATTTCGCCAACAAGCGTTCATGCTAGGTGGAGTGTGGACGACCCAGGAAGTCCTCCAGCATTTTCAGCAAGTTGTGCTGACTTCCACGACGTTCCTTTCTCCTTCTCATTCTTTCTAGTCATGATAGGAATAGCCCGGTTCCCGGACACAAATTCCCCTTCATTGTAAGTTTATCTAGGTCTCATCGACTATGACCCTGCTGGAATAGCCAGTGCTCCTGCAGGAACTGACTTCTGAGATCCACCACCTAGATTTCAACTATACCATGCAGAGAATTTCTCCAGTTGGCGCTCACATTGAGTCTTCTACTATAATCCAAGAAGATTAAATATAACAGTTATCAAGACTGACTGAAGTCACTCGAGCAGCCTGATCATGGTACATAGTGAATAGGAAGAACCCAGGGGCTTCAAGCATTAACTCTGGCTGATTCAGTTTGGATATTGAGTAGCCTACTTAATTCTGGTCTCTTTTGCCTCACTTACAACTCAACATCTCATGCGCTAATGGTAATTCTATTCATCGACAGCTGTTGATATGCACTGTCAGCCTTGCTGTAAGGAGAGCAGATGCTTACCTAATCCAGTTAGAGGCCTGAGGCCATGCATGGTCTTAGTTGACAACACACCACACCACAACATCTCTCCATTTGCACATCCTCCCATTTATTGATCCCAAAGAACATTATCCTCCGCTTCACTGATTACTCGATCTACACTCACCATCATGGACAGTTTGTCCTTGGTTGTGGTGACCCTCATCATCATTGCGGGATCTGCTCTCTTTCTCCGCATCAGACATGATCCCCGCGAACCCCCCGTAGTCCACAATGGCATCCCATTCATCGGCCATATGATCGGCTTCGTTCGTCATGGAGTCGACTACTACGCGTTGCAGAGGTATGCTCTCCATCCCCCAACTGCAAGTCCTCAATCTAACAGGAACAGCGCCAAACACGGCCTGGAAGCCTTCACCATGGACGTGCTCTTCACCAAAATCTATGTCATCACCACCCCGAATCTAGTCATCGCGGCCCGGCGCCATCACCGCAACATGTCCTTTGAGCCCGCCATCACCGGCGGGGCGAGGCGCATGACCGGCCTCAAAGGACCCGGGTTGGAACTCCTCCGTGAGAAGCGGCACGGGGGTGAGGGCTTGCACAGTGACGTCGTGCATGCAATGCGTCCGTCTCTCGAGGGAGCGGGATTGGACCGGATGAACGAGAAGGTGATCGGTTTGTTGCTCAGGAGCGTTGATGAATTGCCGACCGCTGCGCCCTTTGATTTCCACGGATGGTGTCGGTCGGCCATCACCATCGCCAGCACGGATGCGGTGTATGGTCCTCTGAATCCGTACCGGTTCAAGGAGCTGCAGGATGCGTTTTGGTACGTCTCCGGGCTGGTTTATGATTCGAAGCTAACTGGGCAGGGACTTCGAGGAGAATCTCGCGCTGCTGCTGATGGACGTCGGGCAGAGGTTCACAGCGCGCAAGGCATGGAAGGCACGGCAGCGAATCGTCGCCGCTTTCATCGATTACTACCGTGCTGATGGGCATCTCGACTCGTCGCACATGACATATGCCCGGTGGGAGACGCAGCAGAAAGGAGGTGCCACACTGGAGGACATCGCCCGCCTGGAGGCGGCTGCTGCACTGGGGACCTTGTCGAACACAGTCCCGGCGATTTTCTGGTTGATCTTTGACATCTTCTCACGTCCGGAGCTGCTGAAGGAAGCTCGAGATGAAGTGGCTCAGCATGCGATCCAGGTTGATGCGCAAGGCGTGCACACCGTTGATCTCACTGAGATCCGCGAGAAGTGTCCTCTGCTGGTGTCGGTGTTTCAGGAGACGCTGCGGCTACGTTCTAATACCGTTCCCATACGGGTTCTCTATGAGGATATCCTCCTGGATGACAAGTATCTTCTGAAAGCAGGTGGAATCCTGCAGATGCCCGCACATGCGATCAACCGCGACCAGTCAATCTGGGGCAGCGACGCGGACGAATACGACCCTCACCGATTTGTCAAAATTAACCAGTCTGACAGTCGCAAGAAGGCCAACGGATTTCTGTCCTTTGGGACCTCTCCGCATGTTTGTCCGGGCAGGCACTTTGCCACGGGGGAGATCCTGGCTCTGACTGCCATGCTTGTGGTTCGGTATGACATTGTCCCTCTCGGCGGGTTGTGGAGAGAGCCCAGGATCAACAAGACAGCTATTACGGCTTCGACAAGGCCTCCTGCAGAGGAATTCAAGGTGACTGCTACGGCCAGAAAGGAGTATCAAGGGACTAAATGGGCGTTCCGTGTGTCGGAGGGTAAGGGGAAGTACGGACTGATCATCGGGTAGCTGGACTACATAGCATGAGAGCCACTTTGGATTCACAAATCATACACAGCTATCTTCGGCTTGAAGCATCTTAGCCAGCATGACTCATTCATGGCAATCGAATTATATCCCAAAGTGGCTAGCGTTCACTGCATGTGATGCTGCCTAAAAGTGCTGTTTCTCCCGAACCATATCATCTATCATCTAGTTCATATCGCTGTACTGGCATAGTACACTGAGCCAGTCTTGTATCTGATTATCGTCCAGTAACGTGATATTCTGTAAATGTCTCTGTTACATTAGGACAAAACCAACCAAGATGCCCCGGACTCTACGATCAAGCAGGTGTCGCGTAGAATCCGAACGCACCACAGCAACCACCGCCGTGTCTCCAATTCGACCAGTTCGCTTCATCACACCATCAGCAAGCTCAGGACAACCACAACGAAAAATCGACCTGATACCCCCGGAGCTGACCCGCCTCCCGAATATAAACCCAAAAGATACCACCCTCCTCCGCAGGAAACAATCTCGTCTACGCGCATCCGCATCTGCCACCCAAACAACCGCAGCAGGCTACGGCCCTCACGCCGTACAAGCACTCTCCTCAACGCTCATCTTTGCGCAGCATGAAGCAGGCACAGCGGTATGCATCCACCCAGACGGGTGGATCCTCACCTGTGCGCATTGCTTTGGGGAGACCGAGGCCGAGTGGCAGCTCAACCGGCGGAAATGGCTACTGTATTTCACGGGAGAAGCGGTGCAAGTTGAGTGTGCAGCCTGGGACGCACGGCGCGACCTTGCTCTGGCCAGAATCACCGCACTTGAACGTCCGGCCCCGGCTGCCTCCCAGGTGAATCTCAGCCCGAGCTTCGCCTACGTAACACTAGCACCGCCTTCAGCTTCTCTCAGAGCTGAGATAATCTGTATCGGCCAGCCGGGCTCCGATGACCTGGAATCTCCCACACCGCGGAAAACAGCCTACGATCTTATTGAGATATCTCAAGGCCGACTGCGCGGACTGATAGCTGATGCCGACCCGCATGATAACACGGAGATTGGGGCCTTGAGGCACGATGCCTGGACGTACTGGGGTCACTCTGGGGCGCCTTTATTGCGACTGACCGATGGCGGATTACTTGGCTTGCATTCATCGTGGGATGACAGCACGGCTATGAGGCATGGAGTGCCGCTTGTTGCGATTAGGGTGTTTCTGAGGGAGAGGTTTCCTGGCGGTTTGGCCGAAGCGGAGAACCAGGACGATAGAGGGGAAAAAGAGGTTATTGTGATTGACGATTGATGATCTGTTATGCGTAACTTGGCGTTGAATTGAAGCTATTCAGACAGGTTCTCTTCGGGAAATATAGGATCAAGCGTGGGCCAAGTTCCACCATCCCAACATTTTCACCGAGAGGGCCCATCTATTCCCGTTGGACCAATCAGACCAGCTAGAAGAAAGGAAAAATCAAATAGAGTTGCGCGAGCCCAGTCTAAAGTCTAAACTCGACTGTCAATTGACCCAATTCGTGTCTGCGCAGTCCGTGCACTGTCGGAGCTCATAACCCCGGACATACTTTTTTCTTCATTTTTTCTTCCAGTCCCTTGTCTTTCTTGTTTCATTCTCAACTGGCAGAAACGAGATGATTCAAGTTCCCAGCACAACGGCCGACCTTGAGCGTCCTCACGCCGAGGGTGAGCGGTCCGACAAGGATGCCGCGCTGGCGGTGGTCAGCGATGTGGCGATGGAGATCGATCCGGAGGTGGAGAAGCGAGTCGTGCGCAAGATTGACCTCTTCTTCATGCCGGCCATGCTGATCGGGTATGGGTTGGTATACTGGGATAAGGTACCTTCTTTCTTGCCGAGCTACCGACTGCATGCAGGTGTCTAATAGGTGCAGGCCATCCTTGGAAGTGCGGCGCTGTTTGGCATGACGACCGACCTGCATTTGGTGGTCATCGACCACAGCACGACGCCGCCGTCAAAAGACACCTCTCGGCTCAGCTGGGCGACTTCCATTTTCTACTTTGGTATGCTGGCTGGTCTCTATCCGATGACCTTCTTCTTGCAGCGATTCAAGATCCAGCATGTCTTTGGGCCGATTGTCATGCTGTGGGCTATCACCTGTGCTGCCACCGCGGGCGTAACGACCTGGCAGGGCTTGTTTGTTCAGCGTTTCTTCCTGGGTAAGTTGCCTATCCCTTCACCCAAAGTAGGGTCTCACAATGGCAGGCTTCGTGGAAAGTGTGGTCCCCACCGGCTTCATGACCATTGTCAGCGGCTACTACACGCAAAAGGAGCAGTCTCTGCGCCAGGCCTGGTGGTTCTCCGGCACGGGGTGGTTCACCATCATCGGCGGCGCGATGAACTATGGATTCGGACAGATCACCTCCGGCTCGTTGAAGCGCTGGCAGTACATCTACATCTTTGCCGGCGTGCTGACCTTCCTATTTGGCCTGTGGTGCTGCGTGATGCCCAATTCGCCCGTCTCGGCCTGGTTTCTGACGCGAGAGGAGCGCGTCGTCGCTGTCGAGCGGCTCCGCAAGGGCCAGACGGGTGTGCGCTGCCAGAAGATCAAGCTCGAGCAGATCAAGGAGTCTGCTCTGGATGTGAAGATGTACCTGATTGCGATCATGATGGCTGCTGCGTAGGTCCCCCGCTTCCACCTGCAGAGCAGAAAGCTGATAACGGCAGCTATACAATCAACGGAGCAATCTCCGGGTTCGGCCCCCTCATCGTCTCCACCTTTGGCTACAACACGCTCGACTCGATCCTCTTCCAATTCCCCGTCGGCGGCATCTGCCTCATTTTCATCCCGTTGTGCGGCTATGTCGCGTCGCGCGTCCCCAATACCCGCATCCCCATGCTCATCACCTGCTGCCTCCCCGTCCTCGCGGGCTGCGCCATCATCTGGAAATCCACCTGGGGGTACCAGCCCGCTGCGCCGGTGGTCGGGTACGCCCTGACGGGCTTCTTCGGACCGGTGGTCAGTCTCATCATCACGCTGGGCGCGAGCAACGTCGCGGGGGCCACAAAGAAGACCGTCATGGCTGCGACGGTGTTCGTGGCGTACACGGTGGGCAACATTATCGGCCCGCAGCTTGTCAAGACGCAGACGGTCAAGCAGCATTACCCGGAGCTCTGGACGGGGTTGATCATCTGCTACTGCATTACGATTGCGGCGGCGGTGGCGCTGTACCTGGTCCTGGGGAGGGAGAACCGGCGCCGGGAGGCGCTGGATCTGGACGAGAGCCAGCGGGATAAGCTGGCGTTTAACGATCTGACGGATAAGGAGAATCCGTTCTTCAGATACGTCTTGTAATCATGAATTGTTCTCCACTACTGTAGTATACCACAGAAAGACACAAGAATGAAAGCTACCGACGCGGCAGATAAACGCTCATCTCCAGACCCCCCTTGTACGGCAGCGTCACAGTACTAAACCCACTCCCCGGGGCACGCACATACTCCAAGAACTCCTTGTATCCCTCCGCCGAGCTCAGCGTGTTATCCGCCACCACGACAGCGCCATACCTCAGCTTAGGCTGGATCAGCTTCAGCGTGGGGAGGGCCATCGGCGTCCAAACTACACTCATCAATCAACGAGTCCCCCATGCCGGATCAGGAACTTACTATCGAGCAGGAGCATATCCACCTGATCGGGTAGGTTTGTCTTGAGGGTCTCCCGCAGATCGCCCTCCCGCAGATCAATCACGCTACAGATGGTCTCTCCGCACTCGGCCCAATGCTTGCGCGCCTGCTCTGCCTTGGACGGCTCGTATTCGGTCGCGATGACCGTCCCGTTGCTGGGGGCAGTCGCGCCAGCGAGGTTATCCGTCACGGCGAGAGCGAGGTAGATGGTGCTCACGCCGTAGGAGGTCCCCGCCTCGACGACGGTGGTTGCGTTGAGGGTACGGGCGAGCTGGTAGATGAAGTGGCACTTGTCTTTCTCGAGAGCGATGAATTTATCGCGCATGAGGGTGTGGAAGGAGTCCGATGAGCGGTTGGTGTAGGTTGAAGGGGGGAGGGAGGATTCCTGGGTGGTGGATTCTGTGTGTAGGCGGTCCAGGAGGGAGAGGATATGCGGGGGGTGGGATTGTAGGGGGTTGGACATTTTGATCGATATGATTTTGATGGGATTCAGAAGATGGAATGAGAGTGATGGAGATTGATAAGAATGATCTGATGGATCGACGTATTTATAGAGAGGAGAGTGAGTCATTGCGGAGTCAGGACTAATGCAGGAGGATACATGGGGAAATACGAAGAGTAAGACAGCCTCCATCCATCTGCTACGTGCTTCTCGTATTCATAGATTCCTACCCAGATCGAAGGAAGAATGGAAGGTAATTGGACGCGGGTAATACTTGTTGTAGTCTGGAGAGAGCCATTCATCGACCCAAGGCCAAACGATACGGCCGAATAATCCCATACATTCCACCATACTTCTTTAGATAGAGAGTCAAAACGAACCATTCTGGGAACAGATCATGCCATCACCACATTCGATCATCAATACATGAGCAGTAAGTCTCCTTGCCTTTGGTCTTCTTCGGTGCAATGCACTCTCCGCGATCAAAGTCCCGGCGTTGGCACTACATATGTCAGCTTCATCCAAGATAGTATCTGTATACCATAGGCAACAAACATGTTGGTCACACTCTTGCGGACGATCCGGACAGCCATGGTGGCTGCCACCACGGTGACCGCCGCTATGGTGGCCGCCTCCATGGTGACCGCCGTCGTGGTGTTTGTGGTGACCCAAGGCGATTGCAAGTGCCTGTTCCGGCGAGATGGCAGTGGCCAAAGGGACGAGAGCAAAAACGGAGAGCAGCTTGATGAGGTTCATCTTGCCGGTGGAGAGGAGGTGATTGAGACGGTTGCTGAAGTTGAATGGGTATTGGACTATTTATTATGGCTGTGGTGGTCACGATGACATGTGCATGATGAAGATGGATGTCATGATGTTTGTATATGATTACGCATAAGCCATGCTATAGACCTAGATTAGAACGACTGATCCATGGTATTACCCAGTATAACTCTATCAGCTGAGCAGCTCTATGCACAAGTTCCACGGACATCTTCTGCATACTTCACTAAACCAAGGTGCTGCGCTCTTTCCGGCCGGTAGCCGTTCTGTTGATACCAGCTCCCTTCTCACTACTTCTAAAGCTTTTTATGCAGCTCCTCCCCCAATCGATCCACCCATGCCAACTTCCCCTCCGCAAAAATCTCACCCCCGGGCAGCATCCTCTGCCCTCCGTCCAAGAGGATCGTGCGGACAATGATCTTGTCTCCCATGACGGCCTGATGATGGTAGATGTGCGACGTGCACCGGGGACAGAAATAGCAGTGGACGGGGTTTCCGGAGGCTCCGGTGTATGTGTAGCATTGAGGAGCGCCAGTGAGGATCCGCAATTGGTCCTTGAGAGTATCAGTACACCACAACGCACACAAATATGAGCGTTAGCTCGGAGCTTGTAGGTCATACACACCCGATGGATAATCTGGTTCATGGAAAATGGCCCACCCCCCAGTTTTCGACATGTCTCGCAGTGGCAAAGGATGTGCGAGGGCTCGCTGATCTCCGCGGTCCAGGTGCAGACGCCGCAGTGACAGCTACCGTTGAAGGTGCCCGCGTTGACAGTGGGCTTGGTGGCACCAGGGCCGAAGAGAACGCCGTCTTTGATGTCTAGGTACGCTATCAGTGGTTATTTCCTACAGGGTATCCTACACTAACCGACGACAATCGAGTCCTCACTATCCACATATCAGTTCGGTCTTCAGATACGGGGTTGAACACATACATCATGGGCGCTGCATCCTTGGAGAACTGGAGATGCACCGGATCCTGGGTCAAATAGTAATCAAGATCGGCCTGGTTCTCAAACTCCAGCACAAATCCGTGCGTCATTCCTTTGCTGAAGTTTTCCCAGCTTCGGTTCTTGCCTGCACATAGTCAGTGACTGCAGACGAAGGTGCAGCTTTGACAGACCAGCTTTCATGCTCTTCATGTACGGTCGACCGGTATCCGACTTGACGCATTTGTGCTGAAGGGACAGGAAGACCTCGAAATGTCTCTCGAATTCGCTCCATGTGATGGAGGGTTTGTACTTGAAGAGGACGATGTGGGTGATTGCTTCGGACATTGTGACAATTGTTGGTCGAGAATCAGCACAACCCAGTCGGATTGCAACCAGAGTCTTTATAGCATCTTGGATTGCATTAGTTGATCTGGACATCTATCCCGCTCGTATATCCACGCGGGTTTCGTGTACCTTTTCACAGAGATCGACGCCCAATCTGATTGGCTACGAGTATTTCATTCAAAAAGGGCAATTTAGTCCGTTCTTGGCCGCCTCTATCATAAATGATAAAACTCAACCCTCAAGTCCGGCCTTTGCCTTCAAACTGTCCACGATAGACTCCAACGGCTGCCCATTCGCCACAATCGGCACCATGGGAACACTTCCCTCGGTGACCACTTCCAACAGCGCAACCCCCTTGGCCTCCAGCAACCACCGAACATTATTTTGCAGATCAAATCTCGAAATACACCGTCCCTGACAGCCCATACTCTCTGCCAACCGCACGAAATCCGGATTCTTCTGTTGAGCATGGACCATCCGGCCTCCGTAGTACGCATGCTGCAACTGCGTGATCATCCCCTGCTCCTCATTGTTGATGACGAGGATCTTCATGTCCACGCTAAACTGCACTGCCGTCAATATCTCCTGCACCGTCATGCACAGCGAGGCGTCGCCATCGATGTCGATGACGGTGCACTCCGGCCGAGCGAGTTTGGCTCCTATCGCGGCGGGTAACGCGAAGCCCATCGTCCCCAGGCTGCCCGATGTGATCATGCTGCGGGCCGTGCGCCAGCGGTAGTACCGGGCCGTCCACATCTGGTGCTGCCCGACGCCTGTGGCGAGGATGGTATTGTATTTGGTGTCCCTGGTCTGGGTGTTGATTTCCTCGATGACTTCCTGGGGTAGAAGGCCGGTGGGCTTTTCGCTCTCGGGTTCGTACTGGAATGGGTACTTTCCTTTCAAGGTCTGGATATGCTGAAGCCACTTGGTTCTGTCGGGGTAAAGCTCGATCCGCTGCAGGAGCATCACAATGCTGCGCGACAGGTCACCCAGGACGGTGATGGTTGGTTCGATGACTTTTCCGACACTGCCTGGACTGATGGCGAAGTGGACTATGCCTCCCCGGCCCTCTTTGGCTGCATCGCGGGCGGCAGGAGCAAACCCGGCCGCGTCGCCTACCGCTCGTTCGTCGAGCCGGGCACCCAGCACGAGAATCAGATCCGCGTCCTGGACCGCCAGATTGGCAGGAACCGTGCCGTATGTCCCCATCATTCCGAGCGCTGTGGGCTTGAGTTCATCGAAAGCTCCTATGCCGAGCAGCGTGGTCGCGACAGGGATCTGGCCCCTTTCCGACAGCATGTCGAGCAATGCAGGGCCTCGGGCGGTGTTGGGTACCCCTTGGCCGCACATGATTACCGGTTTCTTTGCCGTGCTGATCAGCTGGGATACCTGATCGATCGTCTGCTCCAGTTCATCCGGCTGGATTGGGCTTGGAGCCAACTTTGCAGCATCAGGGATCGCCCGACGCGCCTCCTTCACCGCGACAATATCGAACAATGCAGCACCCACATCCTTGGGGATAGCTACCAGCGTCGGACCGGGCCGTCCACTGGTCGCAATGTGAAACGCCGTCTCGATGCAAGCGGGTAGCTCGCTGATATCCTTGACCAGGCCACACCACTTCGTACAGGGTTTCACCAGCGACATGATTTCGATTTCTTGGAACGCCCCGGTCCCTTGCACCGATGTGGAAACCTGGCCGCAGAAGATAACCAGAGGAGTACCGTCCAGCAAAGCGTCCAGCATCGGTGTGACAAGGTTAGAGGACCCAGGGCCCGAGGTGACGAGGACCACGCCGGGCCTACCGGATACTCGGGCATATCCTTCCGCCATATGACCTGCGCCTTGCTCATGGCGGGAGAGGATGAATTCAAACGAGCGGTTGTTGTATAGCGCATCGAAGAGAGGCAAGGCGGCGCCGCCGGGGTAGCCGACTACAGCGGATCAGCATAGCAGACAGGATTATGGGAGCGGAAGTACATACAGACATACTCGACCCGCCGGTTGATGAGGTCCTCGCGCAGCAGCTCACCTCCAGTCAAGCCTATGAACTCGATACATTCCATCTTGAACGGTTGCTGATGGAGAGGGAACAGGATTTGGACCCGGCCTGATCACACCTGGCTTTATATACCCTCCACAGCCCAAACTGTCACTGCCGGGACTCACGCCGTGTCACCATCACCTCATCTGCATGCGCTGGATTATCGATCATCGAAGCAAGTCTTCACACTCTGGTCGGCTGATAACAGCAGACGACGTATCAGGTCGCAAAGCCAAACCACGCCCCCTTCAGAGACACCCCCGTCGATCGTCGCAATGACGAGAGTGACGGAGAAGGACGAGATCGCACCGATCGTGTTACCCCAATTCTGCATCTTCGATGCGAATCCACGAAAAAGGAAATTATTGAGATCCTTTGAAACCGGTTGAGGACCCGGAGGGCTACATCATTGCGCCCCTTGCGACATGAAGGAGGAGGGCCTGATACTGGAATTGGGCACGGAAAATACCTCCGCAACGACGCAGCCCGCCTGATGCTGAAGAATGTTGGCAAACCCAACCTCTGGCTGCTACACTGATGATGCATGATAAGTCCTCGCATCTCTTTGGTTGAAAGTAAAGGTTTCACGATTTGAATTTCGGGAATATCCGCCACCGGCCCGCCGTGCGTCATCGTTCATCCACTCCACTGGTAACCTTTATATGAACGCACGAACGCACTTACTTGCCCAGGATCCCTGGCTCTCTACCATCATCAACAAAATGCATGCCCCAAGCAAAATGTCCCCGAATCAAATCTACCAATTCTCCCTCATCGGTAGTCTCATGCACGGCGTCTGCCACGATGGCATCCCCGCCTCCCACATCCTCCAGAAAGGCACCCACGGTCTCGGCACCGTCGCCGACCTGGACGGCGAGATCGTGGTCGTCGACAGCGAGGCATACCACTTCACTTCCGCGGGGGTCGTGCGCCGCCTGGCATCAACCGACACCATCCCCTTCGCCATGATGACGGACTTCCACCCCACGACAACCACGCAGCTCGCCTCGCTGGACACCGAGGGCCTACTGGAGCACGTCTCCCCGCTCCTCGGCCCAGGGCGCAACTACTTCCTCGCCGTGCGCGTGGACGCCTTCTTCCCGTCGCTGTCCGTCCGGATCATCCCCAAGCGCGAGAACCCGGACGAGGCGCTCGGCGATCTGACCAGGCGGCAGAGCGTGACTTCCATCGAGAACTCGACCGGCTCCCTGGTCGGCTTCTGGTCGCCGGAGTATACGGCCGGCTTGAGTGTCGCGGGGTTCCATCTTCATTACCTGTCGGATGACCGGAGGGCTGGTGGCCATGTGCTGGATTTCCGCGCGCACGAGGCGAGCGTTTCGGTTGCGGTGGTGCGGGAGTATCATATCGAGCTGCCGGTTACGGGGGAGTTCCGGGAAACGGGGATCAAGGTGCCGGAGTTGGCGGAGGTGGAGCAGGCAGAGGGGTTTCGCAAGCACGGTTGATGCGTCTGTCAGGTTCTGAGGTCTAAGTAGATCTAGTTGCATGCAGTCCGGCATCTGGTCGATGTTGACCCAGTCATAGAAATGAGTGGATTCGTCAATGATGCACATACTTCTGGGTATCTAATCATGAACCAACTTCTCCCTCCGCCTGCTCTTCCTTCAAGTCTGAAATGGCCAAACTATCCCATTTCTCCAGGAACCGATCCATGGACATGTCCCCCTCCCGCGTCGCCCCCTGCCGCACCGCCGTCGCAAAGTTCGGGTAGAACGTACTAAACGTATGCCGATCCTTGCCCTCCCAGCTGCGCGTCTCAAAGTCCGTAAACAGGGCATCCGTCTCCGCGGGCAAGACGACCTGCATCTGGTTCGCCGAGAGCTGGATCATGCGCAGGATCCCCTTGGCCAGCGGGAAGCGGCGCGCAAACGCCCGCGCGACGATGCACATCTCGATGAAGGCGGCGCGGTTGTCGGCCGAGTCGAGGGCCTCGAGGAGGGTGAACATGCCGATGCTCAGCCACTGGATGGTGGACGGGGCCATGCGGCCGATGCCCCACTTGTCGCGGTGGATGCCGATGAGATGGGCGATGCGATGGGCGTTCTCGACGCAGATGGTCCGGGCGCGGTGGACGGTCTCGGGATCGAGGTCGTCGTTGTTTGCTGTGAGAAGGCCGAAGGTCTGCATTACCGTTGTGTGGTAGAAGAGGCTGTGTGATCAGCGAGTGTGCAATCTGTCCGCAAGGTGCAGTGCTGGCTTACTGGAGGCTCAGGGCGTGAGGAACCGTGACGTTCTCGATCAGAAGACACTCGGGCATGTCTGCGTACCAGTCCTGCATTCTTTGGTAGATGTCGTTGACGAAGGGCAGCATTTCCGATCGAGAGATCCGGTCCTCTGCCTGGTAGAACGCGCGGGAAATTTCCACGGTGATGCAGGCGATCGCGCACCACCGGTTGAACACACAGGAGACATGGCTGGGGACCCCGGCGTCGGTCGGGCGCGGGTACGGTTGCCAGACATCGTCTTTATGCCGTTGGTGGATGATGCGAGCAATAGGGGACCCTTGGGGAGGGTGGATATCAAAATGCTTCATCAGAGATACGGATGCCGTCCTGGACAGTCAGCCTTTCGAATGATCCGGCGGAGGGTCGGTCAAGCATACGAAACCATGCCGAATATGCCCCAAAGGGTCCTGTCGATCGCCCTTCTTTCTTCCTCATCTTCCATCAAGTGAGGTGGATGAGACGCAGCATACTCTTGGGCTCCACGAGCGGCCAGATCGAGATAGACCCATCCCATTCGATCTTTGCCCATCAGCGACGTCCTGATAAACGTTAGAGAAGTTTTCTCTTTCGCATCAGAATGAGCGACTTACCGAACGAATAAAATCATGAGCCCCTGGATAGTCGGCAGGCTGGGAGAATCGCCCTCGTCTTCTCCAGCCTCGAACAGACGACGTGCCTCGTCGAAGAAATGATCGCCCCGAGTGAGCATGTCGCCGGGAACGGTAAATACTTCCTCGTAGTCGGAGTAATACTGTACACGAATCAGGAATGGAAAAACGTCGTCATCGATGCGGGTACCAACGTACACATGCTTCTGCGAGAATGGCATTGACCAGGAACGGCGAGCAGAAGCGGGAATTCAGCTTTCCTTCCTGCATATGTCTGATCAAACAATCGACATCCAGCCAGTTGAACCAGGGATACGTCCACGTCAACCAGAGCGACACCAGGTGAGAGACAAGCTCGCTGTCGTCCGTCACCGTCGTCCAAGGCTTCGCGGGTACCTTGTACACAGGATCATCGGCCAGCCGATCAACCCGTAGGTAGCGCCATCCCAGGGGCGCCATCTCGGTCGTCTGGGAGAGTTGGCTTTGGATGTCGCGCAATTCGGGCGTCGACTTCAGTTCGTAATGGGAGAACTGCTGTTCGAGGAACAGCTGGAGTTCGTCGAACGAGGCATTACTGCGGATCAGATTCAGCAGCTGCGAGACCCGTCTACTCTCGCTGTCGCGGAGGGCGTTGACCAGCCGAGTCAACGTGTCGGCTACTTTCTCCAGCTTTGCCACCTTGCGGTCCATGGCGTTTTTTCGGCGCATGTCGGACATTGCGTCGACCTCGCATTTGATGCCATGGCTGACGCAGTGCTGACATGGAGGATCTCCGCGACACTGTTGAGGTGAGGTGAGCCTGGAGATATTAAACCTGTGGCAGGGAAATGCGACCGACCTTCAGTTTCTTGCGTTTGCAGGCCTTGCAAGCGGTGGTTTTGTGCTTTCGCACGGGCACCAGCTCATCGGACGAGGCATTTCGTTTCAGAGGGCGACCTGGAGCAGGGGCGAGAGGACGAGAGGAGGACTGGCAATGCGAATCGGACATAAATCCCGTGTGAGAAGAAGGAGGAGCCAGAAAGAACCGGTAGAGAAGGCAGACGGCGGGGGAGGGGCACTCCTGAAATTCTTATATGGTGTTGGGTATACTGTATGCCTTCATGTTGGGTCCTGACAGCAAACATGCATCCCGACAAAGAAGGTCTGTCTCCGTAGAGCCAATTAGATACAAAAAGGACTCCCGGCAGAGCATTTGTACTCATTCGGAGATGCCTTGCCTAAGGTACCTTATGGATATGGAGCAGGGAGGATCATTTTGTCATTTGGCATTTTCCATTTTGGCTGTTCCAGACCCATTTGCCTGGGTCCAATCAGCTGCGCCTAATCTACTGGCACAGATTTCCGGCCATTCAGAGCGTTTGTTTGCTTCTGCGGGTGTTGCATTACAGTAGCGTTGGGCGTTTTCCCATGGTTCCAGCTCAGCGCTAGGCCTTGTACAAGGTATGATTGGCCGATTGCAAATCCGCTCCAGGCTTGTGGAGCCCAATTCTAGCCTGAAAGGGTAAGAAGCAGTGGACAGACCCTCTCTGACTTCTTCCACAGGGAACCCCTGGAAATCATTCCCAGCCAATAGCCGTCGTCCGCCAGATCCAAGCCGACCGCTCACTATTGAAACCTTATGTTGAAGCCTGGGTTACTATCCGTAGTATTCAAATGAAGGGGAAATCCTGAGAGGATCTGCCAGACTGGCCTACTGTATGGCATCATTGGCATGGCGCTTTGCTTTGGTAGAGAATAGCTTTTCTACTAGTATCTACATTCTACTTCGTATACTCCGCAGTAGACTAGGGTGAAGTCTTCTGAACGACCTCTTTCTGCCTGATGGCCAAAAGATACATGGCCAGTTGGGCACTAGCTATAGGACCAGCTATCTTTATACTAGTTTCGAACACAGCTGGATTTTTATCATGACTGACTGACGTGTTGCATGACCCCTCCCAAACCGTCGGTATCTCAAAGGGGTAGATGATGAACTGTGGGACTTCACGATCAAAACCCGTGGCCATGGGAATGTCATTCACGGATCCATCTACGGAGTATTATGTCGATCTCCCCGGCAAGGAATACTGCTGCTCGAGCAATGATGTTAGTGCTTCTCTCATTCGTCAAGGGGAATGGTCCCTTGCTCACACAACATGTTCTAGCTCATGATCAATTCAGTCAATCAGACGGCACCTCTAAGGCTGTACTTGATGTGCATAAGAATGACTTAGCTGCTCCATATCCAACGAAATCTGTCTGCTCTCTCGGTTCCCTCAGAATGACACTTTGATCTGCACGAAAGAATTTGACATTCCGCCGTCTCAAACTCCTCCAGCGTCACAATCATTTCCATAGTACATAAGGATCTACTGATCGGTCTATCGTAGCTGTCAATGTCCATCCATCATAAAATCTGGGCTTCCCGATTAGGAAGGTGAGTATAGCCATCTAATTCCCGATCCAATAGTGCGCTTCATCAGGTCCACGTCAATTACTCGCGCAGCATCATAGAAAGCATACAAGAGCGTTAGCACCATTACTCTCGTTGAATAAGAATGCACAGAGAGCCCCGCCCAGCATCGGATACACTCAATCCAAGCACCACCACATGAAGGTAAGGAATGGAGGTAAACCCCGCTGCAACAACTATGCAAATGGTCAAAAAATCTACAGCTTGACATGACTTATCTCCCAAGGGTATTGCTCACGCAAGGGTCGGACCTTTTTTTGCAACAGCACCAGAGTTCGGTGTTCGGGATTTGCTCCTGCTGCATTTCGGCATCCACATAGAGCACTCGATCCTCCAACGTGTCATCCAGAAACTCTGGCGGACTGCCATGGCGCACTTAGTGTTCGCACATGACTTTCTCTTGCAGGGTTTTTTGGCCCCTTTGCCTTCATTTGGGCCGTACGAGTCATGATTCCCGTGCTGGCCCTCCGGACATCAAAGCATAGCCCCGGATTCACCACACGCGCCACAAGAACATGCATTATTCGCGCTGTCGATCTTGCTCTTTTCCACCTACTCGCCACCATCAAGGACGAGAGCGACCCGGTATTGGCTCAGACGGTCTGGATTCTGGGGTTTTTAATGGGTTCCTATCGGACGGATATCGAGGCTGTTCTTGGGTCAAACTAAACCCATCGGAAATGGTCATTTTGCTGCGCCTAGATGGGCCGGGAGTATCCACTCCTTACAACGTCTACAACGAGTCCGCTGCAAAACGTCCCGAAGTCACCCCGGAAGAAGGCAAGGTCAACGCAGACGCTCTACGCATCCTCAACGCGTACTACTGCAGACTCGAAATTCGTCTTGCTTCCGGAGACCGGTGAATACGAGTGGCCAGGGTCGGAGATTGGTGCGGTGGTTTTCTGACGGCTGTTTGATGTTCCCGACGCTTTTATCAGTTTGCTGGAGCAGCGAGGGCCTCGGACTTTGGTTGTCTTTGCGCATTCACAGCCATTGCTGGATTGGTTGGGTTCTGGTGGTGAAGCAAGAGTGGATATGTCACTTTCAAAGGGTGAGGATGGGCATAACGATGCTTTGTTATTCGAGGTTCTCGAGTTCTATTCTGTGGAATGCCCTCACCATACTTGTGCAGCACATATCCTGCAGGAATATTGATTTAATCACCAACCTAATGGATCCTAACGTCGAACATTGGTCCCAGCCACAGCAGAAGCGCATCACCCACCCGCTCCGATACCGATGAAAAAGAGCCACCGTCCCCTACGAAAATCCGTATCTGAGTAGCGGACAGGGTGGTGAAGATGAGGTAGAGCACGCCGTAGATGATACACAATACAGTGAGGAGAAGAGGATGAGGGGAGACAGGAGCAGGAGCTTCAAAGGGCGAATGGTTGCGTGCTGAAAGGCTACTGTAGCATAAGCGCGGTACCTAGCGTGAGGCAGTGCCTCCTTTCGGCCTGTCCGTTCGATACTTCTTTACTCTTCTCCGAAGCAGGACGGGATGAGCGTTTCCCGTATGGGCAGAACGACGCAACGGTCAAACCCCAGTCTACCACCATCGATTACTGTTTAATTTCGGAGATTGAATCAGTTCGACCACCTGGAGGTGTGGTAGACGGAAGCCGATCAACTGTTCCAGAGAAAGACGCCACAATCGGCGACCCAATGCGAAGCGAGGATGTAGACGAAGACAATAAAGGAGCTGGTTATGCTGAGAGACTCGAAATCTCGGAGGATATGGACGCTAACAGGGGATATGGAGGATGCGAGGAGACTGCAGATGGTCAGTTGGTCTCCACTGACAGGGAGGTTCATGACATGCTCAGTGCCTCTCTGAATCATCATCGCCGTCCTTGTTGATTATCGTCCCAATAGGCGGATTCTCTAGTTTCTGATTTCTGCTGTTCTGGATCTGGGGCACTTTCTTTGGACAAGTGTCAGCTCTCCTGCCCATTGTACTCTCCTCGCTTGACCGAGTGTTGATGCTGTCATGACGATACTGAAGTCGAGTAAGCTGTCACTTAGCAAAGCTTTCAGGTGCGTCACCATTAGATAGATCCATTTCTAGCTAGCACAACTCATTCATAGTGACGTTTCTAGGGAAGATTAAGAGTTCGGCCATCTAACAGCTGGTGCACTGACATTGCATCAATCTCGGATCTCTTTTGATTGTAGGCATAATCAGCGTATGAGCTGGTTAGTGTCTGGATCATCATACCCTGATGGAGTACAATGCTGGGTTCTTCCTTAGTACAGCCGCAGACAGTCGCTCGGACCGATCGCTCCCTCGTGAATATATCTACCTTCTGCTTGCAATATCCCTCAGATACAGCCGAGCCAAATGCATAACCAACAAGCACAAGGCCACTTTCCTGAAACAGTTAGCGCCATGAACGGAGATTATCCCGGAGCCCGCACACCGCTCGGCAATGATTGGCCAGCAGCTCTACCGCTTTTCTTTTCGAGGGATACTGCCAGTTCTTCCGCTTCCAGCAAAGCCCTCATCCGCGACGGCTGTTTCAGCTCAATCTCTTCCTGGATTTCTCTTGCTTATCAGAGTCCATTTGATTGCGCGATACTTGTTACAACCACAGCACTGCATTCCCGAAGCAATTGACCCAGTAGCGGAAGAAGGTTCGTTATACCCGACTCCACGTCGTGCACGCTAACAACAGCAGCAGCACAGCAGCCATGCGCACCCACGACGAATTCACCCATGATCTTGACGCAGACGCCTCCTCGTCCCTCGACGACCGGCGCAAACGGACCAAAACCACCCACGTCACGCGCCGCATCTGCTACGACTGGATGATCGTCTCGGGGAACTGCCACTACGCGCGCGACCGCGCCTCGTTCACCCACTACCGGCCCGTGCAGCAACGGATCAAGAACAACGTCTTCAGTCCGCAGGAGGAGCTCGAGGTCGCCGGGGTGGGAACGGTCGAGCTGCGGGTTTGCCGGACGGTCAGGGACGGGGGCGCGAGCTCGCATGTGATTGTGCTGGAGGATGTGCTGCATATCCCTGAGGCGGTGTGTAATGGGTTCAACCCGTTGCTGTATGGGAGTAGCATGTCGTGTAACATGGAGTATTGGGAGGGGGCGGACCGACGCGGGGAGCCGGTTTGGTTTGCGGTGCCGTATGCTGGGGGGACGAGGCTGGTGCTTGCGGGGGATCCGAGGGGGGAGTCGGAGTTGATCCAGGGGAGGCATTACACGTTGAGCTTGTCGATTACGCCGCAGGAGAGGAGGGAGATATTTGAGAGTGCGATGCGATGTTGATATGTGGATGGATTGTACTTGTATGTATGTTATGATAGATGAATGAATGGTAGTATTCCCTGTACCAGCCGTTCATGGTAGGTGTAGTCATGGCAATCTCAATCTATGACAGTTCACAATGCTAAGGCCAGTAGCTAATTACATGCAATGCAATTCAATCATTCTGAGTGAGCATTGAGTGTACCTGCATACTCTCAAGCATCCAGCGCAGCGGCATTTGAGATTTGTGTCTCAGCCTGTTACTCGAGACCGTCCATCATGTGGCGGCTGATGTGCATTAGTCTCGGTCTTAGAATCGTCCGTTCGATCAAGGAATACGGAGTATTCCTGGTCGATATTGGTGGATAATCTAGCCTCTGAGGATGCACAGCGAGCTGATCTTTACTCTGTCGCAGGCTAGCAGCAATGCCTGAAACGAATCTGAGCGGAGTAGAATTGTTGATTGCAGTCAGAACCCATTGCAGTATTGATTAACACTGAGAATTTCTACCAGAACGACAATTCCTCAGAGGTGAGAAAGGACAGCTGAAGCGAAGCGGGTGTTCGGACCGACGCCCGTGTTGGTTGGAGTTAGTCAAGCAGGGTGTGAGGGTATTCCAACTCTATGGCATTCTCTTAAGGGCTGATGAGTCGCTTACTGACGGTGGCGTTGTAGTTAATATCGCCACGAACTAGTATAATTCAATTGTATTCTGTTCTTTCTAGTAATGATCAATTAGATTGAAAGTCGCGATTCTAGTGCTCTTCTCCGCACCATGTGGCACTAAGTTATACATGGCCATTCGTGTTTCCGAAATGGAGACGGATGAATCCTCTCTTACGTCTTACAAACTGCTGATCCTCGATGCGGGGTCCCCGGACTATCGTCTCAGTTCAAACGCTTCCGGGGAGTTGCTTGTGTCTCATTCCCTCATGTGCCTGGTGCATTTGCATATCAATGGCCAGATTCAATAACATATCTGAATTGACTGCGTTATCCGGTCCAACAGACCCAATCCCCGCTATCACGCGATTCGTCCAAGACCCCGGTCAGCCAACAGCCAAAGCAGACTCTGTCAAGAAGTAGAAGCTCTGAGACGGTCAGACCTGCGTCTATATTAGTCTTAATTTCCACACCATGTCAGGAACGGGACTCGGATCTCTGGCTGCCACACCCAGACAGGCCTGGCTCAATGCTATAGCCGGGAATCCCTGCCTGATGGTCGTGATCGAGTATCAGGGTACTTTAAGTGAACGCACACCCCACTGGACATCCCAGTCTGCCATAGCACACTCTGTCGGGCTGCCTGCCTGTGACCGTGTCCATGGAGCGACTCAATAGCCAGGACACAGCGCAGATGCTGTACTATCCGGATGACGCACACATCCGGGGCATCAACAATGCCGCGCTGGCGATGGCGACCTTCCAGCAGAAGCCGAAGCTGTGGAGCAAAAACATGTTCAAGGTACCTCTCCTTGCTTCGCTTTATTGTCAAGAGACTAAGGATCAGTTGTACTGGTGCATTGCCGTCGCGACGCTCAACTCGTGTATCAACGGGTACGACGGCTCGCTCATGGGCTCGATCAACAGCTACAAGCAGTACCGCGAGTACTTTGGCTTCGATCCGGAAGCGGGCACGCCCTCGACGGGGATCGTGTATGCCATCTACACCATCGGGAACATCGTCGGATCGTTCTGCGCGGGCCCGTTCACCGATTTCAAGGGTATCACACATTCCGCTTCACGTCCTAAATCCCAGCTCACACAACACAGGAAGACGCGTCGGCATGGCCCTGGGCGCCTTCTTCATCATCATCGGCACCATCGTCCAAGCAACCTGCACCAACCTCGGCGGCTTCATGGCCGGCCGCTTCATCCTGGGCTTCGGGGTCGCCACGTCCGCCACCGCCGGACCAGCCTATGTCTCCGAGATGGCGCACCCGTCCTGGCGCGGCTCCCTGACGGGGCTGTACAACGTGCTGTGGTTCGCCGGCGGGATCCCGGGGACGTTCATCCCCTGGCGCACGAGCATGATCGAGGGGACGATGAGCTGGCGGATCCCCGTGTGGGTGCAGATGGTGTTTGCGGGCTTGGTGCTGATGCTGTGCTGGACCATTCCTGAGGTATTCCCTTTCTTCGCCCTGTCAGTAGCAGACGTTGATTCCGTAGAGTCCCCGCTGGCTCGTATCGCGCGACAAGCACGAGGAAGCCATCCGCGTGCTGGCGACGTACCACGGCGACGGGGACCGCACCGCCCCGCTGGTGCAGCTCGAGTACCGCGAGATGGTCGAGGATATCTCCAACACGGGCGCCGACAAGCGCTGGTGGGATTACCGCGAGCTGTTCAACTCGCGCGAGACGCGCTACCGCTCCATGCTGGTCATGTTCATGGCCTTCTTCGGCCAATGGTCCGGCAACGGCCCCGTCTCGTACTACTACCCGCAGATGCTCGCGGGCGCAGGCATCACCTCCAACGCGACGCAGCTGCTCCTGCAAGGCCTGCAGAACGTGTGCCAGTTCCTCGGGGCCATCGTCGGCGCCCTGCTGACGGACCGCATCGGCCGGCGCGTGCAGCTCCTCACCTCCACCGCGCTGCTGGTCCTCATCTTCAGCATCGTGACGGCGCTCAACGCCACCAACGTGCTCGAGACGCCCGCCGGCGCCGTCGCGAAGAGCCCGCTCGTCGCGCGCGCCCAGATCGCCATGATCTTCGTCTTCGGGTTCGTGTACTCGGCCGGCTGGACGCCCAACCAGGCCATGTACCCGGTCGAGTGTCTGCGGTACGAGTCGCGGGCGAAGGGGATGGGGATGAACAACTTCTTCGTGAATGTGGCGAGTTTCTACAATACATTTGTGACGGGGATTGCGTTTACGGGCGCCGGGTGGCGGTATTACTTCCTGTTCATCTTCTGGGACGTGCTGGAGTTTGCGGTCATCTGGTTCTTCTTTGTGGAGACGTCGCGCCGCACGCTCGAGGAGCTGACGGCCATCTTTCAGGCGAAGAATCCGGTCCAGGCGTCGCTGGTCCGGGAGGAGGTGTTGATTCCCGAGGTGGCTCAGGAGGTCGAGATGAGGCGGAAGGACTATTTTGGGAGGAGATATGATTATTGACATGTCTCGAATCTGATCATGGGGTATATATACAAACATACGGGTATTGCATAAACATAAACATAACATAAGTATTGACAAGAAGGCTTTGAGGATCACCGTTCGTCCCTCTCAATAATCGTCTCATGGACCACCTTGATCCCCTCCGGGCTCGGCTGGCTCGACCGGTCCCATTCCCCGCTCGCGGTACAGGTGGGCGGCTGCTGCCGCGACGTCGGCAGGATCATCGCCTCGTCGCTGACGGTATGCCACTGCGTGTCCGGGATGCTCAGCGGGTGCCGGAAGCGGCGCTTCTTGCTGTGGTGCGTGGAGTGCTCCCCTTCGGACAGCGGGTACGCCGGGTAGCTGTGCGACTGGCCCTTAGAGCTGAGGTACCAGCCTGCGCGGCGGGCGGCGCGGCGGAACAGGGGGTAGATCATCGGGGCGTTGCCGATGAACACGGCGACAAAGGTCTCGCGGCAGGCCCAGCTGCCGGCCTGGGAGGCGCCGTTTGCGCCGGCCTGGATTCTTAGCTAGTCGATGGAAGCCGGATGGGGGACTTACTGTGACGATCAGAACGCAGCGGAGGATCCCGGCCGCCATGACGAAGATGCCGCCGGAGAAGAGGACGAAGAGTTCGAGCTTCTCGCGCCAGGGGAGACGGGCTTTGAAGAGCATCTATGTATGTTAGACCGTCTCGAGGAGCACAGAAGGCGCACGTACAGGTGTAGGGATGGTGATGAGATATACATCCGTCGCCACATTCAGGGTGACGGTCACGTAGACATCGATCGGCGAGATGGCAGGTTGGCAGTATTCTTCAGACGGTTAGCAATAAGCGGCACCCTGAGAGCGAGGACGTACCTCCAGGATCAGGATATATCTGCCAGTTCTTGTGCATGGGATGGCAACCAAATAGGATCGACAAGATGACTGCCAGATAGGTCGCCCCGATGGCCACGTAGGCCACCCGCACCCGGATATGCATGTTGATCAGACCGGCCCTGGTCCGTCAGTGTCCATTTCCGTGGAAAGCGCGGAGGGACATACGTACGTCAAGCGCGAGTAAAAGATAGCCATACACGCCTTCAACAACCACAGCAACGTCGTGTACAATGACCACCCCAGCACCTGCGTCTTGGAGCCCCCTACTCGCAGTCTGAATTCCTCCGAGTCGGGGGAGAGCGCGGCGCGCTGGGCATCGGTCATGAAGTTGTTGGCCAATCCTTTCCACCAGGCGCCGACGCAGTAGGCTGCACCTGTTTCGAGGCCGTAGACCACCTGGCATGTCAGTGAAGGCATTGACCGGAAAGGAGGGGACCTACTCCGGCCAGAGGCATCAGGTAATCATCGAGTTGGAAATTGCGCAATCCCACGGTGGTGATCCGAGCAATGATGCGAATGATGATGGCGACAATGGCGACGGCGAGGAGGGTAAAGGCCTCGGTGGTGAATTTGTCGGCCATGATGACCTGTCAGAAGCAAACAGGAGACGAGCTGTCTCCTGGTATGGAGCTGAAACAATGAATGAGTGTGAGTATTGTAAGGGAATAAAGAATGAATGACTGAAGATTAAGAAGAGCCCCTCAGGGGAGAGAAGTCATAACGAAGGAAGATATAAGATGGAGTACAGCGACAGTTCAATCCGATTGATCCGCCACAGACGATGTATATAAAGACTACTTGAAAGAATGGACGATCTCCTGGACTGATAGACTCCTAATGCTGCAGAGACCTGGCAGAAAACGGCGAGCAGTCACTCGGGGTGGGTATCTATCTTCTTGCCATCATACCTGTGTCCACTATACTTGTCGAGGTCGAGAACGATTGTTCGGTGCTCTGGCCACTTGAGACACACTAGAATCCTGGTCGGAGGCCTGGTGGAGACGTCAAACTGCGTCTGATGGCAGCAACAGGTGCCTCAGTCATTCAAGCCCCATTTGGCGCAGCGAACGACATGTGGTATTTCCTGTTGTGTGCGGATCGGCGGGTGGGATATCGAGCATTGCCAAGTGACAGCACTAATAATATGATTAGAAGTAGCCGAGGAGCAGTAGAAGGTTACCTATGCGGAGAATTAGGAGGCAACTTAGAGAAAGAGGCAATTCCATGGCAGGGAGAGTGTAATCGATGATAAGATGAGGATCTGCTTGAGGCCACTATTCCGTGTCTTCCGGAAGAGTCAATAGACTTTGTACATTTGATCTGATCGCATTGAAGTTGGCAGTGTCAGAGTGTATAATGTCGAGGTGTCATATGCTCTGGCTTTGGTTGAGAAGTGATAGGTCACTTTGGATGACGAGAACCATATGTCGTCAGCTTTTAGCATTGGTCAATTATCTTTGTATACGAGAGTCAACAAAGCAAATACTCTGTCTCCATGTCCTGATGACATTAGGTATTGCTTGGATAGACGGAAACCATGACAACTATGAATCACAAGGTCGAGCAGCAAGGCAGAGTTTTAATCATAACTAGCGATGTGGCTATGCCTCTGCAACCGGAAATTGTATCCTTTCTCGACGATCACAATCAGCTATCCCTTGATGACAACTTGACATGACACTGGCCTGACACTAACAGGCCGGTTTCTGCAGCTAAAAACACTAAGAGCACACTAGATTTAGTGCAGTAAGGATTGTCTTTGCATTCCTGAAAGTACGTGCATGTACCTATTCATGTATCTGTCCCTGTCCTTTGCCTTCATCCCCTTTTTCCTTGATGTTGATATTTGTAGTGGTAAGTACCGACGTGTAGACATGAGAACTGACCGATTCTATGCTGTGTCACCCTACCATAATCATAATCTCCTATCCCTAGACTACTGCTAGTCATGTATCATGCTAGTTGAGTCTAGTCTGCAGCGGCTGGCTATAAGAATTCCCCGCTTGACCGTTAACTTTCACTCAACTATCTCAGGACTAGTCTTACTCTACTGGACTAGACTACTGTATCATGTATTCCAGGCCATAAGAGACTAATATGATAGTCCAGACCCTCTCTCGTCCACTTGTCACTCTTTGATCCATTTCCTGTCTCACTGCCTGACTCGTCTGTCTACACATCACTTTCTGCTTTCGTTCCCTTTTCTTACATGCAGATAATTGACACGGCAATTGGCCCAGATTGATTGCTTTGTGAACTGTCAACTGTCTTGTCTGCCTCTTATCAAGTGTCCCCATCATGGAGACCGTCGATTTGGCGGTCATCGGCGCTGGTATGCCTCTTAATCGCATCATCCGATTGATTACTCCCGATCATCACCGATCATCACCGTCATAATACTGACAGTCCCAGGCTGGAGTGGCCTCGCCGCTATCAAGACCTATCTGCAAGTCAACCCGTCCAGCAATGTGATCCTCTTCGAGGCCGCCTCCTCCATTGGGGGCGTGTGGGCCAAACACCGGCTGTACAAAGGCCTCAAGTCCAACAACATGCTGGGCACCTACGAATTCAGCGATTTCCCCATGGACCCGGCCACCTTTGGCGTCCAACCGGGCCAGCATATCCCCGGCCATGTCATCCAGCAGTACATGGAGAAATTCGCCGAGCATTTCCAGTTCCGCGATCGCATCCGTCTCGACACGCGCGTGCGATCGGCCGAGCACCGTCCCGACGGCACCTGGCTGTTGGCGACCGAGGGGACCGGCGAGACGACACTGGTGACGCGCAAACTCATCGTCGCGACCGGCATCACCTCCCAGCCCTACCTGCCCGCGTTCCCCGGCCAGGAGACCTTCGACGCGCCGCTGTTCCACTGCCGCGACCTCCCCCAGCACGAGGCCGAGGTCCTGCAGGAAGGCCGCCGCATCACCGTCTTCGGCGGCACCAAATCCGCCTGGGACGCCGTGTACGCGGCCGCCACGGCCGGCGCCGCGGTGGACTGGGTGATCCGCGCCAACGGCCACGGCCCCGTCTGGATGGCGCCGCCGTACGTCACGCCGCTGAAGAAGTGGCTGGAGAAGCTGGTCACCACCCGGCTGCTGACCTTCTTCAGCCCGTGCATCTGGGGCGCCGCGGACGGCTACCCGCGCATCCGCCGCTTCCTGCACGGCACCTGGCTGGGCCGCAAGCTCGTCGACGCCTTCTGGGCCATACTGGCCAACGACGTGGTCCAGCTGAACCGCTACGACGCCCACGCGGAGACGGCCAAGCTCAAGCCGTGGATCAGCCCCTTCTGGATCGCCTCGGGCCTCAGCATCCTCAACTACCCGACCGATTTCTTCGCGCTGGTCCGCTCCGGCGCCGTGCGCGTCCACATCGCCAACATCGACCGCCTCTCCCGGGGGACGGTCCACCTATCTTCCGGCACCGCCCTCCCCTCGTCCGCCCTCATCTGCGCCACGGGCTGGAAAGCCACCCCCAACCTCGACTTCCTCCCCGCCGGCCTCGACCGCGACTGCGGCTTCCCCTGGCTGTCCCTTCTCTACTTCTCACGCCGCCGACGCTCTCACGCTGTGGTCTATCTGCTGTTCCCGCTTGTCTCTGCCTAACCAC